GACGCACCCGAGAGTGGTTTCATCTAACGTGGCGCAAGGTTCCAAAGCGACTCTCAAGGTGTGGCATAATCGGCTTGCGCACGCCAACTACGACTCGGTTAAGGACTTGCGAAGGGATTTGACGTGATCGTCGGCGACGACGAGAAGGGCGTATGCGCGGCGTGTGTCGAAGGAAAAATGGCTCGCAAGCCATTTGGTAGCCGTACCTCACCCCTCGCTAAGGACCCGCTTGCGCTTGTTCACATGGACGTGTATGGACCGATGCGGCATGCATCAAAGGGAGGAGCACGGTTCCTCTTGGTGATGCTCGACGACGTGACGCGGATGTGTTGGACTCGACTCTTGAAGGCTAAAGGAGATGCGGCCAAGGCGATTCAAGAGAGGGCGCTTGAAGTTTTCGACGACGATAAGAAGCGGATCAAGGCTATTCGCACCGACGGTGGCGGCGAATTCGTGAACGCGGAGCTTGAAAAATGGATGAAGAGCAAGGACATTAAGCACGACGTCACAACACCCTACACACCCCAACAAAATGGAGCGGCGGAGCGGCTTAATCGCACGTTGGTGGAAGCTGTTCATTCACTTCTTCATCACTCCAAGCTTAGGAGCGAGTGGTGGGGTGAGGCGAGTTCGTTGGCGGCGTGGATTCGCAACCGTTTGCCAACGAAGGTGCTCCCGGGAACAACTCCGTTCGAAGCATGGACCGGAACGAAGCCGAACCTATCCCGCCTACGCACCTTTGGGTGCCTTTGCTACTACCATGTACCGGATCCCCTTCGCCACAAGTTGCAACCGAAAGCTTGTGCGGCAATCTACTTGGGATTTGCGGCGAACGAGCGCGCATGGCGAGTGTGGGACTTGGGTGAAAGGCGCGTCGTCACGTCTCGGGAGGTGGTCTTCGACGAAGACAAGTTCCCGACGAAGGAACAACCAACGCCGCAACTCACCGTCGTCCTTCCCGCACGAGAGGAGGATGAAGTGATGGAGGTTCCATCACAAGTGGAAAAGGAAGCCGAAAATGGAGGGGGAGAGGACGAGGAGAGCGATGACGACGTGGTGGAAGTGCCATCATCCGTGGCGGCAACTTCCTCAACACCTTCCTCCTTCCCATTGGCGTTGACCCATGAGCAACGTACACGTCGCCCCAACACGAAGTACTCCGACTACGCTACGGTAGCCGTTGGGGAGTTGGACGAGGAGCGTGCGGCATATTGCTTCGCAACCTTGGGTGATGACCCTCGCACCCATACCGAGGCTTTGGCTTCTCCGGATGCGCCACTATGGAAGCAAGCGATGGAGAAGTAACTAACCTCGATCAAAGAGAACGACGTGTTCGAGCTCGTCAACCCACCGAAGGGTGCCTACTTGGTGGGGTGCAAATGGGTGCTTAAGAAGAAGTTGGGAGCCGATGGGAGTGTCGAACGCTACAAGGCGAGGCTTGTAGCTCAAGGATACACTCAACGGAAGGGGGAGCACTATAGTGAGACCTTCGCTCCCGTCGCTAAGGCTACTACTCTTCGGGTGTTGCTCGCGCTAGCGGCATCTCTCAACCTCGAAGTGGAGCAATTGGACGTTTGCACCGCCTTCCTCTACGGGCTTCTCATGGAAGAGGTCTACATGCGGCAACTCCCGAGGTACGATAATGGTAGCGGAAGGGTATGGAAGCTCAAGCATACCCTCTACGGCTTGAAGCAAAGTCCACGCGGATGGTACAAGCGCATCGACGACTTTCTTCTTCAACACGGCTTCGCTCATAGCAAGTGCGATAGCGCTTTGTACGTGTTGAAGGAGGGGGGAAGCAATTGGTGCTTTTACTCTACGTCGATGACCTACTCATCTTCTCCGACTCCAAATACCTCATTCGGGAGGTCAAGCAACGGCTAGGGGCGGAGTTTGCGATGAGGTACTTGGGGCTGGTCACGTACTACCTTGGGATGCACGTCGACCATGACCGAGCCAACGGGACCATCCACCTCCACCAAGAGAAGTATGTGAAGGGGGCAGTGGAGAGCTTTGGCATGGGCAATAGCAAACCGGTGGGAACACCACTAGCTACGGGATTTTCTTGCCTCATGGGAGAGGAAGAATCCACCCTCGACAAAGCCGAAGGGAAACGGTTTCATTCGCTAGTGGGCTCGCTCATGTATACCACCGTTTCTACTCGTCCCAACCTTGCATACGCCGCCGGGGTGCTTGGACGAGTCGTGAGCAACCCTCATACCGAGCATGTGCGCGCGGGAGGACGCGTTCTACGCTACCTTCAAGGCACACCTAACTTGGGGCTTGTGTATGAAGCGGGCCCAATCGAACTCAAAGGCTATGCCGACTTGGACTACGCGGGAGATCCGAGCACGCGCAAGAGTACCTCCGGGTATGTCTTTACCTTTCTTGGGGCAGCCGTGAGTTGGCAAAGCAAGAAGCAACCAACCGTGGCTCTAAGCTCAATGGAAGCGGAGTATATGGCCCTCACTCAAGGTGCCATGGAGGCAATATGGTTACGGCGTCTTCTAGCGGAGCTTGGGCATCCTCAACCGAACCCAACTCCTCTCTTTTGTGACAACCAAGCTGCCATAAGCCTCTCTCAAAACGCCGTCCTTCACGGGCGAACCAAGCATATCGAAGTGAAGCATCACTTCATTCGTGAGGCAGTTGAGAAGGGTGAGATCAAACTCACTTATGTGAGCACCAAAGCTCAACCGACGGATTTCTTCACCAAACCACTCCCTAAGGACTCGTTCCGTGCATGCTGTGAGCGTGTTGGCTTGAGCACCTAGTGGCTTGGGTGCAAGGGGGAGTGTTGGAGGTTGCGTGGGGCGGCTTTGCCCCCAACCACCAAGCGGTGTTGTTTTTGGTGCTCACCTTCGAGTGAGCTGCAGGTTTGCGTGGGGTTGAAGTTTGACTTCGGAATACTCCACCAATTCGGTGCCACATGGTAGCATCAGGAACATTCGAGATTGAAGGAGCATTCGGTGAAATTCGAGTACCGAATTTCACCTCGTTTGAAATGTTCGCGACACATCTCGTAGTGACTAGATGTTACATGCACGACTCGATGTATTGAGTAGCTATAAATATGCTCGCCTTGTTTGCACGTTTCATACTGAAAATCAGAGTTTCCTATATACGGTTCATCTCGACACAAATTCCAGAGAGCATCCTATCCTTCAACCTAGAGTATAGCTTTCACGTTAGAGGCCATAACTCGCTCGATACTTAGGCGATCGAGGTGATCTACAGCTCGTTGGAAAGCTAATAGAGTGCTCTATTGTTTAGTTCAAATCCTAATTCCTGCCAACTAGAGGAGAGTCCTCTACAACACTTTGTACTCGTTGAACACTCTAGTGCAATCCTCGCAACCTCGATTCATTGCACCCGTAACACCGTTGTACAATTCTTGAATCCTGATCCTTCAATCCTTGACTTTCACTTCACGCCACTTCCATCGTGACCATGAGCGCCTGTAGGATGGGTGGGGTGGGTGGAGGTCCTGGAGGAGGTGGGGAGCTTGGGAGGAGGGGAGAAAGAGAGTTGCGTGGACTGGTCGAGTGATGCGATAACCGTTCTGTACATGGTATGTGCAGATCACCTTGCACAAAGAGGGATTCTCAGGGCACGGTAAGGTACAAAACGGTGTTGATTCTGTTCTGTACAAGGCCACCCCAAAGGGAGGGTGAAATGGATTATGGAAATAAACTGAACACCTCCTTTCAAAACGAGGCTTATGTTCGATTCCGTCTTACCGAGCCTAGCACACGTTTGGAGAGCATCTGCCCCGCTTGTGGTGCCCTCCGCCCTGTCCAATCTGTTTGCGCCAAACTCTCTCAGTTCCCGTCGGCCCGTCAGCATTACTTCTTTTGAACATACTGGACTGTTGGGCGAAATGTTCGATTCATTACGTTTTAGAAAGGTTCTTCCTGGTTGAAAATGTATGAGTACACACCTTTGAAGAGCGGAACAGAAAACGCCTGAAGCTGAGAGCGGCTAGTTTACGCTTTGAAACGGTTGGACAGGGTTTCGAGCAGAAATGAACTCCCACAACACACCCTCGCTATTGATTCAAACTGTGCGGGGGAGCAAATTAGTATCCGTATCTCAGTTATGTCCCCTCGTTCGTGAATCGTGAGCTGTTGCCGTCCTTATGATGTCGACGACACGTCAGCCTGTTGCCCAAACAAAGTCTCCTCGAGTAGGGTTCGTGACGCAATAAGTTCTCTAACGTTAGCATGCTCGCGAAAGAAAAATGAAAGACACTGACCATGGTTTCATTTGACTCGGTTTGTTAGTCGCAGCACTGACCATTGTTTGTTCGTCTCCTTTTCTCTTGGGTATGTCAGCGCTCTTCGCTACTCTCGTCACTCATACTACCCGCGTTTTCCGCATAAGTGGCGAGACGTACTTTTCAGGCGCCTCACAGCGGGACTGGCTGATAACTTATTAACACTACCCTTGTGACGCATTATAATTATCCTCGTGACGCGTGCGTCCTTTCTCATTGTAACGGAGAAAAAGGTTAAGCATTGCATATTTCGACGTAGATAGATATGTAGACATATACGGCCAGGTTTCCAGACGTAGATAATAGACAGATATATTCCGTCGGGTTTGGGAGGTCTTAAATGTCTATAAATACAGTCAAATTTTTCGGGTTGCACCAAACTCTACAATGGCTGCTATCATGAACAGTCGCAACGTTTCTTAATTACCACCGATAGAGGTCGACAGCACGACGATTTTTTGTAAGGTTACCGACAGCACGAGGAGTATTTTCAACGGTTACTGGCATCAGGACGCCATTAGAGACCGGTGAAAGCTCGTGTGCGTGAATGGAAGCAGAGGAGACGGAATGGGTAGCCGACGGCGGAGTAGGATTAGCAATCGGTGAAGAGGGGTTCCTACGGGATCAGATGCTGGCTGGAGGTTCGTCCGGCCATGTCGGCTCGGTAAGACCCGAACCTGCTGGTTCGGGGAAACCGGCCGGACCAGTAAGACGTAGACCCAAAATGGCCGTGCCTCGGTTGGTGCACTCAAGTTCGGTAAGCGCGCCGAGTCCTAAAACTCCCGTGGTACCAACCCCCGGCAGAAATCGTTTTTCGCGGGCAGCTGGGGCAGGTGAAGAGGCAAAAACAGAAAAGAAGCAGACCCCAGTGTTTCCTCGGAGTACAAGCGTCAGCCTGCCCGTGAGAAATGTTTTGGTGATTACGGGTGGGGAAAAGGAGAGGGCAGGGAGCAAGGAGGAGGGGGGTAAGCAGCCCGGGGAGGGGCAGCGGAGAGAGGGGGAGGGGGAAGGGGGGAAGGAGGAGGGGGAAGGGGAGGGATGGAAGGAGAGGCGACAGGCGCAGGCGGAAGCTGTGACACGTGCCATGCAGCGATTGGACGTGGGGAAGGACGGCAGGGCGGCTGAAGTCGCGGCAACTCCAAGGGTAAGTCACGTGAATGCGACGAAGCCCTATTGCTTGAAAACGCTAATCACGAGGACTAGGACTAGAAAGGCTGAAGGCGCGGCGATCCCAACAGAAGAGCTGTACCCTCCGCTCACCCAGTCCTCCTCTTTCCCCCTCCCCTCGCCCACTCCCCTTCCCTCGCCGCCCACCCTCTCCCAGCAGAAGCGCCAGCAGCGCATGCTGCAGCGAGCAGCAACATTGCAACTTGTTTTGAGACGTCTCAAAACTAGAAGCGCCAGCAGCGCATGCTGCAGCGAGCAGCAACAGTGCAACTTCCTCCTCGTTTCCACCTTCTCTCCTCTCCCAACCACCCCTCCTGCCCCATCCTCTCCTCCCGCACCCGCTCCTCCTTCACAGGAAGAGCATTCGCTGCGCCTATCCCGCCAGCAGAAGCGTCAGCGCATGCTGCACCTGGCGGCTGCCGCCCTTCCCACCTGCAAACACCCCCCCACCTTTACCCCCCTCCCGCTCCCCCCCTGCAGGAAGAGCGTTCGCTGCGCCTATCCCGCCAGCAGAAGCGTCAGCGCATGCTGCAGCGGGCGGCTGCCGCCCTTCCGCAGCTGGCGCAGCGCGTGTCAGAAACGCCTCGCTTCCGATTGGACGATTTTCTGGCAGCGCTTGACAGCCTGGCAGCGCTTCGGGGGAAGCTGAGAGTGGCTTTTGAGGAGCAGCAGAGGGAAGAGGAGGACGAGGAGGAGGAGAGGAGGGTGGAGGAGAGGAGAGGGGAGGGGAGGATAGTGGAGGAGGAAGGGACGAGGGATGAGTGTGGAATGGTAGAAAGAGTGGGTGGAGGAGCGGAGGGAGGAAGCGGGAAGGGAGGTGGAGCTTTTGGGCTAGAACGTGGGGAGGGCGAGAGTTGTTGCGAGGTGGAGGAAGAAGAGAAAGAAAATGATTGTATGGATGAGGTGACGAGAGGAGGTGAAGCGAATGAAGGAGTAGACTCAGGTGATGGTGGTGAGGAGGGGAAGGAAGGGAAGGAGGAAGAGGAGGGGGGAGAGGAAGAGGAGGGGGCGGAGGGGGGGGAAGGGGAGGAAGAGGAAGTGGAGGAAAAATTGGCAAAGGGAGGGGTACGGAAAAGGCTACATATGGGCAAGGGGGGAGCAGAGGGGGAGGAGAGCGAGGAGGAGACAGATGAGAAAATTACTGCAGCAGACGGCACTACTGTGACTGTGTTTTCTGCTACTGCTGCTGCTGTCCCCGTGCTTCAATGGGATGTGCTTATAAGCGTGGAGGCTGTTATAGAGGATGCGCTGATGCTGCTGGAAGACGAGTTTGAAGCGACTCTCTCCAAACACGGGTGAGCTTTCCAAATCCCTTTGACTTGACACCCACCAGCGCACTCCCCTTCCCCCCTCGGAAACGTGCAAGAAGCCTCTGGATATCTCACGTGAAATAAGTGTATTCTTGAGACGTCTCAAAAAGGCAATGTGCAGGAAGCCTCTGGATATCTCAAACCCTTAAATCCGCCCTCGCCCCCATCACCGCCATTTCACCCTCTGACTTGCCCCAGTCGTTCCCAACCCACAACCCCTGTTCCTCCCTCCCAATTTCCCCCTTCCCGTTCTCTTTGCAGCAAGCCTCTGGACCTCCCAACGCTCAAATCCGCCCTTCCTCACCCTCTCCCCATCACCACCCATTTCACCCTTTGATGTGCCCCACTCTCCCCATCACCACCCATTTCACCCTTTGATGTGCCCCACTCTTCCCCCACTTCCACCCCAACCCCTATTCCCCCCTCCCAATCCCCCTCCGCTTTTCCCGTGCAGCAAGCCTCTGGATCTCCCAACGCTCAAGTCCGCCCTGCACGCCCAGAATTGTTCCACTGCTGCTGCTGCTGCTGCTGCTGCTGCTGCTGCTGCTGCTGCTAGTGCTGGTGCAGGGGCAGCAGGGGTAGCAGGGGTAGCAGGGGGAGCGCCCTCTCTCCGTGCGCGTAGAGCCACGTGCCTCACCCCCATCACCACCCGTTTCATTGACTTGTCTCATTCTTCTCCCCCACCCCAACCCCAAACTCCCCTTCGTCCCCTCCCCCTTCCCCGTACAGCAAGCCCCTGGACCTCCCAACACTAGAGTCCGCCCTTCATGCCCAAAATTTTGAGTCGTCTCAAAAACCACCCCAAACTCCCCCCCTTCTTCCGCTCCCCCTTCCCGTTCCCCGTGCAGCAAGCCCCTGGACCTCCCAACGCTCAAGTCTGCCCTTCATGCCCAGAATTTTGCTACTGCAGCTGCTGCTGGTGCTGCCAGTGCTGGTGCAGGGGCAGCAGGGGGGACGCCCTCTCTCCGCACGCGTAGAGCTACAGGCATCACCCCCATCACCACCCGTTTCACTCGCACCTCCTCAGACTTCTCCCTTGCTGCTGCCGCATCTGCTAGAGGCAACACCAGCACAACCCCCACCAACCCTAGTAACTCCTCCAAGTACCCTGAACACGCCCTTATTAGCCCGCTTGCTCACCGCGGCTTACCGTCTGCCTCTGCGGCTGCCGGCTTTGCTGCTGGTGCTGGTGTTGCCCGTAGCCCTGTTGGTCTGACTGCCGGCCCACACTCCCCAGGGATGCGCACGTCAGGACAGAACTTGCCGCCCTGTTCACCATCTTCCCGCCGTCTTTTTGCCGGCCATCATCCCCATCACCACCACCACCACCATAGTCAGCAGCAGCAAGTTTGGCAGCAGCAGCAGCAGCAGCCGCAGTACCAGCAGCAGCAGCAGCAGCAGCAGCAGCACTATCAGCAGTATCATCATCATCAGCAGCAGCAGCACGGGCATAGGCCCGACCAGGGCCGGTTATGGAAATCCTCCTCTAGTTTCCTCTTTGACGATCCAATGATGATCGAATTCAATGCGTCTCTGGCTGATGCTGCTGCTGCCGCTGCCGGCACTGCTCCTGCTGCTGATGGCGCTGCTGCTGCTGCTGGTGGTGGTGGTGCTGCGGTTGCTGATGGGAACAGTAGTGACGCTAGTGGTGCAAGTGCTAGTGCTGCTGCCCCCGGCGCTGCTGCAGTGGATGGTTCACATAGCACTCCAATCATCAGCCCCACAGGCGTTTCTTCCAACCACAGCAACAGCAACTACACTAACAGTAACCCGAGCCTCAAGACCAGGTCCGGTGGTAACCGCATTCTCATCCCCGTGAGCGTAACCGGCAGCAGCACAGGCAGTGAACCTCCCACTGAAAGCCCTACTGCCCAGCAACCTCCTATACTCTCCCCTCCTTGCTCTGATGCCTCTCCTCCGTCTAACCTCATTAAGACTCTTAGCAGCAGCAGCAGCAGCGCCAGCAGTACCGGTTTCTTGTCCCAGGACCAATCAGGGCATTTGAATTCTGCTGCTGCTGCTGCTGCTGCTGCTGCTGCTGCTGCCGCCGCTGCTGCTGCTGCTGGTGCTTCTGGTGGTCTTTTGCCAATGTATTCCGGACCCCTTCCCTCCACAGCAGCTTCTAACTCACCCTACGCATCCCCTTACACCTCCGGTTACATTCCCCATAACGCTTATGCTTATAACGCGGTTGGTTCTTCTTCCTTCTCTGCCTCTCCCTCCTCCTCGTCTGCCTCTCCCTATGCGCGCCCCACTCCCCCCCGCATCACCATACCTATCCATCCGGACGAGGACGACGCCGAGCCTGATGCCAACGACCTCCCGAACCTGACTCCTGGTTCGGCAGCCAGGTCCGGGGGCGCCAAGCCAGGGCAGGAGGCTCGGCCGTCTACAGGGCAGGAGGATAAGAGGAGAAGCAGGCAGCCTATCAGGGCTATTAGCAACATCGTTTACGGCAGCAGCAGCAGCAGCAGCAGCAGCAGCAGCAGCAGCACCACCACCACCACCATTAGCAGCAGCATGAATAACATCAGTACTCCTAGGTCTGCTGCTGAGAGCAATTCTTCCCTAGCTGTAGGACCCCAGTCTCTGCCCTCGTCTCTCCAACCTTCCCCCGCCCTATCTCCATCCCCTACCGCTGCCGGCTCTGCTGCTGCCACCGCTGCTGCTGCTGATGCCCGATCTGCTGCTGCTGTTGGTGCTGCAAACGCTGCAGCTGCTGCTGCCGGTGGTGGTGCCGTTACACCACCCGCTGCTTCCAGTCGTCCTAGACTGGTTGCTTTCTCCTCTCCTACACTTGAAGCAGGGAGGGCAGGAGGGAGGGGAGGAGGGGGAGCAGGAGGGGCAGCAGGGGGGGGCGTGGGGGCAGTGGATTGGCGGGTAGCGTTTAGTGAGTGGGGGGAGTGGTTACCAGTGGCGGAGATTGGCTGGTTACGCAAGATGGCCACACGGATCGTTGCGATTGGTGGGCTCACTCGCTGCTGTGCGAGATACTGGTGAGTGTGTGAGTGCATGCATGCACGCGTGTACGTGCATGTGCCTCAATCTCAAAACTCTGAACAATTTTCTTCAATCGTCAAAGACCCCGTCAATTTCCTGCCTGTCCTCCTTCCCTCCTGCCTCCTTCCCATCTTCCACAACGTCGCCCGAGGCCAAGCATAGCGAGTGAGTGGCTCTTGAGAATTGAGTTCCCTCACCCCCTCTCCCGCCCGCCTGCCCGCTTTCCTTCCCTCCTGCCTCCCTCCCATCTTCCGCAGCGCCGCCCGTGGCCCGAGCATAACGAGTGGCACGGTTTGTCTCGACCTGAAGGAGCGCAGCATTGCTGAGCTGGAGGCCATGGCGTGGAGCCAGCTGGAGCCCACCATCAAGACGTGGCTGAGGGATGCTAACATTCTGGTATGTCCTGCCTACACCCACCACATACATACTGGTGTGTGTCGCTGACATTCTGTGTCACTGTGAGCTGGAGGCCATGGCGTGGAGCCAGCTGGAGCCCACCTCAGAGACGCCAACATACTGGTACGCATGGGGTGAAAGGGGTGTGTTTGTGTCCGTGTGCTGCATGTGTGTGGAGCTGGAGTCAGCTGGAGCCCACAATTAAAACGTGGCTCAGAGATGCCGCCGCAGTCTTTCACCCCCTTCTTCCCCCCGCCTTCCCCCCGTCCCCCTCTCTCTACCCTTTCCCCCGTTCCCCCCTTCCTCGTTTCAGCACCGAGTGCTGCTGGAGGGAGAGCGTCTCCTCGGTGAGGCAGTCCCGGAGGACGTCCCCCTCCCCCCCACCCTTTTGAGGCGCCTCCTTCCCCCAATCTCCCACCCCACTCTGCCTCCTTCTCCGCCGCTGCTCAGATCCGAGTGCTACTGGAGGGAAAACGTCTCCTCTGTGAAATAACCCTAGAGGGCGCCCCGGACGGAGCTCAGTCTTTGACCCGGCCTCCCTCCCTCCTCTTCCCCTGTGTCCGCCCCTCTTCTCCCCCGCCGCTCAGATCCGAGTGTTACTGGAGGGAGAGCGCCTCCTCTGCGAGGCAGTCCTGGAGGACGCCCCGGAGCTCGACGCGGGCGGCGTGTATCGGCAGCTTCTGTCGGCGTCGCCCTGCGTGGAGGGCTCGGTCGGCAAGCTGGTCGGCACGGCTCGTTCCATTGCGGGGCTGACGCGGTCCCCTGAGAAGGTGTTCAGCTTCATGGAGATGTTTCGGGTGGCAACTGGGCTGAGGGAGCAGGTGAGGGGTGGGGGAGGGAGGGGAAGCAGGTGAGGTTGGGAATGGGAGGCAGGTGGCGAGTGCAGTGTAGGTGTGGGCGAGGGAGAGGGAGAGGCTGCCCGGCTCTCCCAGTGACGCGGTCCCCTCAGAAGGTGTTCAGCTTCATGGAGATGTTTCGGGTGGCAACTGGGCTGCGGGAGCAGGTGAGGCGTGGCAGGCACTGGCAGGGGAGTGGTGGGGTGATGAAGAACTGGTGAAGAGAGTCAGTTCAAGTCAAGTCACTTGCTTGCAGGGCTGATGCGGTCCCCGGAAAAAAACTTGAGCTTCATGGAGATGTTCCGGGCGGCAACTGGGCTGTGGGAACAGGTGAGGTTTGGGGGAGCAGTGAGGTGTGGCGGAAAGAGTAGGAGAGGCACGTGTAGCGAGGTTGTTTTTTGAGACGTCTCAAAAACAACCTCACTACACAAGAGGGAAGAATTGATTACTAGAGTCAATTCCAGTCAAGGCTGGCTGGCATGGTCCCCCGGAAAAGGCCTTCAGCTTCATGGAGATGTTTCGAGCTGCTACAGGGCTGAGGGAGCAGGTGAGAGGTTAAAATAATGGGAGGGGGGTGGCGTGGCGTGTACACTGTAGGCGTGGGCGAGGGAGAGGTTGGTCGGCCCTCCCAGTGACGCGGTCCCCTGAGAAGGTGTTGCGCTTCATGGAGATGGTTCGAGTCACCACAGGGCTGAGGGAGCAAGTGAGTGTAGGGAGGGAAGGGAGCAGATGGGGGTGAAAAGAGGCTCCCTGTGGCCGCAGTGGCAGGCCCTCCCTTCCCTCCTCGCATGTGCGGTGCTTGGTTGAGAATACCTTCTCACAACCTCAATCCCTCTTCTCTCCCCTCCCTCACCTTACCGGTTCCCAGGTGCAATCCGTGCTGATAGCAGCAGCAGGGGTGGGAGGAGGTTCCCTCTGGCCGCAATGGCAGGCCCTCCCGGCCCTCCTCGCCTGTGCTGTGTTTGGGACGATAGACGAGCTCAGCAGCACGCTGAGGGATGTGGATGGGCTTACTCCTGCTGCCATGCCCTCTCCCGTCGCTCCCAAGAAGAAGCTTCTCAGCAGGTACGTTGATTGTGTATCCCCTCGCCTCTGCCGTGTTTGAGACGATAGACGAGCTCACTTTTGAGTCGAGGCGAGATGGGCTCACCCCGGCCGCCATGCCCTCTCCTGTTGCCCCCAAGAAGAAGCTCCTCAGCAGGTCTGTATATCACTTCTCGACCCCACCTGCCTGCGGTGATTGGGACGATAAACGAGGTCAGCAGCACGCTGAGGGATGTGGATGGGCTCACTCCTGCTGCCATGCCCTCACCCGTCGCTCCCAAGAAGAAGCTTCTCAGCAGGTTTGTTCAAAGCCGTCGAAGCAGGTTCGTGTGTTCCTCCTCGCCTCTGCGGTGTTTGGGACAATGGACGAGCTCAGCAGCACGCTGAGGGATGTCGATGGCCTTACTCCGGCTGCCATGCCCTCGCCCGTCGCCCCCAAGAAGAAGCTTCTCAGCAGGTATGTCCAATGTGTATCTCCTCGCCTGTGTTGTGTTTGAAACTGTAGACGAGCTTAGCAGCACGCCGAGAGACGTGGATGGGCTTACTCCGGCCACCATGCCTTCTCCGGTTGCTCCCAAGAAGAAGCTTCTCAGCAGGTAAGGTCAAAGCTTCTGAACAAGTTTATCCAAGGAGGTTCGTGTGTCTCTCCTCACATGTGCCGTGTTTGGGACGATAGACGAGCTCAGCAGCACGCTGAGGGACGTGGATGGGCTCACCCCGGCCCGGCTGCCATGCCCTCACCCGTCGCTCCCAATAAGAAGCTCCTCAGCAGGTTCGTTTGAAGGTTCTCAGCAGGTCTGTCTCGCCGTCTTAATAACATCTAAGTTGATGGACATTAGACCTCCGCAGCCCACCTGTTAACTAATAACAGCATCCTTCGTGTTCCACCTGAACACCTCACTCTGCCTCGTTTTGAGGCGCCTCAAAACCATCCTTAATGTTCACCTGAACTGAACACCTCACTCTGCCTCCTCTCCACCACCTCTGTTTCGCATCCACCCTCCACACTCCACTCTCGTAGGATAATCTCCTGGAAGGCGCAGGAGGTGAAGAGCCAGGGCGAATTGACTTTTGAGTCGACTCAAAAGTCAACGCAGGAGGTGAAGAGGCAGGGCGAAGATGACTGGTTAGGATTCGACTCGACTCATTCCACCCTCTACTCCCCGCTCCGCGCCCCCCCATTCTTGCAGGATAATCTCCTGGAAGGCGCAGGAGGTGAAGAGCCAGAGCGGGGAGGACGTGGACGTGTCGGTGCATGCGGTTACCAGCTACGTGGTCAACTACATTGGGCAGCTGTTGGACAGGTATGGATGGGCTGATACCATTTACCAGCTGTTACCAGCTAGGGCATGGACGTGGACGTGTCGGTGCATGCAGTTACCAGCTACGTCGTCAACTACATAGGGCAGCTGTTAGATAGGTATGGCTTGTACTATAACAGTAACACATGCTGGTGTTGTGTCGGTGCATGCGGTTACCAGCTACGTGGTCAACTACACAGGGCAACTATTGGACAGGTATGGGCTGATGGCGGTTGGTTACCATTACCAGCAATTACCGGTGCAGTGAGGTGTATTTTGAGGCGCCTCAGAATACACCTCACTGCGGTTGGTTACCATTACCAGCAATTACCAGCTGGATCATGGGTGTGGACGTGTCAGTCCTCATAATTACCAGCTACGTTGTCAACCACATGGGGCAGCTATTGGATAGGTATGTCTTATATACTAAAGTAATCACCTGTTGGAGCATGTCGCAAACGTGTCGGTCCTCGCGGTTACCAGCTACGTTGTCAATCGTATGGGCCAGTTCACTATACTCTTGGATTGGTATGGGCTGATAGCGGTTACCAGCTGTGCTTTCATCGTAGGACAACTGCTGGACAGGTACGTATCGGCTGATAGCAGAGCAGTTACTACTAGCTGTTACTGGCTAGAGCATGGGCGCACACATGTCGTCGGTGCATGTGGTTACCAGCTACGTGGTCAACTACATAGGCCAACTGCTAGACAGGTACAGGCTGACAGCGTCGTCAACTAGGCAGGGCAAATGTTGAACGGGTGTGGATTGGTGGTTGTCTGAGGGAGGTTTGGACGTGCCGGTGCGTGCGGTCACCAGCAGTTACCAGCGGTTACCAGCCACGTTGTCAATACATAAGCAACTGCTGACATGTATGCCAATCAGAAGTAACGATTGGATGTGTCAGTCAGCAGAGGATACTCACCTCACCCCTCCCCCTCGATACCGCCTCCCTTCCCCATCCTTCCCATTACCGTCCCCCAGAACCTCTCGAGGCAACGACTGCGCTGTGCTGGAGGAGATTTACCGGAGCCATGGGGCCGACCATTTGAAAGATTCCAGCAGCAGGCATCAACCGCTCTCCCCCTTTTCCCTTCTGTCCCTCTAACCTCCCTTGCAGAACCTCTCGAGGCAACGACTGCGCTGTGATGGAGGAGATGTGCCAGAGCCATGGGGCCAACATGTTGTAACTCCACCCTCGCTCTCCTAGTCCCCTTCCTCTCCCGCCCCCAGAACCTCTCGCGCCAACCACTGTGCTGTGTTGGAGGAGATTTACCAGAGCCGCTGAGAGAACGCACTTTCTGTTAGAATCTCTATGTATAGCATGCTAAGTATGAAGGGGTTGGGGCTACACCCAACTTTGGGTGTAGCTTGCTTTGTAGGTCTACACCCAACTTTGGGGTGTAGACTTGCAAGTTGGGGTGCCAATCCAACCCATAAGTGTTAGAGCCCCCAAATGCAAGTTGGGTGCCCCCTCCTTGCAACCCACAAGTTGGGTGCCCCCTCCTTGCAACCCACAAGTTAGGTGCCCCCTCCTTGCAAGTTGGCATAGGGGCTTGCCAACCACCCAACTCCCCCTCTTTCTCTTCCAAGTTCCTCTTGCATCCAATCTCCCCACTCTATGTATACTCTCTTGTGACCTAATCAATTCAATGGTTCACTTTACAACTTTCCCACTTTCATCCCTCTCCCACCCCGCGCTCACCCCCTTCCCACCAGAACCTCTCGAGCCAACTACTGCGCTGTGTTGGAGGAGATCTACCAGAGCCACGGAGCCGACCATTTGAAAGAGCCCGGCAGCAGCAGCAGCAGCAGCAGCAGCAGCCAGCAATTGGGTCATGCGCCACAGACGCCTGTGCAGGGAGCAACAGGGACGCCCAAGGAGTTGAATTCTCCTGCTCCTGCTGCTGTTGCTTCTGCCGCTGCCACGGCTGCAGCTGTTGCCACCCCAGGTGGCCCTTCCGACTCGCATCCTGCCCTAGATTCTGCCTCTGCTGCTGCTGGCAGTGGTGGTTTGAATACCGCACCAGAAACTCCCAAGGAAAAGGCTCGGGATAGTCAGAATGCTCTTGGTGGTGGTGGCAGTGGCGGTGGCAGCGTTGTCAGTGGCGGTGGGAAGAAGGGCAAGGCGGCGGGTGGGCGGCAGAGGAAGAGGCAGCTGGGGGCGGACATGGAGGCACTGTTGGATGCGCTCTATTTCAACATGGAGGCGCGCGGGAGGACCATTGCCGATGGTCCCCTTGCTGCACTGTTTGTGCTGAATAACGCCAACTACATCGCTTCTTCCATGTGAGTGTGTTGAGTGGTACAGAGCGGTTTAGAGTAGTACAGAGGCAGAGGAAGAGGCAGTTGGGGGTGGATATGGAGGCACTGTTGGATGCGCTCTATTTCAACATGGAGGCCCGCGGAAGAACTATCGCTGATGGTCCCCTTGCTGCCCTCTTTGTGCTGAATAACGCCAACTACATCGCCTCGTCCATGTGAGGGTTCTGAGCGGTACAGTGCGGTATGGGAGGCATTTGACGACCATCCCATGGGGTACAGCAAGCGTGTTGAGAGTCGCTTCTGTCGACTCAATATCACAAGGACTACAGCAGGAGGCACTCTGAATGCCTGTCAACCCATCCCCCTCTACATGCGCCCCTCTCCTCGTCCCCGCAGGTCGTCCGATCTGCGCCACTGACCGAATGCGGGACACCATTCGGTGTTCCGACTCCCACAAGGCGTGCGAACTGGAAAGGCGTGCAGCAGGCGTGTTTTGAGAATCTCAAACTGGAAGTCCCTTATAAGCCATCCGCCCTCCTCCCTATCTGCTTGTTCGTTTCCCCTTCCTCCCAGCTCCTCGGGTCGAATGCGGGACGCCATCCGCCACTCCGACCGCCTGGCGGACTACGAGTCAGCTTTTGAGAGAGCAGCGCTGTGCAAGGTACGAAGGGGGGAGTCTGCAAGTGTATGATGGGATGGGGATGTCGTGAAGCCCTTCCCTTGCTATCGTGGGCGTATCCCCGACCCATTCCAACCCATTCCAACCTATTTCAGCCCTCCACCCATCCCATCAGCTGCGAGCATGCTTGGTCCCATTGGAAGTGAGCCCCAAGAGCAGATGACCACGTATCCCCGAACCATTCCGACCCATTCCAACCCATTACAACCCATCCCTCCACACCAGCTGTCGGCATGCCTGGATGCACTGGAAGTGAGCGCCAAGATGAAAGAACTTTCTACTTTCCAACCCACTGCAACCCATCCCATCACACCACACCCAACCCCACCCCACCGCACTCCACCCCACCAGCTACTAGCATGCTTGGAGCCACTGTGAGTGAGCGCCAAGATGAGTTGACATCCCCCCACCCCACCCCAACCCCACTTCACCCCACTCCACCCCACTCTACTCAAACCCATCCCATCAGCTGCTGGCGTGCTTGGAGCCATTGGAAGTGAGCGCCAAGATGAGTGCCGACGGCGTCAAGCAGCGGTGAGTGCTCTGGATGGAATGATGAAAGTGGATGCTCTTACATTGGTGTCTGGTCTTGCTGGTACGGTGCGTGTCACCGTGGGTTCATGTCGATATATGTGCATGTCAATATGGGTGCATGTCACCATGGGTGCATGTAACCGTGGGTGCATGTCACTATCGTCTCCCCATCCATCCCTCCATCCATCCCCCCGTCCATCCCATCCGTCCCCCCGTCTCTTTCCCAATTGCATGCTTGCAGGTTGAAGCGGTTCAATGCGGTGTTTGAGGAGGTGGCACTAGAGCAGCGGCGGTGGCTCGTGTTGAGCGACAGCTGTCGTAAGGCCATGCGTGTGCGCTTCGCAAAGGTCATCAAGGGGTCTTACATGGACTTTCTCACGCCTCACAGGTGAGTGTGTGATGACTGAAACTTAATTCCTTTTCGCACAGTTCATTGGCATGTGGTTTGCTGAAGTCATCAAGGGTTCGTTCGTACCTGCCAGCGAACCCCCATTCATTGGTATGTGGACTTCCTCACTCCCAAGAGCTGAGTCGACAAGGAGGAAAGGTCTCACATTCATGATGTTGCTTCGCAATAACGGCTGTGATATTCACGATTGTGAGGTTTCTTAGATTAGAATCCACAACATTGTGCTTCTCGCGATATGCAACAATGCATACTTTTCCCTTTTTGTTTGATTGCTGACTTTCAGGGAAATAATCTCGGACATCCCGACGTACCATTGGTCCCCGGATGGAGTGGAAAGAATCATTCTCAAGAGTTTTTTCCTCGGTCGGAGCCTCCCTTGCGTGATGTCGGCCTGACACTACCAGCTCTGTTTGACAATACCTTAACAAAATCTTTAGGGTTAACAGCTTCCTTTGATTTGGGTTGTGTAACCATGTAGGCTGGGGCAGCAAATGTGTAATGGGCTTGGCCTACGAATCTTGTAAGTTATGCTAATGTTATACTGTAACTAACCTAGTAACTCAAATCTGTTTCCGAACACGTTTTACTGTTCTATCTAACGGACCCTTCGTATCGAAGCTTTTCCTCGCTCTCAACCTCGTTTTTGCAGTTTCCCCCCAAAAAGCTGAGTTCGCTCCCCGTCAGAATCAACAACCACTCATTTCACGCCGCCTTCCACGGTCCTTTTCGAACCTCCGGCGTTCCGCAGTTGCTGCGCTGCACTTCCACTCCGCCCGTTTCTCCGGTTCCCCGTTTCCCCCGTTCCCCCGGGTCCGCTTCTTCCGCGCGCCATGTCTTCCGCCAAATCCGCCGGATCTTTCCTCCGCTTCATCCCGCCGTCGTACCTTCCGCAGCGGATGGACGTGCGTAGCGCCGTTACATGGGGAACGACAGGAGTCGTCGGCGCGCTGTGGCTGATTCAGGTGCGACGGTCAGGTCCTGTCCGCGATATAGCATCACTGCATTGCCCCGTTAGAGCGCGTTACATATTTCCGATCTATATGGGACTGACAGTAGTCATCGGCGCGCTGTGGCGGGTTCAGCTGTGCTGCGATCGCGATCGTGAATGGATCCCGGCCGTTGGATGCGTGCAACACGATTTAGAGACGTGGTTATTCCTCGGCAACCAGCCCTCTAACAATATTGAGGCTCGGCGATTTCCTCCTTTTGCTGCTTTTAGAGGGTGCTTCCACTTTTGGAGCTTTGAGGCGCCTCAAAACTAGCTTCAAGAACGCAGTGGATGTAGCTTGGCAACCATCGCTTTTACTCTAGCTTGGCTCACCGCCCGTTGCTTTTCCACCATTGGAGCCGTCTCTTCCTGACATCTTTGCTCTTCTCTTATTCCTCTTTACCCCCTCCTCTTTGTCCCGTTGCCTGGTGCAGCCCTTTGGTTGGATCAAGGACCAAGTTTTCCCTCCCAAGGAGTCCTCCGAGGCTGCTATAGCGTTTTCATAATATACCATTTCCCCCCTCCCTGCTGCTGATTTCTCCTCTTCTCCTCTTCCCTCCTACCCGCCCTCTCTGTCTCCGTTGCTGGGTGCAGCCCTTTGGTTGGATCAAGGACCAGGTCTTCCCTCCCCAGGAGTCAACTTATGCTTACTATTTTCCCCCTCCCTGCTGCTAATCTTTCTTCTTCTCCTCTTCCCTCCTATCCCCTCCTCTGTCTCTGTTGCTGGGTGCAGCCCTTATCAACGAGTCAACTCAGGCTGCCATAGCATCTTAGAAAAAAAAAACTATTTTCCTCCCTCCCTGCTTTTATTATTTGCTCTTCCCCTCTTCCCTCCTACCCCCCCTCTCTGTCTCCGTTGCTGGGTGCAGCCCTTTGGTTGGATCAAGGACCAGGTCTTTCCTCCTAAGGAGACCTCCTAAGCTGTTGAATGGAGCTTTCTCTACCAGCATTAATCGCGTATTGTGAATGTACTGTAGTGGATTCTGACAGGTTGCTTGCTGCTAAGGGTATCAGCTTCCGATTTGAGTGGGTTGTGATTCGATCAAATGTTGCAGAAGGTGCATGGCTTGTCTAGTCTAAATATGGTCCTGGCTTTTGAATCTAATCAACACCAATATTGCAGTTTCACTTCACATCCATTGAGGGTACAAAACGAGGGGTTTTTTTTTCCCTATGTTGGGTCTGATTCAGCCATAGAGGCAGAGTGAAGGAAAGGCACCACTCCACAGTGCTGTGAAGGGCCGTGTGAATTTCCAAATACATAGTATATATCTATCTGATACCGTATGTGTGTTAGTTGGAGTCTTCATGTAATCGATAGTTCAGTATCGAGTAGCAACTTCGAAGGGCGCGAAGTGGTTGGTTGGTGGAAGGTAATGCCAAGAGAGGCCTCACGGTAAATTTCGGCCATCGTTACAGGCACATTCCAGAAAACACTGTTGAACTGTACGCATTTTCCAACGTCGAGCCAAATACATCAGTCGCTTTCAGCAATACACGTGCCGTAGATCTTTCACGACTGCCAGGATCCAGCCGTCCATGTAGTACACTACTCGAATCTTCCCTACGCGTCCGAAGCGCCAAGACGAATCGCGGATGCCTCCTGTAAAAGCACACTTTTGTCGCACTGTACACACGTTGCTTTCACCGTTTGGCTCAGCTCTAGCCTCCCTCTCTCAACACACCACACCACTGCTTCCCTTCGCTCTCTCGCTCATCCGCATTCCCCCGATTCGACCCCCGACCTGACCTGACCGATCCGCACCCTCCTCCTCACCCTCCCTTTCCAGTTGTCCTTTACTCCCATTTCCCTCCCTCCCACCAACCTCCCCTCCCAACCCCGCATTTGCTATCCCGCACCATTGTGAACCACGCTGAAATATACTTTACCACACCGTCTTATTTCTCAACCTAGCTTCACCTGTTGCCGTCATAACCAACAGCTCATTTCACTTTCATGGGCTACAGACTCAGCTTTCTGATCAGCACGTGTTCTGGACCGTGTTTCACGGAAATGCCAATGCGGACAGAAGTATGACTGACTGCGCGCGCGACCACAAGTGACCCGTTCAATTCCACCTCTAGTCTAGCCAGCCACCCACCTTATTCAACGACTTTCGATACACTCAAAAGTCGTCAGCACGTGCATAAAGCCATTAGCATCGCTAAAATTCTGCCCCAGCCAGCTCGTCCCGCGACTCACGCAACGGCAATCTCGGCGCTTCATAAAACTATGACATTAGCGTAAATAAAAGCCGCGACAAAGCTCTTTTCGCTTCGACAAACACACCTGCCACGTATCTAACCATCGACTTGAAGAGCTTCCCAACTAGGAGCTGCAGGCGGCAATTAGAATGAAGAGGCGTGGAGCGACCCGCCAAACCGCGATAGCAGTCTTAGCTCTCCTCCTCTTAGGGCTTGCCACTTGTCGTTCACAGCCGGAGGAGGACGAGGCTCTGACAGGTCAGCCCGCTGCTCTGCCCGACGACATAGAAGTCGCAGACGCTTTCAGCGCCGCAATCGGCGGCGGAAGCAGCGGAGGCGGCGGGACCGGCGGAGACGGCGCAGACACGTATTCAGACGATTGGGAGGATCCTCTTCCCGGAGACCACCCTAACGGGGATGACACGATAGTAGACACGTCAGACGACGTCGAGGCGGATAATTCGCCGGCAAATGCGGCGAGAAGTGATGTTATTCCGGGTAACCGCAAACCAGGCGATTTAGTCCCTGGCGAAGAGGAAGGGGAGGCGGGGCGAGGGGCGCAGAGGGGAGCGGGGAGGGGAGTGAAGGGAGGAGCGGAAAAGGTAGTGAGGGCGCAAGCGGAGGGGGAAGCGGAGAGGGGGGGAGCGGAGGAGTGGGAGGCGCAAGAAGAATTGGCGGAGGAAGAGCCGGAAAACCCGTGGGTGGAGAATGGGAGGGGGGAAAGTTCTTCCGCCGCTGTGGCGCAAGCGCAGGACTACCAGCCGGGCGGGGAAGATGGATTTGCGGAAGGGCTGAGCGGAAAGGCGGAGGCGCAAGCGCAGGACGACCAGACGGGCGGGGAAAATGGTTTTGCGGGAGGGCTGAGCGGAAAGGCGGAGGCGGAAGAGGAGCCGAGCAGTGATTGGCCGGCGGGGGAAGCGGGGAAAAGCACGGAGGAGGAGGTCGGGGACGAGAGTGAGAGTGGCACTGCGACTATCCAGGAAGCTGATAGCGGGTATGGCGACACAGGCGGAACGTATGAGCGGAACGTGCCGGCGCAGGGGGGTGGGGGCGCGGAACACCCCGCGCAAGGGGACGCCTGGACCTTCGAGGAGGATCAACCCGGGCAAGGCGGGGCGCAAGGGGGGGAGATGGGGGAACAGAGAGGGGGGGGAGATCCGGGAGCGGGAGACGAGAGGGGGGACAATAGCGACTACTTTTTTCACGGGCAGGACCCGGAGGAGGAGGAGTGGCAGAAGCGGAAGCACAATTGGCAAAATGCGGGTCCAAATGGTGACTCTAACGACCCTAATGCTGCTGATGACGCTAATGGGCCTAGTGACTATAACGAAGCAGAGCAGACCCGAAATCCTGGGAGCCCCGCGGATGCTAACCCTAATGGTGGGAATCCTGATGACGATTTATTTTCTGACAACAATCCGTCTAGTTCTGACGAAACATTTCCTGACAGCAGCAATCCGGCCGCTCAGGACGCCGTGGCAGCTAAGATGGCTGACTCAGCTACCACTGGGTCAGGCTCGGAAGGATCCGAACCTGCAGCTCCGGCGAGTAACAGTTACTCTGAAGGCTACGAGAAGATGGCTGGCGGACAGATCAGCGCGGAGGGCATCTTAGGGATCGTACTGGGTGAGTGATAAGTGAAAGGTTGTCTCCTGCTGGTCTCTGTGTGCGGGTCTCTGTATTCATGCTTTCCTTTCTGACGTCTACCCATACCAACCCCTCCCCTTTTGAGGGGTAATTCTGGGTGCTGGCTTCTGTTTCTTGATAGACTGTATGTGCTATGTTCGGCAACGGAACATCAGCCGTGCTCATTTTTATATTCCCATTTTACCTCCTCCTTCATCAACCCCTCCCACTTCCAGGAGTGACGCTGGGTGCTGGCCTCTGTCTCCTGGTGGTCTGTGTGTGCTGGGTGCGGCAACGGAACATCAACCGAGCCAAGGAGTATGTGCATGCATTTGCCTCGTCATCGTTCTGTCACTCACTTGTGCACTTGCCTCTCACTTGTCTCGCGTTTGTCTCCCCATCGCACATGTTCCAATCATTCTGTTCTACACCACTTTTAGTATCGTTCTAAGCGTAGTACACTCATCGTTTTCCCCTCCTCCCATACCTTCACCTTCTCTCCTCCACCTTTAAGTCTTCAGCCTCCGTGCAACAACCCTCTTTCCTCCTCTCTTACACAATTGGCGCAGATCCGAAGCCATGACAGCATATGTAGATGACAGCAACGAGGAAGAGGACGAGGAGGGGCTGGAGGAAGCAGCAGAAACGGCGCTGATGGGCGGGATAGTGGGAACACACAGAGCCCTTGATATTGAGGCACAGCAGGCATTGAAGTCCTCCAAGCGTTGATGCTAGGTCAGAGTTATTGGTTTTAGTGACTGATTGACTGGAGGAAGCAGCAGAGACGTCGCTGATGGGCGGGATAGTAGGAGAACACAGAGCTCTGGATATTGCAGCACAGCAGGCGTTGAAGTCATATGGGCGTTGACAGTACCGGTAGGGATGGTTTGCAGTGAGGACGAGGACGAGGAGGGGCCGGAGGAAGCAACAGAAATGTCGCTGATGGGAGGGATAGTGGTAGGAGCATACAGAGCCCTGGATATTGAAGCACAGGAGGCATTGAAGTCCTCCAGGCGTTGACAAAAGGTCGGAAGTTTATGATTTGCACTAAGGGTTCTGGTTACTAATTGATAGAGCAGCTCAGCTGTTGTGGATTGTCAACATGCCTCTCTAGCATGTACTAGGATTTTGTAGTTTAGTGGTAGGTAACTAAGCCAGGTTTGGTATTCAGTTGTTAATAACTGCATATGACTACAATGGAATTGCAAGTGAATTCAGGGGTTTGTCCGAGAGTGGAGGCCATACCATGCCCCAGCGCACGCTGAGGGAGACAACTTGGTGCAAGAGCACAAGTCATCATTTAGTAGACCCACCATTACAGGTAATTAACAGCGCCAAGTTTTGCCAAGGCTGACATCATGCTGTTTCTCAAATAGCTATAAACAATTCAACCCAGTCTCAAGGCCATCTCTATTTCAAATTACTGAAAGCGGGTACTTGTACTGCTTCGTGCTCACTCCAGCCAGCAACCTCTCGTCAACAATCCACGAATGCACATGCTCCAAAAACGTCTTCCCTTCAGGCCTGAACTTCCTCGGAACGTACGTCGCTGCAGCATTGGCGTCGTAGCTCTCGATAGGCCGGGCCATGGCGAGTCCTGGGGTGTGCGCGAGCCCCGCGAAATACGCTTCCGCCATGAACGCCACTGGCGCTTCGGCTCCGTCGTTCTCCTGCTTCAGATTGGCGAATTTGTCGCCGAGACCGGCGGCGTACTTCTCGCTCATAACAAGATCCGACAGCATCAACGGACAGCGCATGTAGTGTCCCCGGTCCGTCCCTTCGAGAACATCTAGAGCAGCAACTGCTTTCGCGTTTACTTCGTACACTTCACCCGGAACCCTGTGGCCGCTGCCAGGCAGATGAAGCAGGAACGGCACCTGAAACGGACCGCAAACGAGCGGATAATTCTGTAGCGTTTGAGCGGTCCCGATTTTAACGGCGTCGCCGTCGGCCATGAGTTTCTGCAGAAGCCAGTGATTCCCGAATCCCTTCTTCAGGGTGCCATACACGAACGCTAGTGAATGGCCTTCGCGAGGAAACGGCAAGTCGCCGGTCACTTCGTTCGCTTCCTCGAAGTCAAGGGGAACCGCCGGCGACGTCGCCGGGAGGTACGCGCTCCTGCTTGCGACTTCCAGGTCGGCCTGCGACTGGCTGCGCGACAGCGCGGTCAGGCAGGGAGAGGACGCGGAGGTACGCAGCTGCGCGGACGATGTCATGCGGACAGGAGAAGCGGATACACAGAGCTTCTCCTGAGAGGAGACGACATGGCTTGATGAGAGGCGGCTGGATGATGCTGCAGCCGAGCAGGCAAGAATAGAGGCCATCCCAATCCGATAACGAATCTGGAAGCAGGGTCACGAGAGACAGAATAGGGATTTGAACGACGATGAGGAGGATGGTAGATTGCAAAACACATCAAGAAGGTGACGGGTCGAAGGACGAGACACTACCGAGGCTACCGAAAATAACTAGCTAAGCAACATCTTGACTATACTCTTGCTAGTAACATGGCGGGACGGACAGGGCGATAACGCTCTAGCTATTGTACGAAGAAGCAACGACAGGAAAGAAACTGAAATCCGACCTGCTCAGACGAGAGACTGCGTCAGCGCTCGAGGAGGCACGAGAGCACAAACCCCGGCAGAGCTGGGGACGGGCACTCACACCTCACGAGAAGCAGCAGAGCAGAACACGCAGAGACGACTACGATAAGGTGAGTGGATTGGATGACACTGGATCAGACTCATGAGTGGAGCATTTGTAGGAGCAAGAAACTGGAGAGAGTGGGGAGAAGGGCGGGCAGGAGACGAGGGTAAGGGGGGATTTACCTTGGCGGAAGAAGGGGGAAGGGGGATTCCTTTCGCAGACGAAGTGGAAATTGAGGGAACGCGGGAACAAAATCTAGATGAAAAAGGGGAGGGGAGGGGCAGAAACGCGGAACGAGCGAATTCAGCCTGCTTCGCTGGCACTGGTAACCCTTCCAGAAAAGTTTCGAACGTCGTTCCGCGCAGAAACGATGGCAGGGAAATTCGGCGGCAATCCCTGAGCGCCCCCTTCCCCTCAACCACCTCGAAGTGGTGGGCTGTTCCGAGCGTAGCCACAGGCTTTTCTGGAACGCGTGTGATGTCATGCATGTCATGTCACGCGGGCACGCTTGTGAGGACGAGAGTGGCGGGATTTCTGGAACAGCGAGTGCACGAATCAGCTTTCACGGCTTTTGCGGCTCTTGGGGATAAATGGAGTCAGCTTACCCTTGGTAACCAAACAAGAGCCGCGTGATTCCAGTGAGACGTGGAGCCAAGTCAGCAGAGTAGGTATCCACCGTCAGACCAAATGGGAACCGTGAATGAACAAGCGGATCGGCCCACGTGCTTGCCAGATTTCGTCACGTGCCAGCCAGCCACCCCAATGTCATCGTCCAAATGATTTGAAGGACGTGTGGTGCCAAAAGTCTCGATGTAAAATGGTCTGGTAATAAACCGCTGCTGACTTCTGTAATAGTGAAAATCTCAAAACAGTATACACCTTTTCTGTCAGCCTGCACAGCCGCACCCTACGTCGGTAACATGCTCAGCGCGCACATTCAGATCACCCCACCACACATGTTCAGGAAAAATTGCTCGATAGCATGCCAAAGTGAACTACGAATTTGTTTGTCATTCACAGTTCCTTCCCACACATGTATCTTCTCTCGTGTCATAAGAATTTCCATGTGAAGCTCGTTATTTATGCATAATAGCTAGCATCTCCACTCACTCTGGAGACGTCTTTTCCTGGTAACTTCCACAACATAAGCATACAACAGTCGGATTTTCTATGCTGTCATGGCCTCTCCACCCTCCTTCACATCCCCATCACCTTCCTGCGCAGCTTCCCTCATCACATCTTGTCCATCAGCAGGAGGAGCAGCAGCAGCAGGAGCAGCCTCCTCTGCCTGCTTCACACCCTCCTTTTCCTCGAGCTTATGCAAGCGTGCGAACAAATTGCCATAAATCTTCTTCTCCTTCTGGTTTTGCTCTGCGATCTTCCGCTTCAGCTGCCGATACTCCAGCTTCAGGTCCCTGGTAGGGGGGTACACGGGGAGGAACACAAGGGGACACTTGTCAGCACCTGTAATGAATTCATCCTTGCTGCTGGGAGTCGAGTTTCATGTTCCAGGTAATATGAAGCAGCAATACAGTAAGGTTTAGGGAATTTCTTCAGAGTTTAGCGTCAGGTTTGTGCCCTGGCCTTCCACCACAAGCTCACCTGTTCGCAGGGTCGAGATCACGAGCTGGTTTAATGACCCATTTTGCCAAATAACAGTTCTCCGTGCCCATACATGCCTGGGCACGCCAGTGCAGCAATGCACCTTACCACATTAAGACCCAAACTCCAGTGCTCACCTCTTCTCAGGGTCGAGGTCAAGAGTCTTCTTGGCGTCCCACTCTGCCAAGCCATAATCCTCCGTCCCCATATACGCCTGGACGCGCCAGCAAGGCAGCTTACCACTAGGGAGACTCATAACTCCACGCTCACCTATTCTCAGGGTCGAGGTCGAGGGCCTTCTTGACATCCCACTCAGCCAATCATAGTCCTCCATGCCCATAAACGCCTGAGCTCGTCGATAAAGCGCTGCACCTTACCACTGAATGCTCAAGGCTCACGCTCACCTGTTGTCCGGTTCAAGATCGAGGGCCTTCTTGACGTCCCACTCAGCTAGGTCATAATCCTCTGTGCCCATATACGCCTGGGCGCGCCGATACAGCGCTTTCACGTTCGACCCCTCCAGCTCCAGCACCTTACTCGTCAGCTTCACAGCCGCTGGGAAATCCTTCAGCTTCAGCTGGCACGCAGCCTCGTTCAACCCGCACGACACCTTGAGCACCTTGCACGCCTTCTTCTCCTCGTCCTTAAACTGAGTGTCGTACTCGATCAGCTTCATCGCCTTGGAGTATTTTTTCGCTGCCCGGACGAATTTTCCGGACTTGAAGAGCACATTACCCTCCTCCTTTTTCTTTGCTGCGTGTGCGACCTTCTCCTCATCCCCAAGCTCCCAGGACTCCTTATCCTTAAAAAAATCTGCCAGCCGAAGCTCATACACAAGCGTCGAATTAGCAGGGACTGTGCCTTTTTCCAGGGTCTTTTCCTCAGAGCCGTAGGCGTATTCTGGGGCGATGGTGATGGTGGCGAGCTCTCCCTTCTTCATTTTCATTACTGCTTTGTCCAGCCCAGGCACGACTTGGTCTGAAGGGAAGCAGGCAGGGAGGGGGGCGGAGGAACAGATGGGGAGGGATTCAACAGAGGAACCAAGGTAGAATTGGCAGGAACTGCCCTTTTCCAGGGTCTTTTCCTCGGAGCCATAGGCATATTCCGGGGCAGTGGTGATGGTGGCAAGCTCTCCTTTCTTCATCTTCATTACTGCCTTGTCCAGCCCAGGCACGACTTGCTCTGAAGTGAAACTAATAAGGATGGGACGAATTACATAGGACTGGAAGGTAGAAGTTCAGAAAATATAACTTAGCTGGCACAATTTCCCATCCCAGACATCAACGCCAGGTGATAAGAAAGGGTTGACTTGACAACACAGTCGAACGGGTCAAGGGAGTGAGGGGGGCGGATGATGTGGCAAACTTTTGAGGCGCCTGAAAAGGCGGGTCAAGGGGGTGAGGGGGTTGGATGATGTGGTAAACGTGGCACAACACCGGGTGATAATAAGTGGAACATATAAATCAAGCAAAACGCGGTCCCAACGCTCCTGTGACAACCACCTTGAGATTGTACAACCTTATTCCACCATCCCACGCTCACCCATTCCAGAATCCCCCGCTCACCTTCATCTGTGGTGAACTCAAACGGGTCCTCCCCATCGCTCATGCCCTTTTCTTCCACCACCATTCCGTCTTCGAGCCGCAGAGTGTAGCGCACTGGAAGGAAGGCACCAGAGGAGAATATACACGAGCAGAGAAACAGCAGAAAACTGGGCATGAGACACCAGCAGGCCTTTACATGCGCCCTGCGACAAGGTCATATGCTCATATGCATGCACTGCACCGTATGCTTTGACTGGTTCGTCAGACTGGTTTCAAGACCTCTCAATAACAGCGTGCTGTCAGCACCTCGTTCACACCGACTTGTCATTGCACACTCGTACCCAGCCCAAACCAATACAACCCAGCCCAATCCAATCCAACCCAGCCCAGCCCAGCCCAGCCCAGTCTCCCACCGTCTGCTAAGCTCACCTTTCACCGCACATAACTTTGACCACCGGGTTAGTCCTCTGCAACCTTCTCCACCTCCCTCCACCGCAGCAGCTCCAGGTCGATGCTCAGCCGGACCCAGCCAAACCCAGCCGAACCCAGACCAACCCAGCCGAACCCAGACCAACCCAGCCGAACCCAGACCAACCCAGACCGACCCCAACCCAAACCAACCCAGACCAACCCAGCCCAACCCATACCACTACCAGGGCACGTACCTTTCACAACCGACTCGTCATTGGGTAGTTCGTAGACCTCCCCCGCTTCAATCTCCCACTAAACAGTAGTCTACTCAGCAGCAGGGCACGTACCTTTCACAACGGACTCATCGTTGGGTCGCTCATACCCCTCCCCAGGCTCAATCTCCTCCTTCATGGCCTTCCTGTCCTCTGTCACCTTCTCCACCTTCCTCCACCGCACTGGCTCAGGTCGATGCTCAGCCCAAACCAGCCTAATCCATCCCAACCCAGCCTCACCTTTGACAACGGACTCGTTGTCAGGCCACTCGTAGCCTTCCCCCACTTCGTTCTCCTCCTTCATGCCTTTCCCTATTCTGAAACGTTCTTCCGAATTCCTCCACGTCACCAGCTCCAGGTCAATCCAAGCCAAACCCAGCCGAGTCCAGACCAACCCAGCCCAACTCAGCCCAACCCAGACAAGCCCAGCCGAACCCAGACCAGCCCAGCCACTACCAGGGCACGTACCTTTAACCACCGACTCGTCGTTGGGTCGCTCGTACCCCTCCCCAGCCTCGATCTCCTCCTTCATGACCTTCCCGTCCTCTGTCACCTTCTCCACCTTCCTCCACGCCACCAGCTCCAGGTCAATGCTCAGCGTCTCGTTTGGCGGAATTGCCGGCTGGCCGTCAGTCTCTGGACGGCCGGTTTCTCCAAAACCGTCTGTTGGCGTTTACACAAAACAAGAGACGAAATGATCAGGATGCGATAGAGGATGCAACTGCATACGGGGGAACACTAGGGGGGGGAGAAGCAGGCAACAAGGGGACACAATCAGCTGTCACACTCACACTGCGACTTCACAGTGGACAATTCACTCACACTGGGGCTTCACGGTGAGCAGAACCTTCTCCCCCTGGTGCATCGTCTTGATAGCGCGCGGAAGAGCCGCACAGAAGTGGCCGTCCTTGAGGTAAAACTGCTCGCCACCGTCGCCCGTCTTGGTTACCACAGTGCCGTCGTGTAACCGCACCTCGTACTTCACTGCACGCACAAGAGAAAGAGCGGATTGGGACGAGGAGTTATAACCTTCAGTCTCAGCCTCGCTATAAGCTTACTCGGGCTTGATTATATCAACGGACCTCTCGCGTCTCTCCACGGACCGTATACCTGGGAGATTTCGCGACACAAGCGTACCTGTGACCTTGTCCATCTCTTTAGGCGTCTCCCACTTCCTGCCCTCCACATATTCACAAAAACTAGAATCACTTTCAAGTAGACTCCATGTCCATGCCGTACCTGTGACCTTGTCCATGTCTTTAGGCGTCTCCCACTTCTTGCCCTCCACGAGAATCTTCTTGAACACGCCGCCATCGCCGCAGATGTCCTTCACGCTGATCCACGACAGCAGCTCCACCTCGAACTTCAGCGTCGCGTTAGCCGGGATGGTCGGCGGAGAGCCAGCCTCGCCATAAGCGTACTCGGGCTTGATTGTGAAGATGGACTTCTCGCCTTTCTTCATGGATGCGATACCCTTATCCCATCCCTTAATGACTTGGCCTGCAGGCAGCAGGAAAATAATGCGCAGAAAAAGAGATGTGAGCCGGGTGTTTTGGAGAATTCTTAACGGGTCACACGTCACAACGGGTCAGAGAAGTCGCATCAGCAAGTACGGAATCGGCCACGTGCGACGCAATTTCCCGGAAACAGGGAGAACACTAAACTACACCGGACTTGGCCATTGCTTTGGGATCATGGCTTACCTTGTCCCAGCTTGAAGTTGAACGGCTCTCCTCTGTCGACGCTCGAGTCGAACTTGGTTCCGTCCAAAAGGGTTCCGGTGTAGTGAACTGGGGGAGAGATGAGACGCGATGGGAAGCGTGAAGAGAGAAATTCGGACTCAGCTTGTTTACGGGAATTCTGAAAGCAAAACACGAAAGTGAAACCAGGTAAAGCATCTCAATAAAGACCGACGGCCCAAAAGCAGCTAAGCAGACCTCCAGACTAACACCATCCAAATTGGACAACAAATGGACCTGAGTAGATTTGAAAAAGAGGCAGATCGGATCTCCAATCCTCACCTGACACCTCATCGCCAGCCTCGGGCTTGTCCCAGCCGTCGCCGGCCTTCACAAGCAGCTTCTTCACTCCGCCATCGCTGGTCAGATCCTTCTCCTCCCCCTCCGTCTGCGGAGCGTACGCAGCTTCGTCCTCCTCATCCCCCCCCATCGGAATGTCCATAGGCATCTCGCCGCTCGCGTTGAAGTCCATTTCTTCCTCCATTGGAATCACAACAGCAGCTTAAGACGACAGACGGAAATGATCAATAGTCAGCTGATCTTGATGGCAGATCCTAATGGCAAGTCTGATCATCGATGGGGAGTTGAGTACCTGTTCTAATCAAAGCGATGAAAGAAGATTCTTTGTGGCTTTTATTTCTGAGAGCCTGGTTGAGCCAATTTGTGAAAGCAAGTCCAAGGTGGGTGGACTGCTGGAGTCACGACTCACAATGGTGGGAATCGATTCGAGAGGAAACAGATCTTTCTCGAGATTGCCGAGTCAGCGATCTGTCTCGGCCTTCTAACGACGTGGCGACTGACCTGGCGAGGCCACATGGAGATTCTAGAAGCGACGCGATGCATTCGAGAGGGATTTCCTGCATGCTGATTCGCAGTCGCAACTCGTCGTTGACGAAGCATCGGGAAACTTTCAGTGTTTCATATGTTCCATGTACACGAGACTCTAAAGCTAGAGATGAGGCATCATATATGCAAAGTGATTTCAAGTGCTTAGAGTTTTGGAATCATATGTGGTAACATGTTTGTAGCTATATAAACATATAATAGGACATTGATTAAACGACTAAATTGATGTAAAATCTAGTCTAAACTTCATTTCAAAAACGATTCTATAACTCTAGATGTGAATCCCTTCGACAGACTCTGAGCGCACAAATTACAAACCAATAGCGGGGTTTTACTACACCTCTTCCCAGATGGCTGGAGGTGCGGGGGATTGCACGAACGTGAAATTTCTCTCGTTTTCGTCTCTGGTACAGTTGCTCGCCGAAGAACCCGCCAATGAGAGACCAGATGTTCGATTTACACGAGGCAAGTAAAATCTGGCGCGTAAACATTTTTAGGTTCATGGCCACGTGGCACAATCGCTGGCTTCACAACAATGTACCTCGCACCATACCGTACGTTCAGGATTTCACGATGATGGCTTGGAGGGATTGCGGCAACTTCTGGCCACACTCAAGGTTCGTCAGCCGCCAGAAAACTTTCTGACCATGCCTCCCCCATCAACGGGGAAGTGGAGTTTTCCCGGGGCAGCAGGGTTCCGCTCAAATCGCAGATGTGCCGATGTCAGCCTCAAGTCACACGGCAAATCTCCCTCTGACTCCCCCCACCACAAGCGCAGCAGCGTGTCCGCCAGTGCGTCTGCTCTGCAGGGTAATTGACGATGAATGGAAGAAGGGAGGCGGGGCGAGCTTCACAGGCTCCTGGAACCAATGAAAACGGCTTTGTTGCCCCAACCAGTTGTCTCCGCCTCCCCCGGTCCATTTCCCCCCTCCCCCGCCCCGTTCCCCCTCGCACTTCCCCAAGCCGGGTGATCTGCTTCTGGGTCTCTGGTCTGGGGTCAGGCCTGGTGTGGTGTTGTGCGAACCTTCTGTGGTGTCTTGTGCTTGTGGCTGGATTTGAGTGAGGGGAAATGAAGACCCCGCCTGAGCGATGAGCCTTCTCAAGAACAAGCCCTCGTGACGTGAACCGCTGAGTTTGAAAGAAGTGGAGACGCAAGCTCAGACTGGTCATTGTTGTATGCTGTCATCATCCCTGGGCTGATTCTTGGCTGCTCATTCCACAGCTCTTGGTTAGCTTCGAAACAAGACTACGCGAAGCTGCTGTCTCTCTCCAGAGCTGGACCAGACTATTATTGTCTCTAGTCCCCGCTTTGCAGTACCAAGTTTGGTAGTCCGTGTATATACTTATCTAAGCCGCCAACATGTTGGTTGAAAGCTTCAAGGTTGATAGCCCAGATGTTGTTTATGGTGATGAGTACATCACCTCGAAATATAAGTACCAGACTACGGACCTAGATTGTGCTGTTAGGGATGGAAAGTTCGACTGGACGGTCAAGCCAGTCAGCAAGCAGTATGAATTCAGGACGCAGACCAAAGTCCCAAAGTTAGGGTAAGCCCTGCTTCTGTCGCAACTACATTAGCTTTTATTTTTTGGGATTTTTCTAATGTTGCTTTATGTTTCTTTGTTTCAATGCAGCGTTATGCTTGTAGGTTGGGGAGGCAATAACGGCTCCACCTTGACAGCTGGAGTTATCGCCAATAGAGAGTAAGGGACACAGCCGCTTGTCACGCATCATCGCTTTCATTCATAAACACTCTCCATCTGCGGCCTTGTCCTGCTCTTAGACCATCTATTTGTCAACCTCCAGTCTCAGGCAAACCATGTATGAACAAACCATGTTTGGCCTTTGTTCCTCGCAGAGGAATCTCATGGCTGACCAAGGATGGCATTCAAGTTGCCAACTACTTCGGCTCAGTTACCCAGGCGTCAACCTGCCGTGTCGGCTCGTACAAGGGCGAGGAGATCTACGTCCCCTTTAAGAGCCTCCTCCCTATGGTGCGTGCTTACACTTTCACCCTCGCACCTTCCAGTTCCGACCACGAGCAGAAAAAGCTTAGCCCGTACTTCAGAGTTTAGTGGTATTGACGAAAAACTTCCAACTTGATTGGTTCGCTCAGTCGCTCTCTTTCCTGTTTCTCACCCTCCAGGTTGACCCTAATGAGGTTGTTTTTGGCGGTTGGGACATTTCAAGCATGAATCTGGCTGACGCCATGGCCAGAGCGAAGGTTCTGGACATCGATCTGCAGAAGCAGCTCTACAGCCACATGAAGGACATGTCACCCCTGCCTGGGATCTACGACCCAGATTTCATCGCCTCGAATCAGGAGGCTCGCGCTAACAATGTCATCAAGGGTTCAAAGAAGGAGCAGATGCTGCAGATCATTCAGGATATCAGGTTAGTGCGTAGAATGGAATGGCTGTCTATAACCCCTTCATTCAGTTCTCTCAACCACTTGGTGTTCGTCGAGGGCTGACACCAGTTCCTTATGTTCCTCGTCTTATCCGTTCCTCTCATCTACCGTCCTCTCTGCCGACTCTCTGTGTTTGTTTTCCCACAATCGTGCTGCAGGAAGTTCAAGGAGACAAGCGGCGTGGACTCCGTTGTCGTTCTCTGGACGGCCAACACAGAGCGCTACAGCGATGTGCTCACCGGCCTTAACGACACAAAAGAGAACCTCTTTAACGCGATCGACCGCAACGAGAGCGAGATTTCCCCGTCCACGCTGTACGCCGCGGCGTGCATCCACGAGAAGGTTCCGTTCATCAACGGCAGCCCGCAGAACACGTTCGTCCCGGGGCTGATCGAGTACGCGCTGGAGAACAACAGCCTGATTGGCGGAGACGATTTCAAATCTGGGCAGACGAAGATGAAGTCCGTTCTCGTGGACTTCCTCGTCAGTGCGGGAATCAAGGTGAGGCTGGCTTAGAAGTTTGGGTGAACCTGGGTTGATAATCAACAATTGATCAAAGCAGCCCATTTGTCAGCGAGTGTTGGTAAGGGCGGTATTCGATGTGAGGTTATAGCGAAAAGGAGTAGATGAGAGGAAAACGGAAAAGACTTACAGGTGCCACGGTGATTGTTGGTGGGGGGAATGGGTAGGTACAACAAGACAACTAGCGCGTTCTCAACGAAAAAGCTAGGGAGGCCGCTCAATTCGTAAGAACTGACTCAGAGGATTGGGTGTTGCGAAAATGCCTGCAACCCCATACATATTTCGATCCCTTAGCTCTTAGAAGATACTCAATAGTGAGCTGCGACTACCTGAACCAATAGCAATGGGCGGGCATGATTGCTGTCATCGTCTTTCGCACCCTCCACTCATTTCTCCTGCTCACCTCCCTTCTTTCCCTTCCCAACCCCCATTTTCCCCCGTTCTCCGTGTAAGGTGTGCCCATTGTGAGCAACAGGCACCTGGGCAACAACGGCAGCTTGTTCTGTCGATGATGCTCTAAACACATTCCTTACCTTGTCTAATGCACCATGCATTCTTCCCTTTTCTCCCTCCAGCCCATGTCGATAGTGAGCTACAACCACCTGGGCAACAACGACGGTATGAACCTGTCGGCGCCGCAGACGTTCCGGTCCAAAGAGATCTCCAAGAGCAACGTGGTGGACGACATGGTGGCCTCTAATTCTATCATCTACGATAAGGGCCAGCACCCCGACCACGTTGTCGTCATCAAGGTATGCTCCTTGTCAATTCCCCCCTCCCTCCTCCCTCCCCCACCCTCCTCCTTCATCCCCCCTCCCTCCTTCCCCCCTCTCTTCATCACTCCCCCACCCCCCGTCCCTCCTCCCGTCCACCCGACCCATTGCCTCCCTTTGCCAGTCCCCCAACTTCTTTCCTCCCTTCAATCCTCTCTTCGTCACCCTCTTAGTCCCTGTTTGGTCAACCTATGCTTACTGATAAGTATGCGAAATTTGGAAGCACTATCGCGACTTACAGTAACTAAGTTCACCCGGGTAGACGAATCTACTTCTTCCCCCCAGCGTCCCCCTTACCCATCACACTATCTCCCTTACAATACCCCTCTTGCAGTACGTGCCCTACATGGGGTCAGCAGAAACCAACATTCTCTCAACTTTTGATTACCCCTGTCTCCCTCCAATCCCCATTCCCTTCTCAATCCCTCCCTTCTGCAGTACGTGCCATACGTGGGCGACAGCAAGCGAGCCATGGACGAGTACACGTCCGAGATCTTCATGGGCGGCAAGAACACCATCGTCATGCACAACACGTGTGAGGACTCGCTGCTCGCCGCACCGCTCATCCTCGACCTTGTGCTGCTGGCCGAGCTCTTCACTCGCATCCAGCTGCGCCGGGAGGAGGAGGAGTTCCACTCGTTCCATCCGGTCGCGTCTCTGCTCAGCTACCTCTCCAAGGCGCCCCTGGTATGTCACTCTTTCTTATCCCCGAGGTGTTTCAAGGAAGAGGAGGAAGGAGATTTTACTTGTCCATTTCTGGCTTTCTGAGCCCTCCTACTTGTATTCTTTGTGGGAACGTGTTCTCACACCAATACCGCTGTCAGATTTATCAAGCATTCCTGTTCCCAGTATCACGTTTACAACATTTTATTTCTTTTGAAGAGCATCTCAATGCTCCATAGACTAGCTCTGCCAGTAACTCCAGCCAGTGGACATTCTCTGTGGTTTGTTGCTTAGTTCCCTTACCGTGCGGTGCCTTCCTTCTGGCTGTATCATATCCTGTCGTGTGCAGGTCCCTTTTGGTACACCTGTCGTCAATGCATTGGCCAAGCAACGAGGGATGCTTGAGAATGTTCTCCGCGCGTGTGTGGGTCTTGCACCAGAGAACAATATGCTTCTAGAATACAAGTAGCTTGGAGAGCTGCAATAATCTGTACTGTACTTGGTAGTGCTAATTTAGGGTCATGCCCTACAGGGCAAACTCCTGGTTTGGAAACTCAAAACCTTGTGATGCGTAAGAGAGTGACATATGGGTACTACCAGTGCAAACAACTTCTGGCTACGTTCTCCTTGAACTAATTTCCCCCGCAAGTCAAGATCTATTCTCTATGCAGTGGTGGGCCTTGTGGAGTGCCAAACAAACCTCAATTAAACTGAAGTTTTGATGGAAATTTTCAAACGTCTCTCGACCAAAATGTATACTCGAATCACAACGCTCATGTTAATACCGCGTATTCGATTGCTTGTCATGGAAGCATTTGCCCGTCACCGTCCCTTGAATGGCAGCCCACGTCAGCAATCTCCGTGGTTGTGGGCATGGTGGCGAAGAATCCAGCGTGCTTCACCTTTCTAGAAGCTGCTGCGCTTCGCCTCCGGATATTTCACATCCCTGTAACCAAGATCCTTAAAGCTCGGGTCTCAAATTTCCAAAGGTTTGACACCTGGTTGGGTTTTCCCGTCCGTGATTGGGTAACGAATGACGAAAGTTTTTACGAGAGTGTGAAAAGAACACAGCGAACTCCCCAACAATCAAGGCCAAAACAAACCTGGGTGGGCAGGTTTGGGTGTAAGACGAGCCTTGGGGGACAGGTTTGCGTCTGATTGAGAACTATGCGACCCACCCTGGCGACGCAATCACGTTTTGAGGTTGACAGAAGTGTGGTCAGAAAATGAGTGCCCACGCCAAGCAACCATACTCCCGTCGCTGAGCCGTAGTAACACCGAAATAGAAAGCCAGCTAAGCATTATTTCCCCCGTTTACGATTAGTATGAGAGCATCTCCCTTGATCGGGAATGAGAGACGGGATGGGCGGATTTAGAGTGGAAAACGCGGATTGAGATTAGGAAGGGCAGATTGCGACTACTACGGGCGGAATGAGAGTAGGGATGTGCGGAATGAGTTTAGGGTTTGCGTAATGCGATTTGGAACGTCGAAAACAGGTTGGAAGGGCGGTGTGAGATGAAGAAGGGCGGATTGAGAGGCAGAAGGGCGGAATGAGAGGATGAAGGGCGCGATGAGAGAACGAGGGGCGGAATGCGAGGAAGAACGGCGGATGGAGAGGAAAAAGGACGGAAAGAGAGGACGAAGGGCGGAATGAGGAAGAAGGGCGGAATAAGAGGAAGAAGTGCGGAATGAGAGGAAGAAAGGCGGAATGAGAGGAAGAAAGGCGGAATGAGAGGAAAAAGGGCGGTATGAGAGGAAGAAGGGCGGAATGAGAGGAACAAGGGCGGAACGAGATTAAGAAGGGAGGGATGACAGTAGGAAGGGCGGAATGAGAGTATGAAGAGCGGAATGAGATTGCGGATGGGCGAAATGCGAGTAGTTATGATGGAATGAGATTATGGAAGGGCGGAATGAGATTAGGGAAGCGCGGAATGAGATCAGGGATGGGCGGAAGGAGATTAGGGGTGGGCGGAATAAGGCGCGGGTTGATGGGGAGGGGGAATGGAGGGGGAGAGCAGGTGCTGCCCGAGGAGGGGGAAGAGAGACGTCGTCCCTTTTGACAGGGAGGTGAGTGCATGGGGGAGGGGATGTACTAGTGGTGAGGGTGGTGGGGAGGAGGAGGGGCAGGGGCTGTGGCATGTGGTGCGGGCATGCGGGGTGGAGTCAGCAGAGGGGCTGAGTGGCGTGGTGGACAAGTGGGGCTGGACCGCCATGCATGTGGCTGCTCGGAATGGTGACTCCCCCGTGGTCAGTCTCACCTGCCTCCCGCCTGCACCCATGCAGCACAGCCATGCACCAGCTCTCACCCATGCAGCACAGCCATGCACCAGCTCTCACCCATGCAGCACAGCCATGCACCAGCTCTCACCCATGCAGCACAGCCATGCACCAGCTCTCACCCATGCAGCACAGCCATGCACCAGCTCTCACCCATGCAGCACAGCCATGCACCAGCTCTCACCCATGCAGCACAGCCATGCACCAGCTCTCACCCATGCAGCACAGCCATGCACCAGCTCTCACCCATGCAGCACAGCCATGCACCAGCTCTCACCCATGCAGCACAGCCATGCACCAGCTCTCACCCATGCAGCACAGCCATGCACCAGCTCTCACCCATGCAGCACAGCCATGCACCAGCTCTCACCCATGCAGCACAGCCATGCACCAGCTCTCACCCATGCAGCACAGCCATGCACCAGCTCTCACCCATGCAGCACAGCCATGCACCAGCTCTCACCCATGCAGCACAGCCATGCACCAGCTCTCACCCATGCAGCACAGCCATGCACCAGCTCTCACCCATGCAGCACAGCCATGCACCAGCTCTCACCCATGCAGCACAGCCATGCACCAGCTCTCACCCATGCAGCACAGCCATGCACCAGCTCTCACCCATGCAGCACAGCCATGCACCAGCTCTCACCCATGCAGCACAGCCATGCACCAGCTCTCACCCATGCAGCACAGCCATGCACCAGCTCTCACCCATGCAGCACAGCCATGCACCAGCTCTCACCCATGCAGCACAGCCATGCAGCCCGCTCAACACTCTCTGAACCCACCGTCCATCACGCGTGTGCACTCATCCCTCCCCGTCCACGTGCCTGCACTCACATGCACCTTCAATAATGTCGCAGGCATGGACCGCACTCACCCTGCTGCCCGCTTCTCTCCCTCCCCGCCGTTCTCCCATGCATGTGCCTGCAGCTGCAGGCGCTGTTGCGCATGGGCATGCCAGCGGGGGTGTGCAGCACGCGCAACGCCACCACGCCACTGCACGTGGCGGCGTATGGCGGCCACGTGGACTGCATGTGCCTGCTGGCGGCTGTGCGTGCCTGGCGGCTGTGAGTGCCTTGCGGCTGTGAGTGCCATGATTGGTTCAATGCAAGAACGGTAGAAAGTGCTTCGCTCGTTTCTTTCTCCACCCAGCTTCTTAGCCCTCTTGCCTTCATGCGCTCTACCCTGCGGTGCCCTCTGCACCCCGCTTGAATTGCTCTGGCTCTGCATCTGCTTCCAGAGCCGCTTTCCTCCTCTTTGTATCCCTCCGCCTTCTCTCATCCACCATCCGCCCCCCGCTCTCTGCCCTCCGCCCTCTGCCCTCCCCCAGGGACTCCATTACACAATGCAGTAGCAGTGGGAGGCAGTGAGATGACTTGCACACCAGGGAATAGAGCCAGCAGAGGTAGAAGCAGCGGGGGCCAACCCCAAGGCGGTTCAGATAGTGTGGGAGGAGCATGCGCGGCGGGCAGGCCAAGGAGGGGAGAGGGGGCATGGGTTTTGGAAGGATGGTGGTGTGGGTGCGAGCTGAGTGGGTGAATTCCTTGTGCTTGATTATCACCATGATGTATGATTGCCTGCTGCCACTGCTTAGTGGCAGAACACAAGGAGGACAGGGTGCTGAGCAGTGGGAAGGGGCGGGAGGGGGGGGTTATAGAGCCGCTCCCAGGGCAGTGGGGAAGGTGAGAGGTGGGGATGAAGCAGGGTGGATGCTTCAGTAGCGCTTGTGGGCCACTCGCTGCTGCTCGCTGCCCGCCTCCTCGCCTCCACTTCATTACCCTCTGCCTTGATTCTGTGCTCTATTTCTGAGTGCTCATCTTGTCTCCCCTTTCCCCTCTCATCTCCACTCTACCCCATCCCTCTTCCTGCCCTCCTGTCCCCATCCTTCTCCCTCAGGAGAGCCGTACACCAACTGCACCGCTCTGAACCCATTTGTGCAGTGGAATCTGCAGCCGCTGCTACCAGCCACTCCCCCCTCCTTCACCCTCACCTCACCACCCCCACCCGCCTTCACGCCGCCATACGCCCTCTCGTCCATCTGCTTGTGGACGTCCCTCTCCGCCATCGCACCTGGTCGCACACAAGCAACAGCCCTCCTGCCACTGCCGCCACACACAAAGCCTGCTGATGCAGATGCTGGCAGTGGAGGCGAGAAGGCAGTGGGGGGCGCAGTTGGTTCAAGTCAGGGCGTGCAGGGGGAGTGGGCAGTGGCGGGGTATGAGGCGATGCGTGTGGTGCAGGTGGGGGGTGGGTGGCGCCAGGGCAGCTATGGCCTGCCCTCCTCCCTCGCTGCCTCTGCTGCACCTGCTGTGTCTGGAAGGCAAGGTGACTTGTCTGGAAACCTTTGTTGCACTTCTTTGTAGTGATCAACTGAATGGCTCAGTTCAGTATCCTAAACACTGAAGTGATTTTTATAAAGAAGCATCCAACATTGATACATGTCATGGGTACTTGTCAAACCGGTACTATTTAATAGCTAAAGCTTAACAAAATTCATGCGTGGCGGACCAGTTCTGACAAAATCCTGAGTGTCAAGGCTGAAGCAGCTGGAGAAGAGGGAGGCTGAAAAGGAGGGGAGGGAAAGGGGGAAATGAGGGGAAGGAGTGAGTAAATTGATGGGGAGCACAAGGGGAAATTATTTTATAGCAGAGGGGGTTCTGTATTGACCTGGTGCAGTAGGGGAATTGATGGGAAAGCAGAGCTGTAATTTATGGGGAGCGGAGGGGGGGATAACAGGGAGCAGAGGGGGGAATGAGAGGGAGCAGAGGGGGGAATGAGAGGGAGCAGAGGGGGGAATGAGAGGGAACAGGGGGGGGGGAATGACAGGGAGCAGAGGGGGGAATGAGAGGGAACAGGGGGGGGGGGATGATAGGGAGCAGAGGGGGGAATGAGAGGGAGCAGAGGGGGGAATGAGAGGGAGCAGAGGGGGGAATGAGAGGGAGCAGAGGGGGGAATGAGAGGGAGCAGGGGGGGGGGGAATGACAGGGAGCAGAGGGGGGAATGAGAGGGAGCGGAGGGGGGATTGGGGGGAAATTAGGGGAATTTATCGCAAACTGGTATATCACCCTTCCTTCCCCCCTCTGTCCTCTCCTCCTTCCCCCCCGCAGAACATGATTGCATACAACACACAAGAAACAGGTGGTGGTACGGTGTAAAGCATGGACTAGCTTTAGCTGCGCCTCAGCTTGCTCTTCTGCTTCACCACTGAAAATTAGGGGAGTGGAGTAGGCAGAAAGAATTGTGTGAATGAACATGGGGGAGGTGGTGTGAGGTGCCAAGGGAACAACTGCAAGGGAACACAAGCAAGCGCACATGATGAAATAATGTATGGGGAGACAGTGATGGGTGCACGTGCATGGGAACTAGAGGGTGGAAGGTGAGGAGTGAGGGGGAAGGGGAGGGCATGAAAAGGAAGGGAAGGGTTGAGAAGGGATGGGGAAGGAAAGCGCAGGGCAGGGAGGGAAAGGCAGGCATTGGGAGGGCAGGTGACAACTGGGCAGAGGGTGGGGGGAAGGAGAGTGCGAGTGGGAGAGGACGGAGAGAGAGAGTGCGGGAGGAAAGGAGAGTGAGAGTGCGGGTGCCAGGGGATGGGGGGAAGCAGGAAAGGGGATGGGGGGAAGCAGGGAAGGGGATGGGGGGAAGCTGGGAAGGGGATGGGGGGAAGAAGGGGAGGGGATGGGGGGAAGCAGGGAAGGGGATGGGGGGAAGCAGGGAAGGAGGGGTAGCACCGGGGGGAAAGGAGGAGAAGCAGGGGGGGATAGGAGGGGTAGCACCGGGTCTCCCCCCCTCTCAGCGCACCTTCTCCCCCCCTCTGTCCTCTCCTCCTCCCTCCTCTCAGCGCACCTTCTCCCCCCCTCTGTCCTCTCCTCCTCCCCCCTCTCATGTAGTGCTTGACATACCCGCACCATGCGCGATTACGTGACGAATGGCGCGTGAGATTACAGGCGCATTCGCGCTGATGCTAAAGAGGCGCCTCATGCCTATAGCGGGGCGAGCGCTGAGGCTCAGGTGGCGCGTGATGCCTACAGCGGGGCGCACTCAGCTGCTTGCGGTGTGCGCGCTGCTTACAGCTGGGTGCGCGCCCCTTGAAGGGAGGTGTGCGCGCGCTCACCGGCAGGGTACACACCTTTCCCGCGTCTCGGCGGGCCTTAGTCCCGCGACTTCGGTGATATCGCCCCATTGCCGCGTTTGCCGCGTTTGGCTCGTCCCTATCGTCCTTTCCACCCTTCATGCTACTGCGACCTTCCCCTTTCACCTAATAAGGGCGGTTGATGAATGGCGATGAACCCCACGCCGGCAGTTTTTGGCGAGGAGAGGACGAAGGTGGGGATTGGACACGCTAAATTTGATGATTTTCCCGTGTTCGGGCTTAGAGAATGCGGGTCACGGAATGCGCCAAGGTCTATAGGCGCACGGTTTCCCCTACATCATGATCGCGACTGAGTTTTCAAGGCTAGCTATACTAAAAGACGTGGCATATGGCTGGTAAAACACTTGAACTGGTGCCTACACGAACCGTTTTGTCAAAGTTGAGAGTTCTGAGTCTCATAATTCTGAGAGCTGTAAATGCTTGGTTTGCACGGGGAAGTGTGCGACGATGCCTCTGTTGTCGCACGTTTTTCTGTACACCTGTAGATTGGTTCGTGCAGGTGTGTTTCCCAACCTGCGTTGTCGTATTCCTGTCCCAACCAACTTTGCAACACGTTGTTTCCCTTCGGTTTGGTTTTGCCTGGAACGAGGCCCTGTTTCAAACCTCTCCCAACCAACCTTCCCAAACCACCCCTTGCCTTGGTGTGCTTTGCGACAAACCCAGCTGTTACCGGATCCCAAGCGTTTAACACTTGGTCGGAAGGGTGAAATTTGAGACGCGAGCTTTAACTCCAATTACGAAATCCTCGCTAACCACAAATTGCCTGGTGCCGCGTGTCGCATTTCTCGCTAGCTCTTGTGCTGTCGTCCACCCCCCAGCAGAAGAGAGAGCAGAAAGCCAGTTCATACGCATTGCCTAAGCCTTGCATTCTCGCTGCGTGGCTCTAGGCTCCTCCTTTCTTGCCATTGCTTTTCGCGAGTCGCACGCTGCTGGTCTCTAAGCTCCTTCGTTCTCGCTTGGTCGTAAGATCATCTGAGCCCTTCCGATCCACCGTTCTCCACCTTCACCTCTCGATCCGATCCGTTCTTCCAGCCACGAATCTCGTCATCATCCCAGCTTCGGCCCATTTCAAGTCGAACTTTCTTATATCGGATCCGCGAAAACGACCATGGCGGCGTACTTAGCGGCGAGGCTTTTGGCCCGATCGGCCAATAGAAACGCCGGCAGCGCGATTGCGAGCTTCTCCACGTCAGCAGCGGCTCAGAGCTTCATGCAGAGGGCTCTGCCTGAGTCAGCAGTAAGTGCCAGATTCAGATCTCTGCAGATCCACGTCAGATCATTAAGGCTGGGATTCCAGACGTCATTACACTAGATTGACGTCAGATTCTTCCACTACCCTCACCGTCACAATATATATTAGATAAAGTATTTGGAGTGAAACTATATTAGTCAATGGATCTCAGATGAAGTAGCTGACTATAAGAGAGTGGTACGGCCTGTAAGGTGATACTTCCGTTCGAAAGTTTCTCTCCGTCGCTCCTCTCTCGCCGTTGTCTAAGATGCTTCTTCCAGTGGTGTTTTTCATTCTACCAGTCCCCGTTTCCTGTCTAGGTTTTCGTTTCTTGCTTGTGCTTCCGTACTCCATTTTCTCACCTAGGCATTATTCCACCTGATCTGCATCCCTTACTCGGCCTTGTCTGCACCGCAGGAGGTAGCTGCAGCGTCACCAGCGGCCTCCGTCGCATCCTCCATCATGCGCCGATGGACCAACGGCGCACGAGCCTTCAGGTATTGCCATCTTTGAATCCGCAATTCACAGTTCATAACTTCGGCAGCACGCCGTCCGGTCCCCGTTGTGACGCATTCCGCGCTTCCTCTTCGTTCCCATTTTACTGATCACGGCCTCTTGCTCTTGCCCTCTCTTCCGCTCCTTCTTCCCATTTGCGGGTTTCGCCCGTTCTCTTGTTTTTTCTCGCGTGCAGCTCCGCAGCGGGCGGCGATGTTATCGGTATCGATCTCGGTACCACTAACTCCTGCGTCGCTGTTATGGAGGGCAAGGTGAGCTTTGAGTTCCTTGTCTAGAGATTTGGGTCTTGAAGGGGAAGGTGAGTTTAGAAATTCGGGTGGGTGGTGTGGACTTGGGATGGGACCCCGCTACACCGTCACTCAGTAACATCAACTCTATTGTCGCTGTCTTAGGAGGTAGATTCGGCGTGGAGTCCACGTGCTGGTTTTCACGGCCAAAGTGAGCAAACCCCTCAAATATCACAGATATTTGTGACACCGCAGGGGTTGATTATCTCTCCCCTCTCCCTGCAAACCCTCCCTCCTCCCCCCCCTCTTTTCCGCCCGCACCCTTCCCGCTACCCCTGCCCCCTGTCCACCCATCCAGACCCCTCGTGTGATCGAGAACGCGGAGGGCGCGTGCACTACGCCGTCCGTCGTGGCGTTCACCCCCTCTCTCCCCCTGTCCCCCCTCCCCCATCCCCTCCCCCGCGCACTCACCCTTGTCCCCAGACCCCTCGTGTGATCGAGAACGCGGAGGGCGCGTGCACTACGCCGTCCGTCGTGGCGTTTACCCCCAAGGGCGAGCGGCTGCTGGGCACTCCGGCCAAGCGACAGGCCGTCACCAACCCCACCAACACGCTCTCTTCACCCCTTCCATTCCCCCTACTCGCACCCCTCCCGTCCCCAGACCCCCCGCGTGATTGAGAATGCTGAGGGCGCGCGCACCACTCCCTCCGTTGTCGCGTTCAACCCCAAGGGCGAGCGGCTGGTGGGCACTCCGGCCAAGCGACAGGCCGTCACCAACCCCACCAACACGCTCTCTTCACCCCTTCCATTCCCCCTACTCGCACCCCTCCCGTCCCCAGACCCCCCGCGTGATTGAGAATGCTGAGGGCGCGCGCACCACTCCCTCCGTTGTCGCGTTCAACCCCAAGGGCGAGCGGCTGGTGGGCACTCCGGCCAAGCGACAGGCCGTCACCAACCCCACCAACACGCTCTCTTCACCCCTTCCATTCCCCCTACCCGCACCCCTCCCGTCCCCAGACCCCCCGCGTGATTGAGAATGCTGAGGGAGCGCGCACCACTCCCTCCGTTGTCGCGTTCACCCCCAAGGGCGAGCGGCTGGTGGGGACTCCGGCCAAGCGACAGGCCGTCACCAACCCCACCAACACTCTCTTTGGCACAAAGCGGCTCATTGGCAGGCAGTTTGACGATCCCCAGACGCAGAAGGAGGCTAAGATGGTGCCGTATAACATCGTGCGCGCTCCCAACGGGGATGCGTGGGTGGAGGCCGGCGGACAGAAGTTCTCCCCCAGCCAGGTGAGATGAAACGACAGATGTAACGGTAGATAAAACGGCAGATGAAACGTGGATGGGAGTCAGTTTGATGATCCCATCCCCAGACGCAGAAGGAGGCGGAGATGGTGCCGCATAATATCGTGCGCGCTTCTAACGGGGACCCGTGGGTGGAGGCGGGCGGGCAGAAGTACTCTCCCAGCCAGGTAAGTCGAAACGGCAGATGTAACGGTACTCTGTAGATGTAACGGGAGCTGTAACGGTAGATGAAACACAAGTTGGCGGCAGTTTGACGACCCCCAGACGCAGAAGGAGGCGGAGATGGTGCCGCATAATATCGTGCGCGCTCCTAACGGGGACCCGTGGGTGGAGGCGGGCAGGCAAAAGTACTCTCCCAGCCAGGTAAGTCGAAACGGCAGATGTAACGGTACTCTGTAGATGTAACGGGAGTTGTAACGGTAGATGAAACGCAAGTTGGACGGCAGTTGAACGACCTCCAGACGTAGAAGGAGGCTTATTTGCGTCGGCCAGTGTCCAAGGCAGTGATCACAGTCCCCGCTTACTTCAACGATGCGCAGAGGTAGGAGTGTGACGTCTCAAAAGGCGCAGAGGTAGGAGTGAGACGTCTCAAAAGGCGCAGAGGTAGGAGTGAGACGGATATCAACGATGCGCAGAGGCAGGATATCAACCCCCCAACCCGCGCCCCTTCCCCCCGTTCTTTCCACCCCCTTCCCAGGTTGGTGCCTTTGTGCTGGGCAACATGAAGGAGACGGCAGAAGCCTACCTGGGGCGCCCCGTGTCCAAGGCAGTGATCACCGTACCGGCTTACTTCAATGACGCGCAGCACCAGGCCACCAAGGACGCGGGGCGCATTCCTTATCCCCCTTGCATTCCCCTCTGCCTACTCTCCCCTTTCCCAGGTCGGCGCCTTTGTCCTGGGCAAGATGAAGGAAACAGCAGAGGCGTACCTGGGTCGCCCCGTGTCCAAGGCAGTCATCACCGTCCCAGCCTACTTCAACGACGCGCAGCGCCAGGCCACCAAGGACGCGGGCAAGATCGCGGGGCTGGACGTGCTGAGAATCATTAACGAGCCCACGGCGGCGAGTCTGTCGTACGGCATGGACCGCAAGGAGGGGCTCGTGGCCGTGTTCGATTTGGGAGGAGGCACGTTTGATATCTCCATCCTTGAGATTTCTGGCGGCGTGTTTGAGGTACGTTGCTCTCTCTCTCTGTGAGTGCCTGAGGGAAGGAGCGCAGTGGGAGTGAGATAGGAAGTGCAATCCGCTGTGGTAAGGACGCGGGGCGGATCGCGGGGCTGGACGTGCTGAGAATCATCAACGAGCCCACAGCGGCGAGTCTCTCGTACGGCATGGACCGCAAGGAGGGGCTAGTTGCGGTGTTTGACCTGGACGGAGGCACGTTCGATATCTCCATTCTGGAGATCTCCGGAGAGGTGTTTGTGGTGCGTTTGTTGCTGTAGGTTCAGGGGTAGTGGGGGGTTGGAGCACAGGGGGCGGCCAGTCTGTCGTACGGCATGGACCGCAAGGAGGGGCTCGTGGCGGTTTTTGACCTCACCAAGGACCGTTCCTTGCCTCCTGCCTGCCTGCCCTGCTTCTCCCCCTATTTGCTCCGTTCTTTCTCTCAGGTGAAGGCCACCAACGGAGACACGTTTTTGGGTGGTGAGGACTTCGACAACGCCCTCCTGCAACACCTTGTGGACGAGTTCAAGAAGGAGCAGGGGATCCACCTCACCACGGACTGCCTGTTGGGTGCTGCTTGCCCCCTCCCCTCCCCTCGCCTCCCCTTTCCGCCCCTTCGACAATGCTCTCCTGCAGCAGCTGGTGGACGAGTTCAAGAAGGAGCAGGGGATCCACCTCACCACGGACTGCCTCTTGCCTCATGCCTGCTGTGCGTCTCCCCCTCTTTGTTCCGCTCCTGTTGGCAGGTGAAGGCCACGAATGGAGACACCTTCTTGGGAGGGGAAGAATTCGACAATGCTCTCCTGCAGCAGCTGGTGGACGAGTTCAAGAAGGAGCAGGGTATCCACCTCACCAAGGAAAGGACCGCCTGGCGCTGCAGCGGCTGCTGTTTACTCCCATGCTTGTTCCTTGACCGTTTGTGCTCCGTTTTTTCCCCTCTTTTCTGCTGTTTCGTCCTCTCCTGGTTGGCAGGTCAAAGCCACGAATGGAGACACCTTTTTGGGAGGGGAAGACTTCGATAATGCTCTCCTCCAACACCTGGTGGACGAGTTCAAGAAGGAGCAGGGTATCGACCTCACCAAGGACCGCCTGGCTCTGCAGCGGCTGAGGGAGGCGGCGGAGAAGGCCAAGTGCGAGCTGTCGAGCACGAGCCAGACGGACATCAACATTCCATTCATCACTGCCGATGCCACTGGCGCCAAGCATCTCAGCTTCACTCTTACTCGCTCCAAGTTCGAGACCCTGGTACGTGGGGTTGTGGGGTCGCTGGGCTGTCACTTTAAAAGCCCAGTTTCTTTTTAGATGGGTGGGCGAAGAAGCAGAGGCAGCAGCGAGCTAGAGCCGGTGCAGCGGCTGAGGGAGGCGGCTGAGAAGGCCAAGTGCGAGCTGTCGAGCACGAGCCAGACGGACATCAACATTCCGTTCATCACTGCCGATGCCACTGGCGCCAAGCATCTCAGCTTCACTCTCACCCGGTCCAAGTTCGAGACTCTGGTACGTTGGGGTCTGGGTTGACTGTTTGAAGTTCGACCACGGATAGGCCAGGTGGTTTGGGCTGTCGATCACGAGCCAGACGGACATCAACATTCCGTTCATCACTGCTGATGCTGCTGAGATTTTGTAGGAGACACCTATTCGTCCTCACCCTCTCACCCCTTGCACCTCCTTCCCCTGCCCTAAACAGCAAGAGTTGATGGAAATAAGGCCTCCGCAGCCCACCTGTTCCACTTCGACATCTCACCCTCTCACCCCTGCACCTCCTTCCCCTGCCCCCTGCCCCTTTTCCCCGTCCCCCTTCCTCCTCCTCCCCTTAACCCCCCCTGGTGAACCCTCTGGTGGAGCGCACGCGGCAGCCGTGCAAGGCTGCTAGAGGGACGCGGGCATATCAGCCAAGGAGGAGAGGACTCAGTCCCTTTCCCCCTACTTCCCTATCCCCCTCCCCTCCCCCCAGGTGAACCCTCTGGTGGAGCGTACTAGGCAGCCCTGCAAGGACTGCTTGAGGGACGCGGGCATTTCGGCGAAAGACATCACCGAAGTGATTCTGGTGGGCGGCATGAGCCGCATGCCCAAGGTGCAAGAGGTGGTGCAGGAGATTTTCGGGCGGCAGCCGTCCAAGAACGTGAATCCGGACGAGTGCGTGGCGATGGGGGCGGCGATCCAGGGCGGCGTGCTTCGGGGCGACGTGAAGGATATTCTGCTGCTGGACGTGACGCCGCTGTCGCTGGGGATTGAGACGCTGGGAGGGGTGTTCACGCGGCTCATCAACCGCAACACCACCATCCCCACCAAGAAGAGCCAGGTGGGTGCTCCCCTTCCTGCTTCTTTCTGTGTCTCCCTGCCTCGCCCTGCCTCTTCCCTGCCTCTCGCCTGCCTCTCACCGCATCTCCCTGCCTCTTGAGGTGCCTCAAAAGGCGTGCCTCGAGTCTATGTGAAGGACATTCTGCTGCTGGACGTGACGCTGCTGTTGCTGGGGATTGAGACGCTGGGAGGGGTGTTCACAAGGCTCATCAACCGCAACACCACCATCCCCACCAAGAAGAGCCAGGTGGGTGCCTCCTGTTTCTCCCTGCCTCTCCCTGCCTCTCCCCGCGTTTCCCCACCTCCCTGCCTCTACCTGCTCCTTTCTCCCTCGCCCTGCCTCGCCTTCTGTTGCTGCTGTTACTTCGGATTGAGATGTTGAGAGGGGTGTTAACAAGGCTAATCAACCGCCATCCCCACCCCGTTTTCACCCCTATTCGCCCCGATTTCTCCCCGCTCGCCCCTCCTCCTCCGCTCCTCCTTCCCTCGTCTCGTCCAAACTCTCCTTCATTTTTCAGGTGTTCTCGACGGCAGCGGATGGGCAGACACAGGTGGGGATCAAGGTGCTGCAGGGAGAGAGGGAGATGGCGTCTGATCTCCCTTCCACTCCCTTCCATTTCCACCTCACACCCTTTTGGGTTTCAGGTGTTCTCCACCGCAGCGGATGGGCAGACGCAGGTGGGGATCAAGGTGCTACAGGGAGAGAGGGAGATGGCAGCAGACAACAAGCTGCTGGGGCAGTTCGACCTCGTCGGCATCCCCCCCGCGCCCAGAGGCATGCCGCAGATCGAAGTTACTTTCGACATTGATGCTAACGGCATCGTGCATGTGGGCGCCAAAGACAAGGCCACCAACAAGGAGCAGGCTATCACGATCCAGGTGAGGGGAAGAGGGGAGCAGTTGAGCGTGGTTGTGGGAGGGAGGAGTAGGCGGGTGGTTTTTTTGTGGCCTGAAACGGCCCCCTTTGGAGCCCAGAGGCGTGCGGCAGATCGAAGTGACGTTTGGCATTGATGCGAACGGCATCGTGCATGTGGGCGCCAAGGAAAAGGCCACCAACAAGGAGCAGGCTATCACGATCCAGGTAAGAGAGAGAGAGAGGGGAGCAATTGGATAGATTAGGGGAGGGAGAAGTTACGAGGTAGTTTCTGTGCTCCCTCAAACAAGGAGCGGGCCATCACCCAGAGAGGGGAGGGATTGGGTAGAGGAGGGAGAGTTTGGGAGGGAGGGTTGGGAAGGGTAGTTATTGGGATATCACGATTTAGGTGAGGGAGAGCTTCTTCTACCCATACTCCTTCTAATCCCTTGTTTATCCCTCATTTTCCACTGTAACCTTTCTTTCAACCCTTGTGTTGTAACTCACATGCAACCAATCCAACCATTCAGTCATCCGGCGGGCTATCGGACTCGGATATCGATCGCATGGTGAGGGATGCGGAGCAGTACGCAGGCAAGGACAAGGAGAGGAGACTCTTTTCGCACTCCCTCTTTTCAACCCTTCTTTTGTTACCCTCTACCCGCCTGTTCTCTGCTGTTCTCCTATCTCACCTTGCAGTCGTCCGGAGGTCTCTCAGACTCGGACATTGATCGCATGGTGAGGGAGGCGGAGCAGTACGCAGGCAAGGACAAGGAGAGGAAGGCGCTGATCGAGGCGAGGAACGATGCGGACACCACCATGTACTCGGTGGAGCGATCACTCAACGAGCACAAGGAGAAGCTGCCGAGCGTAAGTGGAGCCTTCGCTGTCCACTGCCCATAGTCCTGTGCTCTGTGAGAGGATTTTTAAGGTGAGTCATAAGGCGCTAATCGAGGCGAGGAACGGCGCCGACACCACCGTGAACTCTGTGGAGCGATCACTCAACAAGCACAAGGAGAAGCTGCCTAGTGTAAGTGAACTTTCCCGGTGTTCACATGCGATGTGATTATAGCAGGACAATGTGTTGGGGCATTTGAAGTGCCGCTGAGAGACGCGAGGAACGACGCGGATACGACCATGCTCTCTGTGGCGCGATCTTTGAAGGAGCACAAGGAGAAGCTGCCATGTGTGAGTGCAGAGTCCCAGCGTTGCATCCCCCATTGGTCCATGCATTGTGGCACGATATGTGAGGCTGCGAAGGACGGCGCTGATTGAAGCGAGGAACGATGCCGACACCACCATGTACTATGTGGAATGATGCGGACACCACGATGCAGTCTGTGGAACGATTGTTGAACGAGCACAAGGAGAAGCTGCCCTGTGTGGCAGTAGCTCTCGTGTTGCAACTTGCAGTGGGGCCAATGTGTCGTTGGCTAGCTTGCCACACCCCTAACCGCTCATCTCCTCAATCTGCATATTGTTATCCTCGTTTTGACATTCCTGTTTGTGCATAAATGATGGGAACAGGACGTGGTGGAGGCAGTGCAAGCGGCCATTGCTGATCTCAAGGGGTCGTTGGAGAAGGAGAATCTGGAGGAGATCCGGGAGAAGATCTCCGCCGCCCAGCAGGCCTCTCTCAAGATTGGAGAGGCTATCTCTAGGCAAGCGGGTGGCGGCAGCAGCTCGTCTTCTTCTGGAGGGGGTTCGACTGGAGGGGCACAGGAGGCAGAGTATGAGGAGAAGAAGTAGAGGATTTGGATGCAATATGATGTTTTAGCAATAGTAGAAACTTTAGTATATTCTGTGGCTTTCGTGAAAAAAGCCCAAGAGTTTTACTAAATGGTGGCAAGACACTTCAATTTCACTTGCTGTAAACAAGGGTGGTTACACACACTTGTTGGAGCATGTTGTAGGAGCTGTTCCCTTCAAACAAATGAATTTCTTGGCCATTGATAAACGAAGCCAATGTTAGCGAGTGTTACCATATCGATTAAACTCACGAAGGTTAGCGAGTACAAACATATCGAGTTAACAGAGTCACATTAAGGTTAGCGAGTGCAAACATATCGAGTAAACGGAGTCATCACGAAGTCAAGCTTGACTTCCACGTTCCAATTGAATGTACAATCACAGAAGGGACGGCGGCTAACACCGATCTGTGATGCTATAAAACCGTGAGTTAACGCATAAAAACGTGCTTGAACATAGTTTACCGTGTTTAACCCTCGGAAACACCTCTTTGGCCGGCATTTCTGCTGCCCAATGTACATACATCAGATTCATGGCGCCTGAACTGAAGCCATGGTCGTACAGATGATAGGACAGATGATTTGTTTGGAGGGAGGGGGACGCCACGCCATGCCATCCTACTACTAATGTGTCCAAACCGATGATGTCCGGCATGCACCACTCTGACATGCACTCCATCGTCCTCGACCGTTCTGTACGGTTAAAAATTACGATGTTGCGAGGAGGAATGGAGGGAGTGGAAGTGATACAGCCAGGATTCACAGCGATTTCCCCTAGTACTGCTAGTAGAAAGTCATTCATGGTCTCTCCTTATCATAAGCTGTGTCTGTAAAATTCTCCTTCTGAGTTCTGATAGAACCAGCTTCCCCCCCCTCATCGTTGGGAAACAAATGTGATACTTCCAGGCTGTATCTGTCAGCTGTATCAGGCTAACCGTGTTTCGTTACTTGACGAACAAACCATGCTCGCGCGACGGATTTCGTCAGTTGCGCGGATTCTGTTGCTCTTCTGCGTTCCTTTCCTGCACGTGAGTCGCCTCGGATATTTGGAATGGATCCAAACCGAGAATGATGCTCAGCATTGAAAGAGGTGTTTTTTGAGTCGACTCAAAGATCACGTTTGGCTATTATCACACGAGAGTTTTGTCATTTATTTAAAATGGACCCAGGAATGCGCCTATTATCACACGAGAGATTACTCTGATCCTTGGGAGTGTATTCAAAGAATCATGCTCCTTCGAGTCAACTCAATCTCACCTCCGGATATTATCACACGAGAGTTTCCGATCCTTCTAGTGGATCCAAAGAATCATGCTCAGCATGGAAACAATCATGGTATAGCAGTTGATTACACTTCCCCCTTTTCTTTCCCCCGGCCCCCCCACCCACCCCCCTCCTCCTCCTCCCCCCCCCCCCCCCCCCCCCCCCGTTATTGTCACATCAGGTTCGAAATGCGTCCGCAGACGAGCGCAGTCATAACCGAGATGTTCTTGTAAGTGAATGGATGGATGGATGGTGCGATGATGTGCGTGCAGCATGGAGTAATGATGCCTGATGTGTTGATGTGCGTGCAGCATGGAGTAATGATGCCTGATGTGTTGATGTGCGTGCAGCATGGAGTAATGATGCCTGATGTGTTGATGTGGGTGCAGCATGATCTGACGATATGAAAGCAGCATGGTGCGATGATGTGTGTGCAGCATAATGTGGTATTGTGACTTCAATATGACTGGCACCTGGCCGGCACCGAAGCTACATGTGCATGCACCACCAGGATCTTCATGTTTCCTATGCCTTCCCCATCCCCGATGTCCTTTCTCCTTCCCCCTCTCCCCTTCAACTCCCTTCTTCCCTCCCCGCCTTCCACACACACCTTCCCTGCTTCAGTCTCAAACCATCTTTGATGCCTTCCCCGACCTCCCAACACTCGACAACTTCGCCTCTCCCATGGTTTCCCAAACCCCCAGCATCCTTTCTCTTCCCCCTCCCCCTCATTCCCCCCGCCCGCCCTTCCCCTCCCGCCTTCGCCCCTCTCCTCCCCCCTTCAGTCGCGAGCCATCATCGATGCTTTTCCTGACGTCGACCACTTCGTCAACTTCGGATTTCCCGACCATCTGTGCGGCACATGGCACCACAACTACACCCGCATGCACCAGCAAATCCTCTCCTCCCCCTTTTCTCCCCCGCAATCCCCCCACACCTCTCCCGCCCCCTTCAGTCTCGAGCCATCATCGATGCTTTTCCTGACGTCCCCACTCTCGTCAACTTCGGATTTCCCGACCATCTGTGCGGGACATGGCACCACAACTACACTCGCATGCACCAGCAAATCCGGGCAGCCAGCAAAAATCCCTCCTCTGCCCCGCCGCCCGGCACGCCGCCCGTGAAATTTCTCACCTTTGACGGCCTCAGCCACTGCGACAGCCTCGGGGAGACCCTCATGGGGCTGACGTCAGCATTCACTGTAGCTCTCCTCACCAACAGAGCCTTCGTTATAAAGCACCCGTGCATCCCCATGGCGTTTGAACCTGCGCTGATCGACTGGCAACCCACAGAGGACGTGGGATTCGAGCCGGTCAGAAACGAAACTTTTCCACGGGGCCTGAAGGACGGGGCAGTCAATCCTCCAATAGGAGCGAGCGATATCGTAGAAGTTGATCTGGAAAGAAATGACAGGTCAAACCCGGAAAAGGTGTTTCCGCAGGTGGAAGCTGCGAGGAACCTGCGTGTGGTGTGGAACAGAGACCTGCTGGTGCATATGCTGAAGGACGTGAGTGGATCGGCGTGGAAAGAGCGACTCAGGGAAATGGGCATCAGCATTCCCTATTCATTCGGCTGCTTGGTGCGATACCTGCTAAGGTGAGCGGGTGAGAGGTGGTGCGGTGGAATAAAGACCTGCTGGTGCTTATGCTGAAAAGACGTGAAAATGGATCGGCGTGGAAGGAGAGACTGAGGGAAATGGGCATCAGCATCCCGTACTCGTTCGGCTGCTTGGTGCGATACCTGCTGAGGTGAGTGGGAGGATAGGGGGTTCATACAAGGGGGTGAATGGGTCGGTGTGGGGGGAGACTTTGGAAGTTGGGTATCAGTATCCCGTATTCGTTCGGCTGCTTCGTTCGTTACCTGCTGAAGTGAGATGGTGAGAGTGGGAGGGTAACTGCGGAAACATGGGTGCTGGGAGCTTGGAGGCTTCATAACAGTTGTGCAAATGGGTCGAGTTGGGTAGTGAGAACAGGCAAGCACAGGCTTACCTCATCAATCCTTCCCCTTTCCCTCTCTCCCCTCCTCTTCAGGCCCAAACCAGAGGTGTGGTACAGGATGCAGCCGTTTGAGAAGCAGCTGAGGGAGAGTGGGGGGACGCACGGGTGAGCATTACACTGTAAATCCTTACCTGATACATCCTTCCCCTTTCCCTCTCTCCCCTCCTCTTCAGGCCCAAGCCGGAGGTGTGGCACAGGATGCAGCCGTTTGAGAAGCAGCTGAGGGGCGACAAGGTGGTGAGCATCGGTGTGCACGTGAGGCAATTCGGTCAAGGCCCCGCCCGGCCCAACGCCACGGTCAGCCCGGAGGAGCTGCAGAAGGGCATGAACAACTCCGTGCTACCCGCCTTCCAGTGCGCTGAAGTGAGTGTTCCCCACACTCCTCCTTCCCCCCCCCTAAACGCAATGCACCCCCCACCCCTCGGCCCAACGTCACTGTCAGCCCGGAGGAGCTGCAGCGAGGCATGAACGATTCTGTGCGGCCTGCCTTCCAGTGCGCTGAGGTGAGTGGTCGTCCCTCGGGAGGATCGGGGTGGGCTCCTCTCTTTCCCCCTCTTTCTCCGCTCTCCCCTCCCTCCCAACAGCACTGTTAACCCGGCTTGTCATCAGGCTGTCATCAGGCTGTCATCGGAAAAGAGGTGCAACTCAATCGGTACTACTCTCCCTCCTTGCTCATACACCCCCATCCCCGCCCCCCTCCCCTCAACAGCAACAGAATGTGCGGAAATGGTGGTACTCGTCAGATCTCCTATGGCCTCGTCCCTATCAATCCAATGCCACACTGTTAGTCCGACTTTCCCTCCTTGCTCATACACCCCCCTCCGCCATCATCCCACAACAACCGACTGTGCAGAACTGGTGGTACTCGTCAGCCCTCACTGTGAAGTGGCTCATTGAATATCAACCCCCCCCCTATCAATCAGTCCAGGCCTTTCTCCTCTTGCTCTTGCATCCCCAGAACTGGTGGTACTCCTCGGCCCTGTGAATTGAAAGTGGCTTGTTATTAGCAACCCGGTGCAGCTCATGCTGTCGACCTTTCCCCCTTTGCTTGCACGCACGCACTCCCCCACTCTCCCACTCTCCACCCCCCCACAACGACAGAATGTGCAGAACTGGTGATACTCGTCGGCCGTCACTGTGAAGCGGCTGGTCATTGGAGCAAAGATGGTTGGATTCAATTCAAGCAGTCAAGCAAAATCTCTCTTCTTGCCTGCACGCATCCCCCCAACACAACAGAATGTGCAGAACTGGTGGTGCTCCTCAGCACTCACTGTCAAGTGGCTTGTTATCGGCATTTCGCTGCAACTCAAGCAGTCTGCTGTTCTCCCCCTTGCTTGCACGCCCTCGTCAGCCCTCACTGTGAAGTGGCTCGTTAAATACCAACCCACTGCCTCTTGATCAGTCCAGCTCTCTCCCCTTGCTCCTGCATCCCCACCCCCCCACAACAACAGAATGTGCAGAACTGGTGGTACTCGTCAGCCCTCACTGTGAAGTGGCTCGTTATAAGCGACTCGCTGCAACTCAAACAGGAGGCCATCAAAGGAAACGAGTCCAAGGTAATGTGACTGTAACGCGTCCAAGGTGATGTGGCTATAACGAGTCCAAGGTGATGTGACTATAATGAGTCCAAGTTGCTTTGGCTATAACAGGTCCACGTGATGTTTGATGAGGGCAGCTTGCACGTTTCAGCCTGCACGTTCGAGACAACTCAAAAGAGTTGAATTTCGAGACGACTCAAAAGAGTTGAATTTCGAGACGTCTCAAACGCCAACTGAAATGGTCAAGTGATTTGGCTCTGCTACTCCCCCCACCACCACACACCCCACTTTCGTTTCTGGTTGTGATCACCCAGTTCACCCCATGGGCGTCAGCCTGTAATGCCCAAGGCTCCTCAAACAAAACTCATAGCCCTTTCCTCCCCATAGGTCCTCCCTCCCTTCCCCACTTTCGTTTCAGGTTGTCATCACCGAGTTCACCCCGTGGGTGGATCCCATCCCCCTTCCGGTTGCTTTCTTATTCTCCAGACTTACTCACCCCTTCCCCGTGTTCCCCGCCTTTCCTTTGCAGATTGTGATAACCGAGTTCAGCCCGTGGATCCCTTCCCCCTTCCTCAGCATCCGCCCTAATCACTTCTCCCATCCAGCTACATTTTCTTCAGACTTTCTTAACCGCCCTTCTCCTATTCCCTCCCATCTCTGCTGTTGTCATCACCGAGTTCACCCCGTGGGTGGATCCCATCCCCCTTCCGGTTGCTTTCTTATTCTCCAGACTTACTCACCCCCTCCCCGTGTTCCCCCCCCTTTCCTTTGCAGATTGTGATAACCGAGTTCAGCCCGTGGATCCCTTCCCCCTTCCTCAGCATCCGCCCCATCCAATGCCCCCTCCTACTCCCCTCTACACCCCCCGGTACTCCTGCCCTTCCCCCCCACTTTCCTTTGCAGATTGTCATCACCGAATTCACCCCGTGGATCCCATCCCCCTACCTCAGCATCCGCCCCCCTCCCCCTCCGCCTCCGCCTCCTCCTTCCAATAGCACCCCCCCCATGCCCACCCCAACCGGCCCCCCTCTCCCCCCCATCCCCACCGTTCAAGAATTCCAAGAGACAGTCACCGAGTGGCTTCTCCTTTCCTCATGCGACTCGTTTGTCGTTTCGCCGTCCGCCTTTGGCCGTACAGCGGCTATGTATTCAATGCAGCCGATGAGTATTTACATGACTCACTCGTGCAGACCACAGGCGCCCGTACCCATCAGTAGTCTCGTCTCCTGGTCACGGCGGGAGTTATGAGTGTACAGCCGCCTTGCATTCAATGTAACTTCTGAGTCGACTCAAAACGAGGTGACTTTTGAGTAGACTCACTCATGCAGACCACAGGCGCCCGTACCCATCAGTCGTCTTGTCTCCTGGTCATGGCGGCAGTTTTGAGTGTACTGTCATAATATGATTGTATACATTATACTATATTTGCCTGTGGTGTAGACTTAGTGTAGTGCTAAACTTGTTTGGTGGTGCAACTTGCTTGAATTGCCTATATCCTTGTATCTTCTCTCCTTATTGAACACCACCTTTTGGCTTGCACTTTCCTCTCGCTACTCTCATAAGCCTAAACCATAGGCTACTAAGTCTACTAAGTAAAGCACCTACTTTAACATGGTATCAGAGCAGTTAAGCTCCTAAGACCTAATGGGCCCACCGTTAGCTTCCGCCAATGCGCCTATTTTCTGCCCGTGGCGCGCCCCGGGCGCGCGGCGGTTTCTGCTCGTCGTGCGCCCCGAGCGCGCGGCAGTTTCTGCTCGTCGTGCGCCCCGGGCGCGCTGCGGTTTCTGCCCGTCACACGCCTCGGGCGCGTGGCGGTTTCTGCCCGTCACACGCCCCGGGCGTGTGGCGGTTTCTGCCCGTCGCACGCCCGGGCGTGCGTCGGTTTCTGCCCGTCGCGCGCCCCCAGCACACGACGGTGTTCTGCCCGTCGCCCGCCCTCAGCGTGCGACGGTTTTCTGCCCGTCGCGAGGGGGCCCCGCTGCCCTACTTCCCGTCGTCCCCGCCGCCCGCTTCCTCCTCCCTCTCCTGCTTCGCGTGCAGCAGTTTGGGGGGGGGGGGGAGGGTGTTGGGAGGGCGCAGGAGTGGCGGTGGGGGGTGGTTGCACCTCCAGCGCCCCGCTGCTCTGCTTCGTCACCAAGCCAGCAACCCCCCCCTCCTCCGCCTCTCCTTTCCCCCCCTGCTGCTCCTACTGCAGCGGCGGTTTCTTCCCGGCGCCTCGTGCGCCCTGCCCGCCCGCGCCCGCCCCACCAGATTGCACACCTTGCCCGCCCTTCTATTCCCTCTCCCTACTGCGTGTGCAGCAGTTTGGGGGGAGGGGGAGGGGGTGTAAGGGGGAGGTGGCACCAACAGTACCACCCTCTTTTTCTCTCTTTCACGGCCGCACCTGCTGCTGTGGGGGGGGAGGGTGGAGAGGGTGGAGTGGTGGGAGTGACTGGAGGAGCTACTGCCGTTGCCGCTCGCCTTCCCCTCTCTCTCCCTGCTGCGCGTGCAACAGTGGGGGGCGGTGGGTTTGGGGTGGCGGGTGTGAGCACCCAGCTGCCGTCGCTCCTCCTCTCTCTCTCACTGCGGCACGTGCCGCTGTGGGGGGAAGGGTGAGGGGGTGGCGGGTTTTTGGCCGCCGTGTGAAGGTTTGAGCATGGACCACCGTGGGTGGGGAAGGCTTTGGAGGAAGGGTGGGGGGAAGGTGTGAGGTTCCAGGGGGCGGTTGACAAGGGGGGTGAGGTTGAGGGGGGTGGCTGAAAGGGGGCATGGAATTAGGGGGTTAGTAAGAGGGGCTCGCCGAGCTAGGCTCCCCCCACCTCCTCTCCTCCCTCGCTCACCCTCCCCCCTTTGTAAAACGAGAATTCGTAAGAGGGGTTCGCCGCGTGGCTCCCCCCACCTCCTCTCCTCATCCTTCTCTCACCCACCCCCCTCCCCCCTCCTTCGTAAAACGGGGGTTAGTAAGAGGGGCTCGCCGCGTGGCTCCCCCCACCTCCTCTCCTCATTCTTCTCCTCTCCCCTCTCTCTCTCTCTCTCTCTCTCGTCTCCTCCTCCTCGCATTCCTCTCTGTTGTCTTCCGCTGCGCCTGGTGTACCGCTTCAGGGGGTGTTTCTGCACATGTTTCTTCACTGCAAGCAGTTAGGGGGTGTGTCAGAATATAATTGTATACATTATACTATAACTGGCAGTAGTGTAGACCAGAGCTAATTCTTGGTTTTTAGCAACCCTTACGATCAGTGTTGCACATGTTCAAAACCCTGATTATCAGTGTGACCCCTTCTGAAAAAACTTTTCCATCTGGGTTTCTGCATGTTTTGAAAATTCTACCCTGGTGCATCAGTGTACAATAATTTCAAACCCTGATGAAATTGTTATTAACAGAGCACACAATGACAATCTTAGTCATCATCATCAAACATGCCAAACGGGTGTTGCTCGTGGTCAATTTCTTCTTCTGGCTCAGGCACTTTCTCTTTCCCCTTTCTTGAAACGGGGATCGCCTGCGCAACTGATTTCGCCGGTCGTCTGGTTGTCTGCTTGCGCCAGATGTCCACCACATCTGGCCACACGTACGGGTACTTGAGCATGTGCAGCGTCATGAGGTTGCCAAGGCGTGCATCGCACAGCGATGTGCGCATCCAGCTTTTGATGATGTTCTGGCGGCTGAAACCTCTCTCACACTCAACTGTGCTCAGTGGCAGCACAGCGAGTGCCTGCCACTGTGTCATCAGGTTCGGATAGCTACGTCGCCAGTCTCTGCTCTTCAGCATGCTATGAAGTCCTTGGTGGAAATCTTCCCCCACATGATGACGTGCCAAGATGTGACAGAAGAACCTGAGCTCCTTCTTCGCCGCCTTGAAGTTAAATCCTGACGTGGACGGGGATTTACAGGGTGGACGTACGGGTGTGTGGTTATGAGTGGTTTGTATCCCACGACGACATGCACAGAGGAATCCGATCCGACGTGATGGCATATACCAAATCCAATCTCACCAGGGAGCATGCCGCCAAATAGCTCGTTGTTTTGGGCCAGCCAATCCAGGCACTTGATCTCCCTCTGGTCCTCCCTGGACGGCCACGATTCCAGTTGAAACAGCTTCGCGCTGCCCATCTGCTGCAAGTCCCACATGCGGAACTTCATCCTGGCCACGATCTCCTTCGCGAACCCCGTGCACAACTTCACACAGTCCGCGAACGTGCCCCCAAACTTGTGCTTCTTGATTGGATTCTCGCTGAGTTCGAATCGATGTGATGTCGGCCGCCCATCGCCGTCAATCCCTTCAACCTGCAGCGTCTGATTTTCCCTGCCGTGGTCCTTGATGAATCTCGATAGTTGGTTGCTGACCCCGCCTCCAAATGTCTCCCCGTACTCGATGTACCGGTGCGTGATGATGGTGATCGTGCGGTCCACTTCCTTCGCCACTTGGGTGATGTCGACCTGGGAAACATAAAAACCACAAACAGTTAAGTACTCTAAATTCTGAGGTGCATGCGACTCAACCGAAAATACGCGTTCACTTGCCTTGCGGTGCTGGAAAAACCGGTTCAGGGCGTTTAGCTCTGCAAGAATGTCAGCAAGGAAGTACAAACAAAAGTGAAACTTAAAAGTCTGCACTGTTGCTGCAATCTTGTGGCCATACTCCACAATCATGACTATCGCTGCCCCGAAAACTCTGCACAGCCGTGCGATTGCGTCTCCCCGCGACAACCAGCGAACATTGAACAATCCTTGATGCTCCAGGTTGGTTTTGTGTATCTCCTGCTGCAGCTCCTTGAACCTCTCGTACCCGATGTTCGAGCGACATATTATTTCGCCAATTGCACGCACACCCTCGTCGATCATGTTCAAGTCGGGGAAGGCCTTAGCAGCATCCTTGACCACGAGCGCCTCTCTGCAGCACATAGGTAACAGATGGGAAACAAATTAATACAACGGTACAACGAGCAGAAACACACACACGGACCAATCCACGGTACCATCGACATTACCGATGTGCAACGCAATGACACCCGACAAGATGAGGAACGTGTTCACGAAGGCGGGAAACAAGGCCGCCCTTATCGCCCGTCATGACGGAAGCCCCGTCGGTGCCGACGCCGGACACGCGGTTGATGTCGACACCGACAGAATCCAAGTGGCTCATGAGCACGGTAAAGAGCGATGAAGCGTCACACTTTTGCACCGTGAGCAGCGCCAAGAATTTTGTAACGGTGACGCCATTCTTGAGGAAAGTGGCAAACACTATCAAGTGTTTGCCACGCGCGCGATCGGTGCTCTCATCACATGTGAGGCCGATGAACGGTGAAGCGAGTAGATGCTGCAGCTGCTGCGATCGCCGGTACTTTGCCATAGCCCCTGCCATCTCGTTGAAGCCGTACCTGCCACACGAAGCAGGTCGGTGTCATGCATGTCTGTTCGCCATAGTAAAATAATTTCGTTCATATCAATTTAAACAAAAGCAACGGTAGACTTACTGCGTAATGTAAACCCCGTAAGACTGCAGCGGGATGCCTGCAACACCTTCTTCGGCCAAGAAACCCACGAGCTTCGGGAACATGGCGATTGGAGCGTCGTGGTCGCAGATGAACTCCACGCTCCGCATGAGGCGAGTGGGCCGCGCACCCTCCTTGTCGGCGTTGGCGAAATCGTCTATCCGCTTTTGCTTCTCAATCTCCGCCATGAGGGTCCGCTGCCTCTTCATAGCGTCGTCGTGGCGGGCGCTCAGCTCGTGACATCGCATTGAGCCGAGCTGCAGATCACGTCCCCCAGTTCCGTTCCGACCAAACTTAGCGTCATCTTTCCCGTGCTCCACACATATGCTGCATCGCAAGATCGGCAACCCTTCCTCTTTTTTATCAAGCAGCAGCCACTCAAACTTCGGTAGCCACTGCGTGACGTACAGCTGCTGCGCCTTCAAGAATTTCTCCTCCGCCTTTTCGGCGCGGGTGAGTTCACGAGACACAAGCGAGGGAGCTTCGACGGGGGCCGGAGGTGGAGTCGATTTCGCAGGGGGCGTGCCGAACGGGAGATATGCTTGCGCAAATCGCCGTTTTTTCTTAGAGGCAGCAGACGAAGACTCGTCGACCTCTGTTAGGATGAATGTGGCGGGAGCACTGTTGAGCTCAACGGCAGAGGAACCAGCTGGACGAGAATCAGGGATTTTTTCGCCGCGGGACGACGACGGGCCTGTAGTGCAGACAGGCGGAGGGTTCTGATGCAGCCCTCGGAGAAAATCAAGGCCTGTCCGCGATGGGGCGTCATTAGGTGGTTCGTCAGTAGCTTCTCCTCCATCATCGTCCAGTGTAGGCGCCATGGCTGCGAGTGTGTATCTGGCAAAACGGCAGGCTCGGTTGGAAAGCACAATTGAGAGAGAGGTCTCTCGTGACCAATCCGAGACCTCACCACAACCGAGCTGGTGCCCCCAATCCCAATCGCACTCGTTTCCTATCGTGCTGGCAAACGAAGCAGTTGAGCCACCCACAGTTGTGCAAAGAACGCGGTGCCCAGTGGGCTAGAGGGCGCCGACTTTCAGCGGTCAACCGGTCAACTTGGCATGTCAGACAACATGACCGAGTTGATACATTGGCGCTGTATAAAAGAAACTGTATTTCTGGCCAATGGTGGCCCACTTCGTGCCAGCACATGTAATGTCGGCGCAGAATTTTCAATTTCGACAGTTGGCATTTGGGAATCCCGGGTTACGGGGTAGGGGGGTTCGGGGAGGGGGGGGGGGGGGGGGGGGGGGGGAGGGGGGGTTGGCGGGGGAAGGGTGGTACTCGCTTCAGGGTAAAACTCGCTAAGCGGAACGGCAACCCTGAGGCATCAGTGTGTCTTAATCGTAAACCCTGGCTTATCAGGAAAAATCTTGCTCCCAAAAAAATTACCCTAAGGCATCAGTGTGACTACCAAAAACCACCCTAATAATCAGGGTATCAGGGCGATTTACACTGATAAAATAAGGTCTGTTCGGCACCCAACCAAAATTCCGTGCCTAAGTGGTTCGGATCGGAAGCACCCTGCAAATTGTGTTTGCTTCGCATCCCTCGTTTCAGCCCTCATCAACTTCTCTACCTCGCTAACCAATCATAGCCTAGCTCAATTCACCAACTGCAAAACAGTTGAACTACTTGAGGTGCAACATGCAACAGCATGCTCCTTAGGACTGCCTCTAAAACCCCTCCCCGAAGCTGCAAGGTGCAACGTGCAATGCCATGTGCTTTAGAACTGCCGCTTCGACCCCTCTCCGAAGCTGCTGACGCAAACGGGAGTCTGAGGCTCACACGACTGTGGTGTGTAGATGCTCATAGGATGCATCGAATACATGGCAGCCGTGCGGCCAAAGGCGGAGGTCGAAACAATAAAGGAGTTGCACGAGGAGAGGAGGAGCCACTCCGTGACTGTCTCTTGGAAGGTTTGAACAGAGGGGATTGCAGGGGGCGGGGGCCCCTCAGGGGTGGTGGGATCGGAAGAAGGGTCGGAGGAGGGAGGGGGTGCGGGCACGGGTGGGGGAGGGGGGCTTTGGCTGATGCTGAGGAGGGAGGGTGGGACCCACGGTTCGAATTCAGTGATCACAATCTGCAGAGAGGGAGGGAGTAGGGGAATGGTGGTGGAAGAAAATTCAGGATAAGCTCTTGCAAGCAGGGAAACATATGATTTGGCTCAGAAGTAATTTTGGAAAAGCTCTCGTAAGAGGGAGAGAGGAGAGGGGGGGAGAGGAAAGAGAGGAGAGGAGATAGAGGAGAGGAGCTGGGAGGAATGGAAAGGAGAGGAGAGATCAGTGATTTCATTCACATCACCTTGGAATCATTCACTTTGGTGGCCTCCTGTTTGAGTTGCAACGAGTCGCTAATAACGAGCCACTTCACGTCAAGCGTTGGTGGATACCACCAGTTCTCCAGATTCTGAAAATTGTGGGTGGGGGGAAAGGGGGGTTTGAATGTTTCGTGTGGGGGGATTTAAGGAGTAATGCTAGCACTGTGTATGCGAGGGGCTGAGGGTGAGTTGGAGATGGGACGAGTTGGTAGTTCTCTTTTCATTTCTGTACACTCACCTTGACGCACTCAATGGCGGGCCACACGACGTCGTCCATTCCCTGCTTCACCTCCTCCAGGCTGACAGTGGTGTTGGGGCCCGTGGTGGAGGCAAGGAAGGCTCTCCTTTTCCTTTCCTCTGTCCTGCTAAAACGGACAGCCCACTCTCTCAGAAGCAACCACCCACCTTGGCGCACTCAATGGCGGGCCACACGACGTCGTCCATGACTTGCTTCACTTCCTCCGGGCTGGCAGTGGTGTTGGGCGCGGGGGGGGGGGGAGGGGGGGGGGGGGAGGGGGGAGAGCTCTCCCCTTCCTTTCCCCCATTCATCAGAAGGGACCACTCACCTTGGCACACTCAATGGCGGGCCACACGACGTCGTCCATGACTTGCTTCACTTCTTCCGGGCTGATAGTGGTGTTGGACGGGGGGGGGCCGCGGCCGAATTGCCTGACGTGCATGCCGATGCTCACCACCTTGTCGCCCCTCAGCTGCTTCTCAAACGGCTGCATCCTGTGCCACACCTCTGGTTTGGGCCTGTAATGGAGTGGGGAGAGCGAGAAGGGAGTAAAAACTTGACTCAAAATCAAGGTAAATACAGAAGGGAGGAAGGGGGGAGGAAGTGGAAGAGAGGAAAGGAGGAAGGGGGGAGGAAGTGGAAGAGAGGAAAGGAGGAAGGGGGGAGGAAGTGGAAGAGAGGAAAGGAGGAAGGGGGGAGGAAGTGGAAGAGAGGAAAGGAGGAAGGGGGGAGGAAGTGGAAGAGAGGAAAGGAGGAAGGGGGGAGGAAGTGGAAGAGAGGAAAGGAGGAAGGGGGGAGGAAGTGGAAGAGAGGAAAGGAGGAAGGGAGTGCAACCATAACATCCCAATTATCCTCTCACCTCACCTCAGCAGGTATCGAATGAAGCAGCCGAAAGCGTATGGAATTCGCACGCCCATGCTCCTGAGTCTTCCCCCCCACACCGACTCATTCGCCCCCTTCAGCATATGCACCAGCAGGTCCTTATTCCACACCACACGCAGGTTCCTCGCAGCTTCCACCTTCGGAAACACCTTTTCGGGGTGCGCCTCAGGGTGCATTTCCAAATTGATCTCTACTATATCACTTGCTCCTATTGGCGGCGTGACCGCCCGGTCAGGAGGGTCCAACGGAAAAGTTTCGTTTCTGACCGGCTCGAATCCCACGTCCTCTGTGGGTTGCCAGTCGATCATCGCCGGTTCAAACGCCATGGGGATGCACGGGTGCTTTATAACGAAGGCCCTGTTAGTGAGGAGAGCTACAGTGAATGCTGACGTCAGCCCCATGAGGGTCTCCCCGAGGCTGTCGCAGTGGCTGAGGCCGTCAAAGGTGAGAAATTTCACGGGCGGCGTGTCGGGCGGCGGGGCAGAGGATGGATTTTTGCTGGCTGCCCGAATTTGCTGGTGCATGCGAGTGTAGTTGTGGTGCCATGTCCCGCACAGATGGTCGGGGAACCCGAAATCGATGAGAGTGGGGACATCAGGGAAAGCATCGATAATGGCCCGAGACTGAAGGGGGAAGGAGCAATCGGCGGGGAGAGGGGGGGGAGTTGGGGGTGAACCGGGATAAAATTATTGTGTGTATTGGGAAGCAGAGGCGTGAGAAACATGAAGAGGAATTTGAATGTGGAGGGGAGTTGGCCAAAAGAGGGTGGAAAAATGGGGGGTTGGCTCTTGCCAGTCAGGTGCCAGTCAGGACAAGATAAAACCCCAGAGCCGAATCATGCTGCACTCACAACATCACATCATGCTGCACTCGCTCGCATCATCGCACCCTGCTGCACTCACATCATCGCACCATGCGGCACTCACATCAACACATCATGCTGCACTCACATCATTGCATCATGCTGCACTCACATCATTGCACCATGCTGCACTCACATCATTGCACCATGCTGCACTCACATCATTGCATCATGCTGCACTCGCATCATTGCGTCATGCTGCACTCACATCATTGCATCATGCTGCACGCACATCATTGCATCATGCTGCACTCGCATCATTGCGTCATGCTGCACTCACATCATTGCATCATGCTGCACTGCACTCACATCGTTGCATCATGCTGCATAACTCAATTCATTGCACCATGCTGCACTCACATCATCACATCATGCTGCACTCACATCATCACATCATCACACCATTCATTCACTCACAAGGGCATCGCGGTGATGAATGCGCTCGTCTGCTGCATAAACGGCCTGATGTGACAGTAACGGGGGTGGAGGTGGAAAGACCGGGCGAGGCTTAGTGGAGCTAAGAGGGGAAAAGGGGATGCTGGTGCAGGGGCGAATGTGTGGATAAATCCTATGTTTGAGTGACGGCGGATAACTCCAGACACCTTCAAGTGAGCATTTTCAAGAGGAGCGTCATGAATAATCAAAGACTAACGTCCAGACCATTCGATAGGACAGATAAGAAAGAATAAACAGTAAAAAAAAACTGCATAGATGACCTCTAGAACGGACAAATGTAAATCTTAGAGACGAGACAATGAAACGAGACTCACGTGCAGTAGGGCAATAGCGTAAGCCAGAAACAGTAAAAATTGAGCTGACGAGATCCGACGAGCTAACGGAATCCGTCGAGCGGCTGTCATTCTGCCAGTCGAACCACGACGACGCTGAACTGGCAGCATCAAAGCTTGCACGGATCAATCGTATTCTATACTGACGCGCTCTAATAGACAGAGACAGCACAGCTGCTTTGACGACAGCGGAATAACTTAGAAAACGAGAAACCTCCTTTCTGTATGAGCAACTGTGAAGCTAGTAGCTAGTAGCGCAGTAACTTGGAAAACGATAAATCTCCTGTCGATATGAAGCTAGAGGCAATCGTCTGGACGTTCCATGAGCGAAAAATCGTCGAGCAGACAAGCTGCATCTGAGATGAACGAGTCAAGTTCCAACTTCCAAGCATCCAACCCTGGGCTTGTCCTCCTACCTGATCCATCACCTCCCCTCGATCTCTTCCTCGAATACCCGCCAGTTTTCACCCATCAAAAGCTTCCCGAAAGCTGACAGTCCCTTCAATTTTCCATTTCAGGAACTGTGATTGGCGGAGATGGTTTTCGCGCCACAAGTTATCCGTGCACAGTTTCTGTGTGATTAGTTATGCTCCAGAACAGTAGGAAAAGAATGCTCGGCGGGCACCACTTTGCCTTGCCAGGACATGATTTTAGGAACGGGTCTTAGGGCTGCTATTTCAAACCCTGTCAAACCACTGCTGATGCAGACTGGTGTCAGGTCAAGTGGTGTTATTTTACTTAAACTATGGACCTTGTACATCTCACTCTATTGTGTAGATGCACATGCATAGAATGCATGGGATAGGATGAACCCCATAACACAGTGATATGGCTGACAAAAAAGGGCAACGGCCATTTTCAGCGCACTACATGCAGCCATATAGTGCAGTTCACACACGTCTCAAAATTGCCGCTTTGACTCCTCTCCGAAGCTGCTAACGCGGACGGGAGTCTGAGGGTCGCACGAACGAGGCATGTACATGCTCAGAGGATGCATCGAATACATGGCAGCCGTGCGGCCAAAGGCGGAGGTCGAAACAATAAAGGAGTTGCACGAGGAGAGGAGAAGCCACTCAGTGACTGTCTCTTGGAAGGTTTGAACAGAGGGGATATCAGAGAGAGGGGAACCCTCTGGAGTTGCGGTGGTGGTGGTGGTGGTGGTGGTGGTGGGATCAGAAGAAGGGTCGGAGGAGGGAGCGGGCGCGGGTGGCGGACTTTGGCTGATGTTGAGGAGGGAGGGCGGGACCCACGGGTCGAATTCGGTGATCATGATCTGCAAAGGAAATGAGGCGGGCGAAAGGGAGGAGGGGGAGTGGGGACATAAGTTCTATATTGGATGTTTCGGGTGGTACTGTTGATGAGGAGGGAGGGTGGGACCCATGGGTCAAATCTGGTGATGAGATCTGCAAAGGAGATGGGACAGGTGAAAGGGGAATGGGGAGGAGAGGGATGGGATTGTTCACCAAACCACAATTCTCTTGAAGGTTTGCTACTGAGGCTGAGAGCCTTGGGTGGTACTGTTGGTGGAGAGGGAGGCTGGGACCCACCGGATAAATGAGGTGATTATGATCTGCAAAGAGAGGTGGGAGGGAGTAAGCGAAGCTTTTGTAAAACGCCTGGAGAGAATTAGCAAGCGGAAGGGGAAATGAAGGCACCCACGGACATAATGTGGTGACAGGTCTGTATGGAGGAAAGGAAGTTGGAAGAAGATGGTTCAGAGAAAGGATGATATTGAAGCTCGAGAAGGGCTTGGGTGGTGGAGATGATGGTGGGGAGGGAGGACCCACTGGCTGGATTCAATGATGACAGAGGGCAGGGGCATGGTGGTCATACGAGAGAGAGGTGACTTTTGAGTCGACTCAAAAGTCACCTTGGGTGGTGTGAGATGGTGGTGGGTAGGGAGGACCCACTGTTGGATTAAATGATGACAGAGGGCAGGGGCATGGTGGTAATCAGAGAGAGAGGAGAGGAGAGGAGAGGGGTGGAGAGGAGAGGGGAGGAAAGGAGAGGGGAGGAAAGGAGATGAGAGGAAAGGAGATGAGAGGAGAGGTGAGGAGAAGGAAGGAGCGGAAAGGTAAAAAGAAGACATACAGTCACACACTTTTGACTTGTTATAATCACATTACCTTGGACCTGCAAAAATCACATCATCTTGAGTTCGTTATGAAAAACAGAACCTTGGACTCGTTATTGGCAGATTACCCTTGGACTCGTCATAAAACACTACGTTGGACTCGTCATATGCACATCACCTTGGACTCGTCATAGGCGCGTTACCTTGGACTCGTTATTGGCACATTTGCCTCGGACTCGTCATAGGCACATTACCTTGGACTCGTTCACTATGGCCGCCTTCTGTTTGAGTTGCAGCGAGTCGCTAATAACGAGCCACTTCACCTTGAGGAATGGCGGGTACCACCAGTTTTCCACATCCTGTTTGGTTTGGGGGGACGGGGAAGGGCGCGCGTGGAAACAAGAGGAGAAAAGCAGACTGTTTGAGATGCCACCAGTCACTAATAATGAGCCACTTTACATTGAGGAATGGCGGTTTTCCATACTCTGCCACATGTGTGTGTGGGAAGGGGTGGAGATGGGGTTGTAAGAGGTGGAAAGAGTTATGAGAGAACGCTACCACCAGTTCGCAAGATTCTTCCGTGTGTGAAAATTGGTGAGATTGGAGGTGGAAAAAATAGGAGGGAACACTGAAGGCAGATTGTTGTGCGAGCAACGGGAGAGAATCAAACTGCCCGAATCACAGAAAATCCTTTAACATGCTGCCCCGTGGGGGAGGGTGGGGGGGAAGCGGCTGCCTATCTGCGCCCTTTCGTCTGCTCTTTCCTGAGCAAACGATCCTTTCCCCTGAATCCTGATTAAAACACCCACCTTGGCGCATTTTATGGCGGGCCACACGATGTCATTCATAGCCCTCCGCAGCTCGCCCGAGCTGATGGTGGTGTTCGGAGGGAGGGGTCCGCGGCCGAAGTGCCGCACATGCAGGCCGATGCTCACCACCTTGTCGCCCCTCAGCTGCTTCTCAAACGGCTGCATCCTGTGCCACACCTCCGGCTTGGGCCTGAAGAGGAGGGGAGAAGAGGGTGAGACACAGGGGGATGGATGTTTGAGGTAAGCCTGTGCTCCCCACCTTGCATCCTGCGTCACACGCACCTACGGAGTGGGCCTTCAGAAAAGATAAAGAAAGGGCCAATGAGGCTTGATAATCTGCCAATCATGAACATAACCAACTCTCAAACATATCCATTCATCCTCTGCTTTTGAGTCAACTCAAAGGCAGGGGGAGGGTGGGGTGGGGCCACTGAGGCTTGATAATCTGCCAATCATGAACATAACCAACTCTCAAACATATCCATTCATCCTCTGCTTTTGAGTCAACTCAAAGGCAGGGGGAGGGTGGGGTGGGGCCACTGAGGCTTGATAATCTGCCAATCATGAACATAACCAACTCTCAAACATATCCATTCATCCTCTGCTTTTGAGTCAACTCAAAGGCAGGGGGAGGGTGGGGTGGGGCCACTGAGGCTTGATAATCTGCCAATCATGAACATAACCAACTCTCAAACATATCCATTCATCCTCTGCTTTTGAGTCGACTCAAAGGCAGGGGGGGGGTGTGGTGGGGCCACTGAGGCTTGATAATCTGCTAATCATGAACATAACCAACTCTCAAACATATCCATTCATCCTCTGCTTTTGAGTCGACTCAAAGGCAGGGGGGGGGTGTGGTGGGGCCACTGAGGCTTGATAATCTGCCAATCATGAACATAACCAACTCTCAAACATATCCATTCATCCTCTCACCTCCCACCTCTCACTTCCCACCTCTCACCGTCTCACCTCAGCAGGTATCGCACAAAGCAGCCGAAAGCGTACGGGATACTGACACCCATGTCTTTGAGTCTCCCTCCCCACACTGACTCATTCGCCCCCTTCAGCATATGCACCAGCAGATCCTTATTCCACACCACACGCAGGTTCCTCGCAGCTTCCACCTGGGGAAACACCTTTTCCGGGTGCGCCTCGGGATGTAATTCCAGGTTAATTTCCACTATGTCAGTTGCTCCTATTGGAGGCTTGACTTCCCTGTTCGGAGGGTCCAACGGAAAAGTTTCGTTTCTGACCGGCTCGAATCCCACGTCCTCTGTGGGCTGCCAGTCGATCAGCGCTGGTTCAAACGCCATGGGGATGCACGGGTGCTTCATAACGAAGGCTCTGTTAGTGAGGAGAGCTACAGTGAACGCTGACGTCAGCCCCATGAGGGTCTCCCCGAGGCTGTCGCAGTGGCTGAGGCCGTCAAAGGTGAGAAATTTCACGGGCGGCGCGTCGGGCGGGGGGTCGCCAGAGGGATTTTTGCTGGCTGCCCGGATTTGATGGTGCATGCGAGTGTAGTTGTGGTGCCATGTGCCACATAGGTGGTCGGGGAAACTGAAATCGATGAGAGTAAGGTCATCAAGGAAACCATCAATGATGGACCGAGACTGAAGGGGGAAGGTGGGGGGAAAGGTGGGAAGGGGGGGGAGGGAGGGGGGAAGGGGGAAGCGGGAAGGAAGAGGAGGAAAGGGTAGCAGAAAGGGGAACAGGAAGTGGAGAAAAATAATTTGGATATGCTGCGAGCAGAAAAAGATTGGCATGAAAAAAATCCAATGTTAACAAAGGTACGTGGGAAGATATGCTCCATAGTCATCCTCCGATAGTTCAGATTATCAAGGGGCAAAAAAACGTAAAATTTTTAGAACTCTGACTGTGAGGAATGGTATCCTTGAATATGACCGTAAAAAAAGGATTGAATATACATAGATATTCTATACATATACATATTCATATTTCTGGATGGAGAAAATACACGTAGTTATCTTTGGTAGAGAAACCACCTGCTGTTTTAACATGGCCACTTTTTCGTGAGTAGGATGAGGTGGCTGTTACAAGTGATAATGGTTAAGAGTACTCATGTCTACGTTAGGTGATATTCTTGCACCCTCATCCTGCACTCAACTGAGTCAGCTCATCACATGCTCACATCATCACATCATGCACTCACATCATCACATCATGCCTCACTCGCATCATCACATCATGCTGCATTCACATCATCACATCACACCATACCATACACTCACTCACAAGGGCATCGCCGTCGTGGATGCGCTCGGTTGCTGCATTCCCAGCCTTATATCTACGTTAGGTGATTTTCTTGCACCATCGTGCTGCATTCAAATCATCACAACACATCACATCACACCATACACTCACTCACTCACAAGGGCATCGCCGTGGTGGATGCGCTCGGTTGCTGCATTCCTGGCCTGATGCGATTGTAAAGGGGATGAGGGAGTCTGGGTGACGCTTAGTGGCTGGGAGGAGAGAAGAGCCATGCGTATGCGGATGTGGATTCGGATTCACGGACATTCTATATGCAGGGATCTATCATGTGTGTGCGGAACGGCGAATGCACGGACTGTCAGGAAGGAGGTCCAAGGCTAGTCAAAGTCTAACGTCCAGAACTTACGTCAACAAAAGAAGAAGAATGGAAAAGAATCGGTGGTCGTGAGAAGGACAAGAGTCTTCTAAAAAATGGATGACGAGTTGACCATGATAATTGAGTCTTCTAAAAAAAGGGCAATAACGAGACTCACGTGCAGAAGGGCGATTGCGCAAGCCAGAAACAAAAACCGCTCAACTGACGAAATCCCTCGACTCGCTAACAGAAACCGTCGAGCAACTGTCATTCTGGTAGTCGAATCCCAGAGAAGCTGAACTGGAAGCGTCACAGCCGTGCACATACACAGCTTCCTGAACGTCTTTCAGGTTCCGATCATCCCTAAGGGAGTCCTCCTGATACTGCTTACAGTATTCCCTCTCAAAGCTTCCTGCCCGAGAGATTGCCATGCTCCCCTTCAGACTGATTTTGAGGATTACCGACCTTGGGATTGCCGGCCGATGGGTTCAATCGCTGATGGAATTTCTCTCGAGGGTTGAATTCCTTGCCTGACGTACCCGCCATGAGCTGTCCGCCCGACGAAATTAGTTTTGCGAGATTCCAGTGGTAATTCTGCTAGATGATAAAGTTGTTCTGCAACAACCCAAACTCCTAAACAAATAAATAAATAATATATTGCACATTAATGTGGGCTCCCACTAATATCACGAGCCTTCTGACTCCAATATCATGCGAACTTAACCCAAAATCAGACTAGCATCAACAGAAAACCATAGCTCTGGCAAACCCAAATCATACTACGGTAGATCACATCAGCATGGAAAGAATGACATTGTCCCTCCTCCGAATCCTCACACGCACCCCATTTTTTTTTGTCGAAGGTTCAACCCAGATTCCAGCGGCAGCTTGCTGCTATCCACCCCTGCCTTGCTGCTATCATCCATCCCTCCCCCCCTCGCGCCAAAATACTATTTTCCCTCCTCCGAAACCTTACCTGCACCCCATTCTTTGGTCGAAAGTTCAGCCCAGATTCCAGCGGCAGCTTGCTGCTATCCACCCTTGCCTTGCTGCTATCCACCCTTGTCTTGTGCCCTCCTCTGCTTCCTCACTCCCCCCCTGTATCCCTCTCCCCTTTCCTTTAACTCCAGTATTGCTAGTGTTGAGGAGTTTCAAAGCATTGGCATCAGTTGCAGACGAGATGTCGAATACCCGCAGCAGCAGCACGAGGCAGAGTTTGATCCCCATCAAGGCGAATCGAGCACCGATGCACATGCGGGGACCGGCTCCAAAAGGCAAGTACATGGCCTCTGATTCTGCCGTACGCAGCACCTCCTCTTGCTGCTCTGTTCCACCTTCCCCTTCACCCTTGGTCGATCGTCGAGAGGAATCACATCGAGCACCGATGCACATGCGGGGAGCGGCTCCAAATGGCAAGTACATGGCCTCTGACTCTGCTGTCCACAGCACCTCCTCTTGCTGCTCCGTTCCACCTTCCTCTTGTTGCTTCCCTCCTCCTTCCCCTGATTGGCATCAGTTGCAGACGAGATGTCGAATACCCGCAGCAGCAGCACGAGGCAGAGTTTGATCCCCATCAAGGCGAATCGAGCACCGATGCACATGCGGGGACCGGCTCCAAAAGGCAAGTACATGGCCTCTGATTCTGCCGTACGCAGCACCTCCTCTTGCTGCTCTGTTCCACCTTCCCCTTCACCCTTGGTCGATCGTCGAGAGGAATCACATCGAGCACCGATGCACATGCGGGGAGCGGCTCCAAATGGCAAGTACATGGCCTCTGACTCTGCTGTCCACAGCACCTCCTCTTGCTGCTCCGTTCCACCTTCCTCTTGTTGCTTCCCTCCTCCTTCCCCTGATTGCCTCCCTTCCCCTGCATCCTGCATAAACTGTGCAGCCTCCTCTCCCCTTCCTCCCTCCCCTCCCCCTCCCTCCTCTTCCCTTCCTTTCTCCCCTCCCCCTCCCTCCTCTCCCCTCCCTGCCTCCTTTCCCCTGGCTCTCTTTCCAGCCGCTGCCTGCTGCCCGAAACGTTAGGGCAGGAAAGAAAACGGCCGGGGAAAGAAATTCGGGCAGCGGTGGGCAGCAAAAATTGGAACCACGACTGGCGTATTTGCAGGGATGTGGTGACCACCCAGAGACGTTGGATGGACAGGCAGCTGGGCAGCCGGGCAGCTATAGGTGCAGCGGGGTACAGCCTAAGTGTTTCTTTCACAACCATATCGAGATACTTAAGCTCTTCTAAGCTCTTTTTGAAAACAGGAGGTGAATCATCAGACCTTCTTCAGCCCATCTCCCCTCCCTCCCTCTCCCCCTTCCCCTCCCCCTCCTCCTCTCCCTCCTCTTCCCCCTCTCCCTCTCCCTCTCCCTTCCCTTCCCTCTCCTCCTTCCCCTCTCCCTCCTCTTCCCCCTCTCCCTTCCCTTCCCTCTCCTCCTTCCCCTCTCCCTCCCGCTCCCGTTCCTCGAAACACCTGTCGATTTCAGCCTGAAGTTTCCCGACAACTTCCGGGTGCTGAGTCAGCATGTGGACGGCAAACGCCAGGGTGGACGATGTGGTGCCCAGAGGAAGATCGGATTCGAGCAATCCTGTTCTTGTGGCCTTGTCTCGGAAGCTGCAAGGCAGACGGCAGTGGAAGTAGCGAGAGAAAGGGGCTACGAGCACGTTGCAGAAGGTCACAGTAAGGCCAGCGTGGACGATGTGGTGCCCACACTGGCGCCCAGGAGGCCAAAGAGGATGAGAGGAAAGTCAGACTAACTAGAGCAGCCCTGCGCTTGGAAGCGGGAATGTGCCTTTCTCTTGGAAGGCACAATCCGAGGCAGAGGGACTGAGGCAGAGGGACTGAGGCAGAGGGAGGAAGGTCCGGGTATTTGCATTGAACGCCCAGGAGGCCAAAGAGGAGAAGAGGAAGGTCGGATTCAGCGAGTCCTCGCCCTGTGGCCTTGTCTCAGAATCAACGTGCCCGCAACACAAAATACGTGTTCTCTGTGCATGTGTGTGTGTGTGTGTGGGGGGGGGGGGGGGGGGGGGTGCGTGCGTGCGTGTGTGTGTGCGTGCGTTTGTGCGCGCTATAATTGTCTGTCACCCTGACTCCTTTCAAAATGTCAGCAGCGTTGCTGTTGCCTTGCGACTGTTGCTGCCTCTTTGCTTCTAGCATACGCTGGTGAGAAGGAGCGGGGCAGAGGAGAGAGACGCAGAGGGTTACACAATGGAGAGATGGGTGGATTCCACCCATCTCTCCAGATGGGTCAAATGCGGGATTAGGAGGAAAGTGCTGCCTTGCGACTGTTGCTGCCTCTTTGCTTCCAGCAATAGCTGGTGAGAAGGGGAGGAGTTGGAAGGGAGAGATGGGAAAAGTGAGGTGGCTGTTATTGAGGCGCCTAATATACGGGGAGTGGGGGGAGAGTTGGGGGAAGTAGTTTTGAGACGTCTCAAAACTATTGAGGCGCCTAAGATATGGGGAGTGGGGGGAGAGTTGGGGGAAGTAGTTTTGAGACGTCTCAAAACTATTGAGGCACCTAAGATACGGGGAGTGGGGGGAGAGATGGGGGAAGTAGTTTTGAGACGTCTCAAAACTATTGAGGCGCCTAAGATACGGGGAGTGGGGGGAGAGTTGGGGGAAGTAGTTTTGAGACGTCTCAAAACTATTGAGGCGCCTAAGATACGGGGAGTGGGGGGAGGGTTGGGGGAAGTAGTTTTGAGACGTCTCAAAACTATTGAGGCGCCTAAGATACGGGGAGTGGGGGGAGAGTTGGGGGAAGTAGAATTTTTGAGGCGCCTCAAAAGCTGCTGCTGCCTCTTTGGATGCAGAATTTGCTAGTCAGAAGGAGAGGAGTTAGGAGGGAAAAGGTGTGGGGAGTGGATAGGAGAGATTTGGAGAGAATGGGGAAGGAGTGGGGAGTAATTGGGGGGAATAAGGAGAATTTGAAGCACCTCAAGACACGGTAACTCCCAGGCACTGGAACCTTCCACCTTAGACGTTGGGTCTCCTTGATTCTCTCACTTTCTACTCCAGCGTAAGCTCGCGGTGTCTCTCCCTTGCAGCACCCACGGTGCTCTCAGGCAGCACACCCAGCAGCGCATGCACCCAGGGGCAAACTAAGAGTGTGGTATCTCTGGGCACCGCACTCAACACCTTAGTGTCTAAGTGCTGCCTCAACCCTCTCACCTTCCACCCGAGCATCAGCTCTCGGTGTCTCTCCCTTGCCGCACCCACGGTGCTCCCAGGCAGCACACCCAGCAGCGCATGCACCCAGGGGTGCAGGCACGCAGGGGAGAGGGCCAAAGGGAGGAGGAGCTTTCAAGGCGCCTCACTTCAGAACATAGTAACACCCAGGAACCGCACTGAACACCTCTCACCTTCCACTCCAGCATCAGCTCTCGGTGTCTCTCCCTCGCCGCACCCACGGTGCTCCCAGGCAGCACACCCAGCAGCGCATGCACCCAGGGGTGGAGGCACACAGGGGAGAGGGCCAGGAGGAGCGATGGGACCGCCCCGAGCTCGTTTGCCCCGTATGCCCGGGCCAGAGAGGCAGTGTGTGGTGCGGTAGTGTGTGGTGCAGTAGTGTGTGGTGCGGTAGTGTGTGGTGCGGTAGTGTGTGGTGCGGTAGTGTGTGGTGCAGTAGTAACATGCGTGGTGGCCATAGGAATGGTGTCATTGTGAGCCGCTGCTGTTGCTGTGTGTGTGGCAGCTCTATCCTGCTGAAACCACAGGTCGTCACCAAAGCAAGCAGAGCCAATAGACACTAGCCCCACTGCTTAAAAAATGCCCATCAAATCCACCTCCACCCATCCCTCCTTGCTACCTCCCCCCTCTTGCTTCTCCTCCACCCATATCTCCTCTCTACCTCCTCCCTCTCGGTTCTCCTTTCCACCTTCCTCCCCCCATCCTCCCTCCGTCCCTCCCTCCTCTTGCATTTCTCCCCTCTTTTGGGTCACTTCCCACAGCGGCAGCAGCAGCATGTGGAGAATGGAGCGGTGCATGCCGGGAAAGGAGGAGTGGAGATGGGTGGAGCGGTGGAATATGGGAGTGAGAGCGCTCCTCAAACCAGCCCAGTGGTTACCCCTGGAGAGAACGAGGAGGGGAGCGGACGGGGGGAGGAGAAGAGGAGGTGTGTTGGGAAGTGAAAGGATGTGAGAGCAAGGAGTGGAGATGGGTGGAGCGGTGGAACATGGGCGTGAGAGCGCTCCTCAAACCAGCCCAGTGGTCACCCCTGGAGAGAACGAGGAGGGGAGAAATGGAATGAAGGTGAGAGGCAGTGGTGATTCAGTTGAGAAAGAATCCACAGGCAGTGGAGCACTCATTGGTGGTGCGATGCGAGCAAGGGCATGAGGGACGGGAGGAACACTCATTGGTGGGGCTCGCAGTGGGAGGTGCGGAGCGGGTGTGTGATTCTCTTCTGATCTGCTGCTCACCGAGAATATGACAGAAGACCGGCTGGCAGTGGGAGGCATGGGGCGTGGCATGGGCCGCATGCCCCATGCCCCATGCCGGGCATGCGGCATGGAGTATGTATTTTTGGTGGAGGATCCAAGTGACCCACAGCACTTGTGCAAACAGCAAACAATGGCAAACGGAGGAAACCTTTTCGAATAAACGAAAGACACTCACCGGGCGAAGAGCAGCCCCCGGCCAGAGTGGTGGGGCTGGCGGTGGGAGGTGTGGGGCTATCATGAGAAGCACGGGATTACCCAGGGGTCGTTGTCACGAGTAAAAATTCCCTAGCTGAAAGAAATCTTGATCGCAAAAACCGAATTCACTCAATCATGAGAAGCACGGGATTACCCAGAAATAAACTAGTCGTGGTTGTGTATCGGGATGGGGAATGTGAGGGACACTCACCGGGCGAACAGCAGCCCCCGGCCAGAGTGGTGGGGCTGGCAGTGGGAGGTATGGGGCGATCGTGGAATGTGTTGAAGCGACGGAGAAGAACCTCTTTCACACGCGCAGGAGCAGAACCTCTTTCACACGCGCAGGAGCAGAACCTCTTTCACACGCGCAGGAGCAGAACCTCTTTCACACGCGCAGGAGCACAACCTCTTTCACACGCGCAGGAGCAGAACCTCTTTCACACGCGCAGGAGCACAACCTCTTTCACACGCGCAGGAGCAGAACCTCTTTCACACGCGCAGGAGCAGAACCTCTTTCACACGCGCAGGAGCACAACCTCTTTCACACGCGCAGGAGCAGACACTGCTACAACTCGGCGAGGGCCATAGCAGTAACTGATGGAAGGGGTGGGGTTGGGAGGGGGAGATGGGTTTGACACTTCCTGAATGCACCACAGCGCCGCACAGCATCACATAAGACCACAGCGCGCCATACCGCACTGCACGGCACCTCACACTCACGAGTACAGGTGGCCGTGGGCAGCCATCCAGTCCACGTGACACTGATGGTGACCCTTGCTTACGATCTCCCGCACGTTCCCCACCACCCCTACCATCCTAATCCATAGGGAAACGTTGCATCTCCCATAGGCCTCTCATCCTCTTTTCCTTTCCCTCGTTTCCCCTTCCCTCTACTTGTCTCCCTATTTTTCCCTCGCCTCCTTTTCTTCCGCCTTTTAGACTTCCTTCTTCACCTCTTCTCTCCCCCTCTTCACTCGTACGCCTCTCTCCCCCCTCCCTTCCATTTGCCCATGTCGCCCGGGATCCTTTCCCGGAATTCCCGCCGTTGGTCGCGGCACGGGAGAGCGCAGGTGGAGAAGAAGCAGGGCGAGGATCGCAAGGAGAATCACGGCGACAGCCGCGAGCGCTGCGACGGCAGGCGACGGCACCGGTGACGTCGTACGGGACGTCGCCGTCGTCGCCGTCGTCAGGCGGATGAACAAAGAGGAGGATTTCGCGAGAGCGACGGCGAATGCGAACGCTGCGACGCCGATGGGGAACGCGGAGGCAGGGAACGATGTTCGGGAGGTGGGGGAGGTCCGCTGCTATTTCTGTTACTATTGTGCATTGAGTTTGCTTCATTTGACAGCGGAAGATTTCCCTGAGAGGATAAAGTGTCACCGTCAACGGATGTCGAATCAGGGCTAAATCCTTCACCCTTAGCAGCGTCGTTTGCGTCATCAGGAGCGGCTCGCTCACTAACCGGATTGGTGAGATTCCTAAAGCCGGTGGCCGATTCGGAAGCCATTACACTCAGAATCAGGATGCAAACAATAACCGCCCGGAGTAAGACACCGATACGGAGATACTTAGACGGGGAGAGCACCCTGACTCCCCTGAACGTCGCGTGAGACGTCACGGAATGTAGTCTCTAGTCTAGTTAACGACGTATCACCGCGCTCCCAGCCGTTGCTTTTGCTGGAAAGTGCCGCGGAAAAGTGATACAATTCAATCTCCACGTATTTACTGCATGGCGAACGTACGCTTCCTAAACTCAACGACTACCGTAGTCATTTCGCGTGGAGAATCTGAGCATAATGATCGCAGAGCAGAGATCTAGCAAGATACCAGTCATAGCTTGTCAAGGATATTCCATTGGTGCTTTGACTTGACAGGGTTTAGGGTGAGGGAGAGGCTTGCATTGCTTCTACTTTCAAATATGAAGTCTAGTACTTCGTGCACTGTGGATTTTACAGTCCGTATTGGATCAAGATCAAACCTTGACTCTTTGAAGCCCTTCCTCCTTTTGTAGAGCGCTTGCTTCCTTTCCTTCTTACTTCTCACAAATCACTCAAACGCATTCCACCCGTACGAGTCAAACGCGCTCGCACTACCCGGCTGCACCCCCCCCTGCCTCGCAGCCCCCGGCGTTTCCGTCTCTTCCGACGCCTTGTCATAGTTGTACGCGTCGAAATGCGATGCGGTAACATGCTGGTTACCACCGCCAACGCCCCCACTGCTTCGGAGACTGGCGAACGGGTCCCCTCCGCTGTCCTCCTCCTCGCTGCTATGCACCTCCTCTTCTTCCTCTCCCCTTCCTCTGCCTCCGCCTCCTCCTGCCATAGTCCCCGCACTTGCTCCGTAGGGGTTGGAGTCGAAATGATCGTCGAAGCCACTGGCGAAGGATTGGAACTGGCCGGGATGAAACTCGCCAGACTGGGAGGAAGAAATGGGGGAGGGGAGGAGGGAAGCAAGGAGAGGAAAGAGGGAGAGTGGTCGTTGAAGCCACTGGCAAAGGATTGCAACTGGCCGGGATGAAACTCGCCAGACTGGAATGAGGGATGGGGGGAAGATGGGGGGGGAGATGGGGGGAGACGGGGGAAGATGGGGGGAGGAGTACAAAGGTGGGAGAGTGAGATAGCATGGTCGTTGAAGCCACTGGCAAAGGATTGGAACTGACCGGGATGAGACTCGCCAGACTGGAATGAGGGATGGGGGGGGAGATGGGGGGGGAGATGGGGGGGAGATGGGTGGAGATGTGGGGAGATGGGGGAAGATGGGGGGAGGAGTACAAAGGTGGGCGAGTGAGATAGCATGGTCGTTGAAGCCACTGGCGAAGGATTGGAACTGGCCCGGATGGAACTCGCCAGACTGGAATGAGGGATGGGGGGGAGATGGGGGGGGAGATGGGGGAAGATGGGGGGAGGAGTACAAAGGTGGGCGAGTGAGATAGCATGGTCGTTGAAACCACTGGCGAAGGATTGGAACTGACCGGGATGAAACTCGCCAGACTGGGAAGCGGAGGAGCAGGGGAGGAAGGGTAGGGGAGCGAGAGAGATTTTGTAGACGACTCAAAGACTTGAGTCGAAATGATCGTCGAAACTACTGGCCAAGGATTGGAAAACTGGCCCCAATGGATCGTTGAGCTATCCAGTCCAGAGTAGCACCGCCGGCAACATAGTCAGCACCGCCGGCACCATAGTCAGCACCGCCGGCACCATAGTCAGCACCGCCAGCACCATAGTCAGCACCGCTGGCACCATAGTCAGCACCCGCCGGCACCATAGTCAGCACCGCCGGCACCATAGTCTTAGTCAAACGCCCCCACCCACTACACAGTAATGCTGGTCAAACGCACTCGCACGCACGTGCATCAAAACCACCCTTGAGACCAGTCAAATCTACACACTCACCCGAGCGTGTGAGCCGGAGGGGGAATCGACCGAGGAGCGGAAGGAGGAGGAGGTGTCGAGAGCAGCACCACCGGCACCGTAGTGCTGATCAAACGCCCCCACTCCCCCGTAATGCTGGTCGAACGCACTCGCATCGGAACCCCCCTTGAAGCTCGCCGCACCAGTCGCAGAATCAAACGCGCTCGCGTCAATTCCACCCTTGAAACTTGCTGCACCAGTCGCAGAGTCAAAGATGCTCCCCCGGTACCCCTTGAAACTAGAATCCCTGGAGAAACTCGGGTCGCGGCCAAAGCTCGAATCGCGGCCAAAACCCTGGTCGAACTGAGAGGCGTCAAACGGCGCGGCAACAACCGGATTGGCGTGAAACGGCGAGGAATCAAACGTATCGGCAGCACCCCTCAGCTGCTGCTGGTGCAGTCCGGAGTGAATCGGACTATCCTCGTGAATCAGTCCCACAGCGGCGTGCGTAAGCGGCGACTGAACCTCGTCGTTTCCACTCCTCCGTCGTCCCTCAGTGCTAAACGAGGCGGGGAAGGGAGACGCGGATTCTGAAGGGTCTGCTGCTGCTGCTGCACCTGAGCCGAACGGATCCTCTGGCTCTGCCGAGAAATCAAACGCAAAGGACCCCGATTTGGTTTCTGTTACTACAGCACCACCTTCACTGTCCGCACTGGGAGATAGGCCGAAGGCGGCAGAGGGAGCAGCGGTGGCAGCAGTAGCAGCAGCACTAGCAGCAGCAGCAGCAGCTGTTGCTGCTGCAGGGATACCAGCAGCAGGTGCAGCAGTGTCAGTTGAATCTGCTGCTTGTTCGTCCTCCTCCTCATCCCTTCCTCTCCCCCGCGACCCATAGCCCTTCCTTCCACTGTCACTCTCTGCATCACTCTCAACCATATCTTCTGACACAAGACCATGGGCTGTGTAGGGCCGTGACACCTCATCTCCCTCTCCATACCCATCCCTTCCTCCTCCTCCTCCTCCTGCTACTGCCCCCGCTCCTATTCCTGCTCCTTCTCCGTACCTCCCTCCCGGACCAGCCGTCATCACCGAACCAAAACCCAAGCCTCCAGTGCTGCTCGCTCCACTCGCTGTGCTGTCTTGCTGTGGGGAGTCCACTGAATCTAGATCCAAGGTTCGGCGGACAGACGTGGCAGAGGGTGGGGATTTCCCTGCTGACGAGGCAGCAGCAGTGCCACCAGCAGCAACACCAGCAGGGGTGGAATCAGGCGTTCCAGAAGCAGCGTTAATTGCTGCAGCAGCAGCATTAGCAGCTGCCAGGCTCTTAGCCACCGAAGCAGGGTTGAAGGGAGAAGCAGTAGTAGACGCTCTACTGCTGGTGGATGCAGCAGCAGAGACAGGTGAAACGGGAGACACGCCAGATGTTGGAGAGAGAGAGAAGGATGAAGCCAAGTCAGCCAGACTCGGCATCACTGCTCCTCCTGACCCTCTTCCTCCTGCTCCTCCTGCTCTGCTTCCTGCTGCTCCTGCTTTTCCCGCACTGCCGCGGGACCAGCCTTGGAAGGGGAAACCGAGAATCTCCTTGGAATCACCCGGGGAGGCCGATGCTGCACTCTCCTCTTGCACTGCTGACGTCTCCCCATCGATCTCCTGCTCCTCTCTCTCTCCTTCCTTCCCTCCCACTCCTGCTTCTGCTGGTTCTCCCTGCTTCGTCTCCCCTCCTGCCCCTCCTGCAACCACCCCTTCCATCATCCCGTCCTTACTCCCCCCCCTTCCCCCACCCCCTCCCTCTCCCCCTGCTGTTATCTGCAGTATAGGTGTCGAATCCATCACAATTTCCTCCACCTCCTCCTCTTCCTCCTCCTCCTCGTCCTCATCCCCCTCCCCGTGCCTCTGCATGCCAATCATCGCCTCGTTTGAATCCGCATCCTCATCCTCCTCTGGAGAGAAGAAGTCAGATGGACCGGAAGGAACCGAACCCATGCTCTTCTCCTTCTTCTTCCTCTTCTTCTCCTCCTCTTTCTCCTGCTTCTCCTTCTCCTCGTTCTCCTTGGCATCTCCTGGGCCTTCCCCTCCTGTATTCGCAGCACCATCAACCCCGTCTGCTGTCATCCCCTCTCCCCCCTTCCCATCTTCCAAGTCCCCCTCTCCCTTACCCTCCTCCCCTTCTCCCTTGCCAGTTTCAGCCGCTGCTGACGCCCCAGCCCCGCCCTTCTCCTCCTGCTCCTTGGATTTCGGCCTGGGAAACGGGTCTTCGTTCTCAGCCAATGGGGTGTCACCAATATCCCGCACCACCACCAGCCCTTCAAACTGCACGTCGTCCCACTCGTCGTCCCAGTCTGTTGCTTTCTCCTGAAGATTCGCCTGCCAGCCTGGACAAACGAAGAAAGACAAAGGCACTTGGCGATGCATCAGTTATCAGTATCCCACATCCAGTTGCGTAGTGTGAATGCATGGTGGCATGCTGACATGGTGGCATGCTGACATGGTGGCATGCTGACATGGTGGCATGCTGACATGGTGACATGCTGACATGGTGACATGCTGACATGGTGGCATGTTGGGGCCTGATGACATGCTGCCATCGGGCTAAATGTGCTTACAAAAGGGGTTCTCCAATCCCACAAGGGGCCGCACAATTAGCCCAATGGCAGTGGCATGATGTGTAATGTGACTAAGTGGTGGCATGTCTGGGTGCTTACCGAAGGGGGTCTGGGATCCCACCAGGGGCCGCACATTTAGCCCGATGGCAGTGGCAGTGACATGGCAAGGTATGGTTGCAAAAGGAACTGACAAATAAGACCGCCATAAAAAACGTACCAATGAGGGTCTCGGATCCCACCAGGGGCTGAAATTTCAGCCCGATGGCAGTGGCACAGTGGACAGGGGACCAGCATGTTTTCATGGAGAAACCTCACCAAAAGGGGTCTTGGATCCCACAAGGGGCCGCACTTTCAGCCCGATGGCAATGGCATGACGCCCACTGAATGATGTGACGGCATTATGAACTCTAGTGCTTAAGAAAGGGGGACTTAAAGCCCACAAGGGCCCACAATCAACCCAATGGGAGCGGCATGGTGCAAAGGAAATAATCGGAAAACGAGATTAATTAAAAAACTTACCAAAGGGAGTCTCGGAGCCCACAAGCGGCCGTACTTTCAGCCCGATGGCAGTGGCATGTGCAAACACCGCCTTGCGCATCTCCTCCACCTCCAGAGCCAGGCGGTCCGCCTTGTCCTGATGATGGATGGGGATGGGGACAAGAGACAGAGTGAGGGGCAGAACAGCATGAGGGGCAGCATGGCAGGCAGACAGCAGTGGCATGTGCGAACACTGCCTGATGCATCGCCTCCATCTCTAGAGCCAGGCGGTCCGCCTTGTCCTTGTAATATGGAAGAGTAAGGGACAGCATGAGGGAGAGAAGCAGTAGCAAGCGCAAACACCGCCTGATGTATCTCCTCCACCTCTAGAGCCAGGCGGTCTGCCTTGTCCTGACAATAAGTGAGATAGCACGAGGAGATGCATGAGAGATGGCAGTGGAGTGCACAAATACTGCTATCACTGCACAGCACCCACTACACTCATTAACCCCTTGCACCACACCACACCACACCACACCACACCACACCACGCCGCACCGCACCGCACCACACCGCACCTGCAGCAGCTGGTTGGGGTCGCCTCCTCGGTCCAGCCTTGACGTCGCGTTCATGATTATGTGAGCCTTCTCCTGTGAGAGGGATGGGTGGAGAGGGGTGGAAAAGGGTGGAGAAGGTGGAGAAGGGTGCGGGGTAGGGTGGAGATGGGTGCAGGATAGGGTGGAGAGGAGGCAGAAGGAAAGAAGATGCAGAGGGAGGAGAGGGACTGACGTGGCGTTTATGACCATCTGAGCCTTCTTCTGTGAGAGGGACGGGTGGAAATGCAGCAGATGCAGAGCGATGTGAGCAATGTGAGGGATGTAGAGGGATACCAGGGGGGCATAGACGTATGCAGGGGAATGCAGAGGGATGCAGAGGAATGCAGAGTACCTGCATCTGCTGCAGAGCTCGCTCCTCTGCTGCAAGCTTCCCAGCAGAAAGCTGAGCCGCCTTGTACTTGTACTTGCACTCACCACACGACAGTTTATCTCAACTTGTTCACACTACCCACCCACCTGCATCTGCTGCAGTGCTCGCTCCTCTGCTGCAAGCTTCCCAGCCGACAGCTGAGCCGCCTTGTACTTGTCGTCATACTTCCTCGCCAGTTCCTCCATCTGCCACCAGGCGGAAGAGGGGAACAGGGAGAGAGGGATGGTGCGAGAAACTGGGGATAAAAAACATGTCCGCTCATGCTGCTCGCTCCTCTGCTGCAAGCTTCCCAGCCGACAGCTGAGCCGCCTTGTACTTGTCGTCATACTTCTGGGCTAGTTCCTCCATCTGCCACCAGGGGGACGGAAGGTGGGAGAGGTGAAGAGTACCAAGCATTTGCACGTAGCATCCCAGCAGGCACCCCAAAGCGGAACCAGATTTCTTTTGAGGCGCCTCAAAAGTCATTTCCATTTAGCATCCCAGCAGGCACCCCAAAGTGGAACCAGATTTCTGAGGCGCCAAAAAAAAAAGCTTAAAAAAATCGCCTGAAAAAATCGCCTCAGAATCGCCTCATTACAGTTTTCCAGCAAGAAAGTGGATTCAGATTTCCAGCAGAGATTTGAACTGCCTTGCACAATAGAAACCTGTGAACGTGCTCCCTAGGCTAAGATATTTTGGCGTTACTATTGGAATTCTCAAAAGTGACACCGCTCTGTACAATAGAAACCTGCCAACGTGCTCCCCATGGGCTAAGATATTAAAAAAACAGTAGAAGACGAACTGAAGTCAATATTCAATCAAGCTGTGAGAACTATGTGCGAAGGGATTTGAAACTCCCAAAATAAACAAACCTGCCTTTGTGATCACCAGTATTCTGCGGCCACGTCAGCATGCCCACCCCCTGTTTCCTCCACGTCAGCATGCTCACCTCCTTTTTCTCCACGTCAGCCTGTTCAGAGACGTCAGCAAGGCGGAGGTCACAGCGACTCTTGAACATGACCTGGAATGGGGAGGTGGATGGGATGTGAGACACAGACAGAGGAGACACACAAGAACGAACACGCGCACAGTATCTTTTCTTTGCGTTGACTAGAAAAGGTCACAGCGACTCTTGAACATGACCTGCAGTGGGGGTAGGTGGATGGGATGTGAGACACACAGGCAGAGAGAATACTCTCTTGAGTTGACTCAGGGAGGTCACAGCGACTCTTCAACATGACCTGCAGTGGGGGTAGGTGGATGGGATAGGATGGGACATGCATAGATGAGGAGATATAAAGAGGAGAAAAAAGATTGAGGGACAGTGTCATCATCACCACTGATAGACGCCCTTACAATGCCACGTTTCTTACAGTGAAAACAACAGAAATTGAGGTGACCTTTGAGTCGACTCAAAAGTCACATGCATGGAAGAGGAGAGATGAAGATTGAGGGACAGTATCGTCATCACCACTGATAAACGCCCTTACAATGCCACGTTTCTTCCAGTGAGGGACAATGAAAACAACAGAATTTGATTGATTGCGACTTACAATCTCCTGCATTTTGTCACGGAAAAACACAGCCTTTTTCTTCTGATCCATGGCAGCGTCCTGAGCACACAGACAACAGGGGGGGGGGGGGATGGGGGGAAGAATTAGAGAGCAGATTCGATGCACTGTGTGCAAGTGCACACATGTGCGTGCACAAAAACACAGCCTTTTTCTTCTGATCCATGGCGGCGTCCTGAGCACACAGACAACAGAAATGGGAGGAAGGGGGGTTGGTAGTGGTGACATGACAGTACGGAGAAAAATCATTTCCAAGCGTGAACAAAGGCAACAAGGAAAATGCATTTCCTGGCGTGGTGGTGACATGACGATGACAGTACGGAGAGATTTTCATTTGCTAGAGGATTACCTTTCTGGGTGCACCTTTCGTTGGAGAAACCAGAACACCTGCAACGTGAACTTTTGAGGCGCCTCAAAAGTCACCTGCAACGTGAACTTTTGTCCTAAACCGGCGTCTTGAGATGTCTCAGAACTAGATGTATCAAGAGAGGATTACCTTTCTGGGTGCACCTTTCGTTGGAGAAACCAGAACACCTGCAGGCAACGTCAACAGCACAAAATAGTCGAATTGAGGCAAGTTTGAATCTAAATGAATTTCTAGAGGCCTGGAGTGGACACCTGCACTAATGACGACAACACACGGACAACAGCCAAAGAAACGCACAACATTATCACCAAGTCCAATCCGTGATTTCGGTGTGTGATATTTGTTTCCATGTGTGTTGTGTGTGTGTGTGTGTGTGTGTGTGTGTGTGTGTGTGTGTGTGTGTGTGTGTGTGTGTGTGTGTGTGTGTGTGTGTTGGGGGGGGGGAAGGTGGGGGTTAGGTCACCTGGATCGCGCTGCCACGTTGGCACATTCACCCCCTGCGAGTGCTGAGTCAGCGCCGCCTGCGCCTCGGCCAATCGTTTCGCAGCGATGGCCGTGCGCTGGTCCTGCACCGGTTCGTCCACGTGGAAGCCACGTGGCAGCGTGGGCGGCAGCTTTCGTCCTGACTTGTAGCGCTCGATGAGGTAGGAGGCAGTGCAGAACTCGCGGAGGGTCAAGTTGCCGTCCTTGTCCTCATCTGAGAGGTCCCACACCTGCTTCAGCGCGTCTGAAGGAATGAACAGAAACGTGAGTCCAAGGGCACAGGGAAGGGGGGAACGATCGATGAGGTAGGAGGCGGTGCAGAACTCGCGGTGAGTCAAGTTGCCGTCCTTGTCCTCATCTGAGAGGTCCCATTCCTGCTTGAGTACATCTGCAGGGGAATAGAAGAGAGATAGGGTTGGATTGGGAAGGGTTGGGGTCCAAGGGTATGGGGAGGGAGGGAACACTCGATGAGGAGGTGGAGGTGCAAAACTCGATGAGAGTCAAGTTGCTGTCCTTGTCCTTATCTGAGAGGTCCCACACCTGCTTCAGCACGTCTATGTGGGGACAGGAGCATGGGGAGAGAGGAAGGGAGTGTGAGTTGAGACAACAGAAAGTGCACGTTCAGAATAAGTGCGGAGAGTCAACTTGCCGTCCTTGTCCTCATCTGAGAGGTCCCACACCTGCTTGAGCACGTCTGCAGGGGAAAAAAAGAGACATAGGGTTGGATTGGGAAGGGTTGGGGTCCAAGGGCATGGGGAGGGAGGGAACACTCGATGAGGAGGTGGAGGTGCAAAACTCGAGGAGAGTCAAGTTGCTGTCCTTGTCCTTATCTGAGAGGTCCCACACCTGCTTCAGCACGTCTGTGTGGGGACGAAAAGGAAGGAGGGAGCACTGATAAGGTGAGTGGGAGTGCAGAGTCACGTTGCCACCCTTGTCCTCATCTGCTACGTCCCATACCTGCCACATCATTACATACAATACAGACCCATCTTTCTCCATCCTGCCCACACGGACTCACCAATTGGCACCTGAGACGCCATTAGCAACTTCCTCGCCTCCTTACCGGTGATACTGCCATCCCTGTCCCCATCCACGCCCACAAACAACACCCTCTATAATCCACCTTCTGAAGCCGAATTTTGAACCACGGTGGGGGGTGAGGGAAGGAGGGAGGGAGGGAGAGGGGAAGGGGGGAAGGGGAGGGAGAGCACTCACCAATGGGCACCTGAGACGCCATGAGCACTTTCCTTGCCGGTGATCTTGCCATCCCTGTGCGCATCCACGCCCACAAACACCCGCAACCCCACCTCCCCAAGAAAGAGGGCACGGAGAAAGAGGGAGGGAGGGCGGGCACTCACCGATGGGCACCTGAGACGCCATGAGCACTTTCCTCGCCTCCTTGCCCGTGATCTTCCCATCCCTGTCCCCATCCACGCCCACAAACACCTGCGCATACCGCTGTGCCTCCACCACACTCATTCTCGGCCATGGCTGGGGATCTCCCGGGACCATCAGAAAGCCCTCGCCCTCCTGCCCCTGCGCCGCTCCTGCTGGTCCTGCCCCTTGCCCTGCTGCCCCTGCTGCTCCTTCTGCTGCTTGCCCTCCCCCTGCTGCAACCACAGCGGAAGATGCAGCAGCAACAGCAGGCACTACAGCCACGTCTTTCATCACAAACGCATCCAGAGCTGCTGCTGCTGCTGCGTCCGCGGATTTGGGTAGAGTGGAGGTGGGCGGAGCAGGACGGGAGGCGGCTTGCTGGGAAGGAGGGGGTTGAGAGGAGGCGGAGAAAGCGGAAGGTCCAAAAGCCGAAGGTCCTGCTGTTCCCATCACCCCTCCCATCCCTCCCATCCCTCCCATCGCTGCCTGCTGCTGCTGCATCTGCTGCTGTCGCTGCATCTGCTGCTGCTGTTGCATGTGCTGCTGCTGCTGCATTTGCTGCTGCTGTTGCATTTGCTGCTGCTGCTGCATTTGCTGCTGCTGTTGCATTTGCTGCTGATGCTGCATCTGCTGCTGCTGCTGCTGCATCTGCTGCTGTCGCTGCATCATCTGCTGCTGGTATTGCTGCTGCTGTGCAGCAGACGTCTGCGTGGCAGCACCCGTGACAACACTTTGGGCGGCATCACCCTTGGCGCCACTCTGGGTCTGGCCGGCACTCTTCTTACCCCCAAGCACGCCGAAATCCGCAAACGGATCCTTCTCTGCTGCAGGCTTGGCAGAAGCAGGCTGCCAGGAAGGCCCGGATGCAGGCTGACCTAGCATTGGCCCAGGCTGACCTGGCATGGCGCCAGGCTGACCTGGCATTGTGCCAGGCTGACCTGGCATGGCGCCAGGCTGACCTGGCATTGGAGCACCAGCAGGCTGACCACGGCCGTATGCAGGTCCAAGAGGTCCGGGTTGCAAGCCCCCGAGTGTGCCACTCTGCATGGTACCCTGCATACCTTGGCCATACTGTGGTTGCTGATACTGCTGCTGCTGCTGCTGCTGCTGCTGCTGAAACCGCTGCTGCTGCTGCTGCGGATACTGTTGCTGCTGCTGCTGCTGCGGCGGCATCCCTGGTCGAGGTTCCATTCCCCCCATCATTCCTCCTGGGCCCGGCCCCATGCCTCCCATACCTCCCATGCCCCCCATAGGGCCCATGCCGGCCATCCCAGGCATCCCCTGTGGCATCGGGGCGCCTTGGACTGGCATTCCCCTTCCATACGCGCCCTGCACAGAGCGGACGAAGAGAGGGAGAGACGAAGGAAAGAGAGTAACAGTTACAAATCATCATGCCACCTATGAGGCTCATCACGCCGTGCCAGGCATCCCCTGTGGCATCGGGACGCCTTGGATTGACATTCCCCTTCCGTACGCGCACTGCACGTTGGTAGAGCGGACGAAGGGATGGATAGTTGATTTTGCAGGGTCAACTTTGCAGTTGCAACAATTAAATACTCCTGATGATAAACCGCTGAAGTAAACCAACGCACGAAAACTCTGGGTGGACTTTCGAGTCGGACTTACCTCTGGTGTTCTCTCGGACTCACCTGTACTGGTGGGGGTGCTCCCGGTGCTCTAAATGTACCTTTGTTAAGTCGTTCTTACCTCTTCTGTTCTCTCAGACTTACCTGCTGCACTGGTGGTGGTGCTCCCGGTGCTCCAGGTCCGGATGCAACCGCACCAGCCGGACCTGGCGGCCCGCCAGGTCTGGCAGCAGCTCCGGGCCTCGGAGGCACGGTGATCCTAGGTGCGGGAATTTGAGTCGCTGCCGGGCCTGAGAAGGTGGCTCGGGCGACGTCTGGGTTGATGTCGCGACCGGATTGGGCGACAGTGATGAGCCGAAGCGCGTGAAAAAACTCTGGTCGGTGGAGGAAACCGGCTTGGCGCGAATCTGCGTACTGCCAGACCTGTGGGATAAAGGGATGGACGGAGAAGGGACGAATAAGCTAAATTGACTGGAAAATTGAACGGTTATCATTCGAAGGGCGCGGAAGTACTCTGGCGGTGGATACAACCTGCTTGGCGCGAATCCGCATACTGCCAGACCTGTGGGGCGAAGGGACGGAAAGGGACGAAAGGAGAAGGGATGGGTTGACCTGATCGACCGGATTGACTGGAAAGTCTGGATTGGGCGACGGTGATGAGGCGAAGGGCGTGGAAGAACTCAGGGCTTGGCGCGAAATCAGCATACTGCCAGGCCTGTGGGGACAGAGAGAATGGACGGACGGAGAAGGATGGAATTGACTGGTTTAACAGGATCGAGCAGATTAACCGAATTGGGTGATGCTGATGTGATGAGGCAGAGAGCGAAAGGTATGACAGCAGATGCATGCCTTGGCGAGGGTCATCTGACGGAGGCCGCATCCCTGGCATTAGATTCAACTCAGCAGGTACGGCAGCAGCAGATACATGGCTTAGCGAGGGCCATCTGGGATAAACTGCATCCCCGGAAGAAAGCGACGGCTCAAAAAGCTAACAACAGGTATGGCAGTGAGGGCCTTGGCGAGGGTCATCTGGGGTAAACTGCATCCGTGAAAGGCATTTAAGCAGATATGCGCCTTGGCGAGGGTCATCTGGGGTAAACTGCATCCGTGAAAGGCATTTAAGAAGATATGCGCCTTGGCGAGGGTCATCTGGGGTAAACTGCATCCGTGAAAGGCATTTAAGCAGATATGCGCCTTGGCGAGGGTCATCTGGGGTAAACTGCATCCGTGAAAGGCATTTAAGCAGATATGCGCCTTGGCGAGGGTCATCTGGGGTAAACTGCATCCGTGAAAGGCATTTAAGCAGATATGCGCCTTGGCGAGGGTCATCTGGGGTAAACTGCATCCGTGAAAAGCATTTAAGCAGATATGCGCCTTGGCGAGGGTCATCTGGGGTAAACTGCATCCGTGAAAGGCATTTAAGCAGATATGCGCCTTGGCGAGGGTCATCTGGGGTAAACTGCATCCGTGAAAAGCATTTAAGCAGATATGCGCCTTGGCGAGGGTCATCTGGGGTAAACTGCATCCGTGAAAGGCATTTAAGCAGATATGCGCCTTGGCGAGGGTCATCTGAGGGAGGCCACGTCCCTGGAAGAAGGCGACAGCTCAAAAGCCTAACAGGTATAACAATGAAAGGTACCCTACCAAAAGGTTATCGCAGCAGATACGTGCCTTGGCGAGGGTCATCTGGGGGAGGCCGCATGCCTGGAAGAAGGCGACGGCTCAAAAGGTTAACAAGAGGTATGGCAGCAAAAGGTATCGCAGCAGATACGTGCCTTGGCAAGGGTCATCTGGGGGAGGCCGCATCCCTGGAAGAAGGCAACGGCTTCGGCGCCGCTGACCCGCCCGTCCCTGTCCGCGTCTGCCGCTTGGAAGTAGTGCTCGAAGGCGTCCATGCTGGGAGATGTGTGCGGCTGCATGATGACCGTTGCTCCTCCGCACCACTATTCCCTGGGGGAAGTGAGAGACAAATCATGCGCGGAATAAGGAAAATAAGGCCCGGATGATCCGGCCGTCCCTGTCCGCATCAGCCGCTTGGAAGAAGTGCTCGAAGGCATCCATGCTGGGCTGCATGATGACCGTTGCTGCTCCGTACCGCTATTCCTGGGGGAAGTAAGAGAGAAGGGACAAATCATGCGGACGTAAGGAGAATAAGGTGCCGCTGATCCGGCCGTCCCTGTCCGCATCGGCCGCTTGGAAGTAGTGCTCGAAGGCGTCCATGCCGCCGGGAGCCGTGTGTGTGCGGCTGCATGATGACCGTCGCGTTGCGTATCAAACGATTGCTGCATAACGGGCAATTCCTGCGCAACGCAAGATGCACTGCTATCCCTCCGTCCGCTATTCCTGCGTGTTGTAAGAAAAAGAAACACAAATTGGGGAAGGTTCCTGGCGTTTTAATTTAATTAAATGCTGGCCTGGTGAAAGGCCGCACTTTACAGAGCCAGGCGACTGGAAGCTATCGCGATACTGTGAGCAGCTGGATAGCATTCCGAAGAAAAATAACAGCAGAAACGAGATTAAGAGATGCAAAGACGACAGTACGGAAATCAGGAACGAGATAAGGAAACGTAGAAACGAGAACATAAAATTCTCAAGAAGTAATAGGTATTCAGACGCTAACGAATAGTCGAATACCCGAGTGAAAGTAGAGCTGTTTTGAGACGTCTCACAACGAGATAATTGCCACGTCGAAACGTAGAAAGGAGGACATGAATTTTTCAATAAATCTTAGGGTATTCAGATGCTAGCGAGCAGTCGAATGGCCTGATCTTATTTCACCGGAAAGCACATGGCACATTGATCGAGTTCTAAGAGCATTTCGCACGCCAGGAGCTCTCATGGAAAACAAGTTTGACATAGACTCTGAAGAAACGGGCATGCCGGCAGCAATACCTCGCGACGCGGGCTCTATAACTTCAACGCCGTCCTGGATGATGTCAGAGTACTGAGCTAAGCATAGATGAGAAATCGAGATTCTTCTCAGCTCGGCAAGTCCAACGATGATCGGTCTGCCGACCAATCCCAAGGGACTCCTTCCAGGCCAGAGCCTCGGCTACAAAATCCAGATCAGGGGAGCAAAATAGGGTGATTTATGTGATGAGAAATGGAGCATGCACAAGCTTGCAGTTGTCAGCTAGCCTCTTTTAACGAGGATGGCCAACTTGTCACCTGCCCTAGTTTGGTGCAGCTTGGTTGTGACTGGACCAGAGCAAGCAAATTCGCACACAACTCTGCCCGTTTTTAAGCGTTACACAGTTGGAGCTGAAACGGCTACTAACGAATTTCCCCGTAAAGGGCTGCTTTTACCGAGATTCAGAGAATCTGACCAATCCCTAGCCAGGCTACGGCCAACGTACCGAGTCCCTTTCGTTCACTTCAAAGAAAGCGATGCAAAGCGATAACTAGGCTGAAATCGTAGAAGTGTCCGTGCTCAAGTGCGGTTAAACAAGGTTCTGTGGGATGACAAGACCTCTGTTTGGAGGAACCAGCAAGCGCAACTAGACTGGTGAATGTTTGGAGGAACCAGCAAGTCTCACAAGAATTCCAGACAGAGCCAGTGGAGCCAACATCAAGGCTGAACCAACTTCAAGGTTGAAACCACATCAAGGTAGAGCCAACTTCAAGGTAAAGCCAACATCAGCGAGGAGCAACTCTAGACTGCTAGCATTTTCCATCTACTGTTTCGGATCCTTGGGTGCTTTGCTTTCAGGTTCAGCAAAGTTCAACTCCGTATTGACGAACTATCGGCTCGATATGTCTCCATTTTCTGCATATCCATTACCCTTCTCAACATGTTAGCGGCTTCGCCGTTTTATCCCAGGACCTCCGACATTGACACTACCTTTCCAGATTTAGCCTTCTGGAACAACTTCAGTGTGGAGTGGATATAATTGTAAAATACCCTAGGAACAATTACCGTATTGCAGCCATGTGGTCCGTGACAGGCCTTCGCAGCAGCACAAGCACCGCTCCCAGCCTTAGTGATGATCCCGAGGCTCCAACACCCACAACAGCTCCCGCGGAAGCCAAATCCGGATGGTTTTCCCGCTCGCGCGGAAGCTCTAGTAGCGCGTCGTCCGCGCAAGATTCCACGCGCATTCGCCAGAGGCGGTCGGGTCGACCGGTGCGCGGGTTCGGCCGTATGGGATCTGGCATGGAAGATGAAGAAGAGGAGGGAGATGAAGAGGAGGACGCGGAGACCCTAGGGAAGCTTGTGGGGGAGGATTCGGCGGGTGAGAATGGTAATGCTGTTGCAAGGACAAACGACGACTCTTCGTCACCAAATTCAGGAACAGCTGCAGGAGCAGGAGCAGGAGCAGGAGCTGAAATCGAAGTAACAAAAGCAGCAGCAGTAGCAGCAGCAGCAGAGTCAGCAGCACATGCAAGTACGAAAGAAAAGGGTCCACTGGAATCTGAATCCGCAGTCAGCGTAGAATCTCCGAAGGCGAGCGAGACTGACAAATTGCCAGAAAGCAACACGAAGAGCAGCGACGACGGAGTCGAGACTTCTGACGACGGGCGGAAGGCGATTCTCGAGTCGACTCAAGAAACTACTGAGAGTCCTGACGACGGGCGGAAAACGAAGACCGGCAGATCTAGTAGCAAGTCGAACCTGGTTGGGGGGTTGTTTGGCGTTTTTAGGAGGGATTCAGCGACTAAGTCCCAGAAGGCCTCGGCTGAGGGGAGGTTCTTTAAGAGCAAGAGCACGGGTGGGGCTCTTGGTGGGGTAACCAAGCGAGAGAACGGGGAGGATGAAGGAGAGGGAGAGGAGGGAGAGAGGCGTGAGAAGGGAGAGGAGAAGGAGAGGGAGGAGGAGGAAGAACAAGAAAAAGTGGCTCTTGCAGGGAGGAGGCGAAGCACAGATGCCGAGCGAGGCAAGGGAGAAGATTCTGGTCTGGTAGAGAGAGAAGAGAAGGGGACAGAGAGTGCTGGGAGCGCGTCAGGTTCGGAACGTGGCTCGGTTTCAGGCTCGGTGTCAGGTTCGGCGTCAGGTTCGGGGCTGGCTTCGGCGGATGGAGCAGCGCATGGAAGGGATGACTCGGAGGGCGAGTCCCAACCTGCTCCGCGGAAGGTAAGACTAGGGTTTGTATTACGAGTGCAAGCACGAGTGGAAGAACGAGTCAAGAACAAGTGTGCATAAGCCATGTTCACAATACTGCCATGTGACTCCATTTTTGTGATGGTGACCTCAAGTGTTACACCGCCTGGCTTGCTGTGGCTCGAAACCTTTGACTTCTGAGGTGCCTAAAAAATGCACCACCTTGCTTCCTGTGTACTTGCATTGCAACCTTCAATTTCTCTGCATGATGCGAAAATATCAGTGCAATGTCTTTCCACCGTTGCTGTCTTGCATGGCAGAGGGAGATCCTGTGGGGATTCATCAGAAGGACGTCCAGCACCGTAACAGGTGAGGCATCACTTCAACAATTTGAAAAAAACAAAAAACAAAAAACAAAACAAAACGTCCAGTATTGTAGCAGGTGAGGCGTTATAGAGGATAAGTAGTTTTTGGGTCAACACCAAGGAGGGCTCATCAGAAGGACGTCCAGCGCATAACAGGTTAGGCATTATAGAAGGAAGGTGATTTTTAGCAATCAGAAAGAATTCATTAAAAAAAAAACCCGTACATGAGTGTAGCAGGTGAGGCGTTATGGAGGAAAGGTAGTTTCTGAGTCAACACAAAAGGGTTCATCAGAAGGACGTTCCACACTGTAACGAGTGCGGCATGACAGTGGAAAGGTGACTTCTGAGTCAAAAGGGCTCATCAGAAGGTAAAGCGTCGTAAGAATTGAACGGGTTCATTAGAAGATCATTCAGCAGGGTAGCAGGCAAGGTATCATAGAGGAAAAGTCCAGGTGTAATAGGGCTTCTCGGTATCGGATACGAGGCGCATGAGGCGTATGATGTATATGGGGCGTATCGGAAATGTGGGCCATATGAGTCAAGCACAGGAGGAGGATGAGGCAGCTTGGCGCGTCGGCATTTGAAACATATTCTGCATTTGACTCCATTCCAGATTGATCAATTGACTCCCTTCCTCACGCTCTCTCCATTCCCCTGATCTCTCTCCTTGGCCCCCCAGCGCCCAAGGCAGAGGCGCACCAACCAATAATCTCCTCCTCCAGTCCGCCTCATAATCCCCCCGACCCCCTTGACGTCTTTCAGACCCTCCTTTGCCGTTCCCCCTTGCTTTCCCGTTTCCCCCTATGCCCCTCCTCTCCCTTTTTGCCCATCCAACTCCAAGGCAGAGGCGCACCAATCAATAATTTCCTCCTCCAGTCTGCCCCATGGTCCCCCCGACACCCTTGACGCTTCTCAAAACTCTTATTTCTCCTTCTCTCTCTGCTTTCCCATTCCCCTTTACTCCCTCTTGCACGCCCAGCGCCCAAGGCAGAGGCGCACCAACCAATCATCTCCTCCTCCAGTCCGCCCCACGATCCCCTCGACACCCTTGACGTCTCTCACACTCTTTCTTCCCCTCCTCTCCCTGCTTTCCCATTTCGCCCTGCGCCCCTTCTCTCCCTCCTTTCCCCATCCAGCGCCCAAGGCAGAGGTGCACCAACCAATCATCTCCTCCTCCAGTCCGCCTCACTTTTGAGGCGCCTCAAAAATCCAGTCCGCCTCACGATTCCCCCGACACCCTTGACGCCGTCTCACACTCTTTCTTCTCCTTCTCTCCCTGCTTTCCCATTCCCCTTTTCTCCCTCCTTTCCCCATCCAGCGCCCAAGGCAGAGGCGCACCAACCAATCATCTCCTCCTCCAGTCCGCCCCATGATCCCCCCGACACCCTTGACGCCGTCTCACCATCCCTCCCTGGGGAAGAAGGCCGCACTGAGGATTTCCTGGGCAGTTCTGGTGCTCGTGCTACACTCGGGCAGGACGGGCGTGAGGGAAAGGAGGAGACAGGGGAGAATGATGAGCAGCAGGAGGGGAAGGAAGGCGGAGGAGAACACGAGAGTGAGAGGGATGAGTTGGGGGTAGGGAAGGGGCCTTATCCGGGGGGGGATTTGGGGGAGGATAAGGGGGAGGATGAAGGAAGGGATAAGGGCAAGGAGGAGGGGGAGAGTGAGGTGAAGGGTGATGAGGAGAAGGAGGGAGAGGGCGCAGGAGGGAAAGCCAAGGGAAGTGGAGGGGGGAGTGGAGGAGGGGCAAAAGGAGGGAAAGGAACAGGGTTGCTGGGAAGAGGGAGTGTGATTCTGAATGTGGGCGCAGTTCCCAGGAAGCTTTTCTCCTTCATGCCACGATCTTCCTATGCTAAGCTTAAGGTGAGCAGTGAAGAGGGGTGGAGCTCGGTTGAGATTGGTCAATGGGGGTGTAATGGGGTGATGCGGTTTAGCACCTCTCTTGCACTGCCTGCACATGCAGGCCTTACCCCCCTCAAACACCGCCTCAGGCATTTTTGCTCCTCAAAACTTCTCTCGCTCTCTCTCTCCCCCATCCCTTAGCCCTTCTTCTCTCTCCCCTCCCCCTCACCAGTTGGGAGCACATACACAGGCCTAACCCCCATCAATGCTGCCATTTGCACCCAACCATACTTTCACATACCCTCCTTCTCTCTCATCTCTCTCCCCTCTTCCTCGCCAGTTGGGAGCACACGCAGGTCTGACACCCATCAACACCGCCTTAGCATCATCCACTGATGATCCTACGTCCATCCCCACAACGAGTTTTCTCTCCCCTCTCCCCCCTTCCCCGTTCTTCTCTCTCCCCTCTCTCCCCTCTCCCCGACCAGTTGGGAGCACATGCAGGCCTAACACCTCTCAACACCGCCTTAGTATCATCCACTGATGACCCCACGCCCATCGCCACACCTATAGCCACACCCAAACCCACACCCATCCCCAAAACCGTACACCCTCGCATCCCCACACCCATCCGCACCACCGAATCCGCTGCCACTGCTGCTGCAAGCACTGCAGACAGCACCGCAGCAGGGCGTTTGAACCTTGACCTCCCCACTCCCCGCTTCCCTTTGTTCTCTCCTGCGGAGCTCCAGTCCCCTGCTGGAGACCTAGCCTCCTTTGCCCCCTTCCGCACCACCACAGCCACCGGTGGTGGGGTTGCAGGTGGAGGGGATTTCGGACCTGCTAGGAAAATAGCTCCACCAGGGGAAAATGCTGCTGCTGCTGGAAAAATCTCTACTCGCCCTTGCTCTCCTGCTGGTGACTTGGCCGCGTTTGCTGCCTTTGGTGGAACCACCAGCACACTTCCCAGCACTTCAGAGCGAAGCGCTTCAACTAACCCTTTCTTGAGTGCTATGGTGGTACCACCAGCGGGGATTGGGGAAGGAGGAGGCGGTGGTGTGGAGTCCGGCGCAGCAACAGCAGCAGCTGGAGCAGGAGCAGCTGGAGCAGGAGCAGCAGGAGCAGGAACAGAGGGCGAGGACTGGGATGCCATGCTGCTTGCTTCCTTCGGTCGTTGTCACACCATCGACGGGTCATTCAGAGAAGCAATGCGTGCTGCTAATGTGGAAGAGGAAACTGCATGGGACGATCAGGCAGAGGAGAAGCAGGCTCAAGGCAGCCTAGCACAAGACTTCCCAGCACAGAACTTGCTAGCAGAAAACAACCAGGGACAGAACCACCAGGCGCAGAACAAGCAGGTGCTTGGGGCGTTCAGGCAGTATGAGCTGGTTCAGGAGTCAGGGGAGGTTGCAGGTGGCATGGGTTCAGCTTCAGGTGGTTTTTCAGGTGGGAATGTGACCTGGGCGCATGAAAACAACCTTGCAGCAGCAGAGGCAGCGGCAGCAGCAGCAGAGGCAGCAGCAGTAGCAGCAGCGGAGGCGGCAACGGCAGCGGCAGCAGCTGCTACCAAAGCAGCAGCCACGGCAGCATCTAAAGCAGCTGCACTTGCAGCAGCCAAAGCAGCAGCAGCAGCAGCAGCAGCAGCAGCAGCTGCAGCACCACCAGCACCAGCACCAGCACCAGCACCAGTAGAGAGAGCAGCACCTGTGGCATCAGGGAACAGTGACTGGGCTCGTTTTGATGCATTTGAGCCTACCACACTACCTGCCACTGCTCCTGTGGCTGCCTACGCTCCTCCTGCCATTCCCAAGCCGATAGCCGGACCAAGTTTTCCTGCTCCTCATATTTCTCCCAATCCCTTCTTAAATCCAGGTTTGAAAGAACAGCCCGCGCCCCCAGCTACTGGTATGAGCCCCTTTGCACCTTCAGGAAATTCCTTCCCTTCACAGCAGCAACAGTCACAAGCACAGCAACAGACCAATCCGTTCCTATCTCCAGGCACAAGCAGCATCGGCTCGGGTAATAAAGTGGGAGAATCTGAACCCCTGTTTGCCAGTACAGGGTCTGCTTATAAAGAATCGTCTGCCGAGGCGCACCAGGAGGGACAATGGCTGGGGAAGCAGGAGGGGCTGTGGCAGAGCATGGAGCAAGAAGCCGGCTCCAAGGGGTCTGGGCAGAAACAAAATGCTGCTTCAATGGCGCAGAAACAACCTGCTTCCATGGCTCAGAAGATTCTTTCCAGTAACCCATTCCTTGTGATTCCTGGCATGGGCAATAGTGGTAATGGCGCTGGTTATAATGAGGATAGCAGGGGTTTGCTTGGTGGTGAGGATACTCCCAAGGGACTGCAGGAAGTATCGCCTGGGAATTTGCATACAAATCCAAGCAATCAGCAGCAGCAGCAGTGGCAACAGCAGTACTCACACCAACAGCTGCAGCAGCAGCATCACTCACAGCAGCAGCAGCAGTCGCTTTACACTGCTACTGTGACCCATACGACTGCGAAGCAGCATGAACAAGCTTGGCGGCCAACGGATGTGAATGTGGGGCTTAATGTGGCGGAAGGAGATGTGACTAAATCAGGAGGTCCTAGTGAAGGGAAAGGCAGAGATGCTACAGCTGGACCGATATACACCGAGCCTGAGTCACCAGGGTGGCCTAGTACTGCGTCTCAATATGATCCACTGTAAGTTCACAGCAACTCCCAAGTCAATTCCATATACATGTGTATGTTTTCCCATTTTGTCATGCGAAGCTGCGCTGTCTGGGTAGCATGCCTCGCAAGCACTGTACTGGTAAGACCCTCGCACATTTTGCTCATATGTTGCTGTTATGTGTGTGATTGTTTTCAGGGAGTCTCCTGCTGCGCTTCTTCGGGGCAGGTCGGATTCAAAGTCCAAGGTTTCAAGCACTATACCGACAGTCATGATGCCATCAACATGGCTTGGTCGAGGCGGCCACACACGACTAGGAAAATAAGATTCGCTTGTGATTTTGTAATGATACCAATGCTTCGGTTGCTAAGGAGGGGTATGCGACAAGTAGTTGAGCTTCAGTAGTAGTTAGCGCGCATAGGAAACAACATTAGACGGAATGCTGGGTTGCAGAAATGAAATTACGGTAGTCTTATGTGCAAGCTCCCCAAAGAGGTGCAATGATACAGTGTACTGTCGACCTTTATATGTTTTGCATACAATATGGGAAGCATGGCATAGCGGCAAACGCATCTGCCTGTGTCGGACCCGTGACATACGGCGTGGTGAGCGCTGGTTCTTGTGTTGTGATGTGGTCGGTTCCCACCCAGCCTCCAGCTCCACCACCCACACCGTGACACGTCATGAACGTTTTTTTCCCAAGCACGTCTCAGCTCGGTAAACAGCGCGACGGGGTTCTGACCCCTCAGAATCCCTCGCGTCGCAATTTCACAATTCGTCACACAAATATATTGCGCCCTCCTTCACCCTGCTCTCCTTCCTCTGTTTGTCAAATTAGCGCACAAACAAGCAGCCCATATGAGGTACGGCACACCAACACCTGCGTGTGGCAGTGAGTTGTGTCAGGTCAGGAGTCGCAGGACTGCTTCCCTGGTTCTCTCGTCCTGGGCCAAATCCCTCCGTGTTCCTGATTTCCGTCCCAAAACACCAACTCGAAACACCCTCCCAAGCACTTACCTACCTAATCGGTCAAGCCCTAACTAGCCAAAAAGAACCTTCCCCAGAAACCCATTAGCTAGCCTAGCCATCTGCTTCGTCTTCTAGCTTTTGCTGACGAAAGCCGGCCCGTCTTTCCGTCCGTACGTACCTTGCCAGAATTTCTTAGCGCATTCACCACCACGCGTGTCGGTTGCGGCGCAACGATTTCCGTCTCACACGATGTCGTTTCGCTAGTACCTCTCATACTCACACTCTATAACGAGTCATCTCAGCACGTTGCTGGATACGCAATGTATCAATGAAACGGCCATCAGAGTGAAATGAAATGGATTCACGTCGTTTTGCGAAAACCTCCCGTATTCGCACACTATAACGCGTCACCTCAGCACGTCGCTGGTTACGCAATGTATCAATGAAGCGGCCGTCAGAGTGAATTAGAGTGAAACGAGCTGCATTAGAGTGAAATAGATCAACCGGGCAAAGGGACCGAGCTACCCTCTGCACGTGAAATGGATTCTTCCCGTTTTCGCCTTCTCGCAGAAGCCCGCCCATGCCGTGCGAATGGGAAATACGCGCTCGACTTTCGACGACAGCTAGCAGCCCGAGAAAAAGGGACTCAGTACGCTTTTTCTCCTATACGATCTCAGCGTCGTTCGACCGTCTCTCCCTCACTGCTCCGTCTTGTTCAAATGCTAGCCTTGCCACTGCTAGCAGTCCTGCTCCTCTTTCCGTCATGTCATGCCGCTCACGCCGTTCCTCTTTCCCCGCATAGCGTTGACACCGGCGGCGTTGCAATCATGCAAGAGCCGCAATCCAGCAGCTCTGGTCGGGGTGCGTCGACACGCGAGGAAATGGGCGGCGTGGCGACTTTTAAGTCGACTCAAAAGGTTCATAGGAAGAAAAATGTGCCAGAAAATACAACCAGCCTGGTTGATAATACGGTTTATAGTAAGCAAACAAAACAGTCAAGAGGCGGGTTGCTACATATTGTCGCGACACCTTCCAGCGCGAACGCGTCTGGTAGTTACACGGGAGTTGTAGGAAAGAGCTCGTCTCTCGGGTTACCAGCGACCAACGCGACATTAGCGACGTCCGCGACGGTTCCCCGGCGCGAGCTTCAGCTATGGCGAAAGCGCAAGCCGCGAAAGCGAAAGAGTTCGTACATCTTCTGTTACCGGGACATGTACGTGCGGCAACCAGCGGCTCTCGCGGCGGTGAACGCGGGCCGCAATCGGCGGCGATGCCCCAGCGGGACCGTGGGAAGCGCGGGAGCGTGCTACGACCGTTGCGCCGCGGGGTATAAAGGGAAAGGCCCGGTGTGCGCGCGGCGGTGCACGCTGTACGGGCCTAGCTGGGTGGACTGCGGGTACGGGTGCGCGCCGGATTACTACATGTGCGTCAAGACGACGTACCGCCAGGCGGGAGCTTTCAGCTTCTTCTTCTTTAAGGTATGCCCCCTCGCCCCTCGCCCCTCTACCTTCGCGCCCTCGCCCCTCGCCCCTCGCCCCTCGCCCTTCGCCCCCTTCCCTTCGCGCACTCGCCCCTCGCCCCTAGCCCCTCGCCCCCTTCCCTTCGCGCCCTCACCCCTCGCCCATCGCCCCCTTCCCTTCGCCCCCCTCCTCTCGCCCCCCTCCTCTCGCCCCTCTCATTGGGGCTAACTGGGTTACTTGTTTTGAGAATCAAAAGAGATCAAATCTTCCCCACCCACTCACCCTCTTCTCGCTCTCCCCCACTCCCCCCCTTCCAAACCCACCGCATCACACCTATACTTACCCTTTTCCACATTCTCATGAAGCTGGGTGCCTTGTTTTTAGACTTGAACCAAGTCGTAACACGGTTTAGCTCGGTTGAACATGGTGCCTTTCCTCCTCCATCATCCCTCCTCAGGTCTACCTACCCGGAACAGGCCCTTTCTTTGACATTGCCATGAAGCTGGGAGCCTTGCTTTCATATTTTGAAGTGCCAGAACACGGTTAACACAGTGTCTCTCCTCTTCCCCTGCCCTCCCCATATCCCAGCTCTACCTACCGGGAACAGGCCCTTTCTTCGACATTGCCATGAAGCTGGGAGCCTTGCTTTCATATTTTGAAGTGCCAGAACACGGTTAACACAGTGTCTCTCCTCTTCCCCTGCCCTCCCCATATCCCAGCTCTACCTACCGGGAACAGGCCCTTTCTTCGACATTGCCATGAAGCTGGGAGCCTTTGCTGCAAAGGTACGGCACAGTATGACATGTTTTGGCAAGGAACGGCATGGTATGGCATGGTATGGCATGGTACGGCACAGTATGGCACAGTATGGGAACGGCGCACATGGCATGGCATTGAATGGTATTGCATCATGTTTCTGTAGCCACCTCATAATCAAACCTATTTTCCTTTTTCCTACTCAATCAACAGCTATACAGGCGAGTGAAGCCGTCCAAGTACAGGAAGCGCAAGGACTATGCGAGTATCGAGTTGGCTACTATGGAGTCTCGAAGCATGGCCGCCACCTTCCTTGCTGCGTTCGGCCAGCCTGTCAGCAACGACAGCCGCACGCACGTCACATTGGTCCCTGCACACGCGCAGGTAGGCCCCTCCCCCTCTTTCTGTCTCTGAGTTCTTGCCTCAAAGCATGGCCGCCACCTTCCTCGCTGCGTTCGGCGAGCCTGTCAGCAACAACAGCCGCACGCACGTCGCCTTGGTTTCCCCGCATGCCCAGGTAGGTTCCTCCTTCTCCCTCCAAGGTTTCATAAGTGAGGGCACTGGTATCGGTGGTGAGGGCACTGGTATCGGTGGTGAGGGCACTGGTATCGGTGGTGAGGGCACTGGTATCGGTGGTGAGGCTGCTAGACACGGTGGTGAATGTGGAGGACTTGCCTCGTTCCCTACCTCACTACCACCCTACTTCCTTCCCTCCTTCCCTCATCTTCAGGACAAGGAAGCAGCGTTCTCCACATTCCGCGCCTCCCACTCAGTGATGAGCCAACCCATTGGGAAAGCAGCCAGGGCACTGGTATCAGCAGTACGGCTGCTGGACACGGTGGTGAATGTGGAGGACTGGGCCCACTCCGTACCCCTCGTCTCTCCCCCCTTATCCCCTATCCCCTCTTCCTTCTTCCCCACCCCCCTTCTTCCTCTCAACACCCTAGGACAAGCAAGCAGCGTTCTCCACCTTCCGCGCCTCCCACTCAGTGATGAGCCAACCCATTGGGAAAGCAGCCAGGGCGCTGGTATCAGCAGTACGGCTGCTGGATACGGTGGTGAACGTGGAGGACTTGGCGAAATACGACCCCTCGGGAGTGCTGAACATGGTTGTCTCCTTCGGTCACCCCATGTGCCGCAACGGTAAGGGGAGGGGGGGGAAGGATGAGAAAAAGCAAGCGGGTGAGGGAGCAGCACTCCCATCGATCACCAGTATGGCTGCTAGACACAGTGGTGAATGTGGAGGACTTGGCCAATTACCACCCGTCAGGGGTGCTTGATATGGTCGCCTCATTCGGTCACCCCATGTGCCACAACGGAAAGGGAAAGGGTGGGAAGGATGAGAAAAAGCAAGCGGGTAAGGGACCAGCACTCCTGTCAATCAGCAGTGCGGCTGCTAGACACGGTGGTGAATGTGGAGGACTTGGCGAAATACAACCCATCAGGCGTGCTCAACATGGTTGTGTCGTTCGGCCACCCCATGTGCCGCGATGGTAAGAGGGAGGGCAGGATAGGCAACAAGGGCAACTAGGTGGCTGCTAGACACACGTATCAGCAGTGAGATTGCTAGACACAGTGGTGAATGTGGAGTATAAGGGGGTAAGGGCCAGCACACACACTGGTATCGGCAGTGCGATTACTAGACATAGTGGTGAATGTGGAGGACTTGGCCAAGGGCAGAGAGGGGGGATGGGGGAAGGAAGGGTATTGGCACTGGTATCGGCCGTACGACTGCTAGACACGGTGGTGAATGTGGAGGACTTGGCCAGGTACGACCCGTCGGCAGTGGCAGGGCAGTATGGAGGGCAGTAAGGAGGTAAGGGACAGAGAGCCCGTGCCCTGGTGAGGCTGCTAAACACGGTGGTGAATGTGGAGGACTTGGCCAAGTATGAGTGCTCAACATGGTTGTGTCGTTTGGGCACCCCATGTGCCGCGATGGTGAGTGATGGGCAGAGAAGGAGCAGGTCAATGTGGGTGGCAGGGCAGTAAGGAGGGCAGTCAGTAGGTGTCAAGTGTGTAACCACCCGAGGAACCCCCTACCTCATCGCCCCCACATGCATCCCTTCTCAAACCCTCCCCTGCCCAATCTATCCCCTTCTCTTTTCCCCTCTTCCCTTCCAAACCAGACGCCTGTGTCAAGTGTGTGACCACCCGGGCCACCCCCTGCATCATTGCCCCCACGTGCATCGCCGGAAAGTGCGTGAATCTTGGGCAGAAAAAAGACGGGTCCGCCTGCGCGGATTTCGACTGGGGCGGCAACTCCTACACGGGGCACTGCCAGGCTGGCACGTGCGTCAGCAAGGCCGTCCAATCGTATTACGCCAGCAAGCAGGCGGACAAGCTGTGGATCCCCGAGGGTTACGAGCCGGAGAATGTGACTATAGCGGTGGATCGGGGCGTGTATGCGACGAGTGAGCGGGAGTATATTGAAACGAGCTTGGGGTATTGGGATGAGTTGGCGCGGGAATCGGAGACTTGCTCGTTGAACAACGGCGGATGCGGGTCGCTGGTGTGTCAAGTGGATGTTGAGCGAAAGACGACAACCTGTGTCGACCCTCACGGTAAGCCACAGTCCGGTATATGGAAACGAGCTTGGGGTATTGGGATGAGATGGCAAGGGAATCGGAGACTTGCTCGTTGACAACGGCGGATGCGGGTCGCTGGTGTGTCAGGTAGATGTGGAGAGAAAGACGACTGTTTGCATCGACCCTCATGGGTAAGGAAGCCAGGGAGGTGTGGTGAGGAAAGCAGGGTAATTAGATGATTTGATTTGATTTGATAGTCATGGTAAGGACCGCAGGTGCGGATTGGAACGAGCTTGGGGTAATGGGATGAGCTGGCGCGGGGGTCGGAGACGTGCTCGTTCAATAACGGCAGATGCGGGTCGCTGGTGTGTCAAGTTGACGTGGAGAGAAAGACGACCGTTTGCATCGACCCGCACGGTAAGAACAGTAGCCGGTTGGACATTCCTTGGGGCTTGGGGTATTGGGATGAGTTGTGGGAAGAGCTGGCGCGGGAATCGGAGACTTGCTTGTTGAGGGAAGGACAAGGTGCATCGATCCTCATGGTAAGCCATAGTGTTGGGACGGGCGTAGGGTACTGGGATGAGCTGGCGAGGGGGTCGAAAAGTTGCTCGTTGAACAATGGCGGATGCAGATCGCTGGTGTGTCAAGTTGATGTGGAGAGGAAGACGACCGTTTGCATCAACCCTCATGGTAAGTAAACCAGGGTGAGAGTACTGGTAATGAGAGCAGGGTGAGAGTACTGGTAAGGAGAGCAGGGGATTAGTCATGGTAAGGACAGCAGGTGCGGTTCACTGGTGTGTCTGTGGATGTGGAACGAAAAACGACGGTTCGCATCAATCCTCATCACAAGGAAGGAGAATGATGGTAATGGCAAGGAGCACAGGTGGTACGCATGGCAAGGAAAAAGGGGTAGTACTCAGGTAAGGAAATAGGATGCGGATCGCTGGTGTGTCGAGTGTATGTGGAGAGAAAGACGAGCGTCTGGGTGAGTGTTTTTTCATCACTCATGCTCTTTGAGCCGACTCAGGAGTCGCCTCCTGTTGCTCCATCCAGCACTTTCATTGCTATGCCTGATGAATCCAAGTCTTGTTTCTATCACTTATTCGTCATATGTCAAGCATTCAGCTCCTTCCCTCATTCCCTACTTATCACATCATCCACTCCAATCCAGGTCTCGGCTTTGCACCTGCCCCTCCTGCGATCGACTTCCCGACTGCCACCAACCTGACATATCATTACCCGCTACACCAATTATCGTGTATGGAGCAATGCAAACTTGATGTACGGTGTAACCTTGTGGTTACCACACGCGCTCATGAATGCTGGCTCAAGGGCGGCGAGCTTGGACCCCCAGTTGAAGCGGATCGATCAATTCAGGCTTATAAGAAGCTAAGTACCGGCGTTGCTGGCGCAACTACAAAGGCGGAGTTGAAATATGGGGGCATTAATCAAGATGTTGGGGAAGCGGATGGTAGGGAGGGAATACGCGGGAATGCTGTTTTCCTTGTAGGGGCATCAGTGGGGATACAAGATGGGCCTTAGTTGTTTCCATCAAAATTGTTGTACAATAAGTTGTAGTATAGTAGTGTTTTCTATCCAGGAGAAAAACTGCTACCATGATTGTGCTACGAGCTTATAAGGAATCGAGTGTCATTCAAGACACAAGAGTAATTTAGAGAGAATATCCTAGGGATTGCAAGTCCAAGCTCCAACACCTCTGTGCATTACTGCCGCGCCGCCACGCACATGCGAAATAAATACCTCGGGAATTCTAGAGACTACATTTCGTGAAGACTCACGACGATTGAGGCAGCCAAGCTGCCTTCCCCGTCTAAGTACCTGCGTCCCGTAATCTTACTCCAGACGATTATTGCTTGAATTCTGATCCTGAGGGTGATGGCTTCCGAATCGGCCACCGGCTTTAGGAATCTCACCAACCCGGCGCGGCGAGCCGTTCCCAAAGGCCCAAACGACGCTGCTAAGGGTGAAGGAGTTAGCCCTGATACGACATCCGTTGACCGCGACTCTCTATCCTCTCTAAGGAATGTTTCGCATTCGCAGTCAAATGAAGCATCTTCCACAATGTATAATAACAGCAGAAATAACAACAGAAGTAACAGCAGTTCGCGAGCCTTCCCCGCCGCTCGAGTATCGCTCCCTGGCGCAGCGTTTCCCGTCGGCGTCGCAGCGTTCGCAGTCGCCGTCACCCTCGCGAAAACCTCCTCTCTGGTCATCCGCTTGACGACGACGACGACGACGTCGCCGGCGCAGTTGCTTGCCGTCGCATCGCTCGCCGCCGTCGCCGTGATCCTCCTTGCGATCTTCGTACTGCTTCTTCTCCACCTGCGCTCTCTCGTGCCGCGATCAACGGCGGGAATTTCGGAAAAAGATCCTGGGGGAGATGGACAAATGGAAGGGAGGGGGGAGAGTGGCGTAATGAGTGAAGAGGGGGAGAGAAAAGGTGGAGAGGGAAAAAGAGGGAAACAAGTAGAGGCAAGGGGAGACGAGGGAAAGGAAAGGAAGGAAAATGCAAAGGAGGAGGAGAGGGTGAGAGGCTTACGGGAAATGCAAGGTCCCCCTGTGCTGTGGTGGCTTCGGATGGTGGGAGTGGTGGGGAATGTGCGGGAGATCGTGAGCAAGGGTCATCACCAGTGCCACGTGGACTGGATGGCTGCACACGGCCACCTCTACTCGTGAGTCTACGACTCTACGGTGCTGTGCGGTGCTGTATGGTTCTGTGCGGTGTGATACGGCCCTGTGTGGCGCTGTGTGGTGCGCTGCAGTCATGTGTGGTGCTGCGGTGTCCCGTGGTGGATTCAGGCTGTGAGGGTGGTGGGGAACGTTCAAGAGATCGTGAGAAAGGGTTATCACCAGTGCCACGTGGACTGGATGGCTGCACACGGCCACCTGTACTCGTGAGTCTAAGGTGCTGTATGGTGCTCTGCGGTCATGTGTGGTGCTGTGCGGTGCTTTGCGGTAACGTGTGGGAGATCGTGAGCAAGGGTTTAGGGACTGGACAGCTGCCCACGGCCACCTGTATTCGTGAGTGCAAGGTGCTGTGTGGTGCAGTGCGGTTGCGTATGGTGCTGTGCAGTGCCATGCCATGGAGTGTTGTCCCCAGCTCACACAAAAAACATCTTTTGTCGTGCATTCAAAAACATCCACGATTCCCAACACCCCTGTCACCCCTGTCCCCCACCCACCCACCCGCCCTCCCACCCTTGTTTTTCCTCCGCCCTGCCCTTCTTCCATCCTTCCATCAGCTGCTGCTACGGCCCTCATATGTTAGTTTTATGTGGTGGCAGTGTCATCCCTTTCGCTCGTGAAAGAGGTTCTGCTTCGCCGGTTCAAAACCTTCCACCAATCGCCCCGTGCCCCCTACCCCGTCCTCCCAATCTCGTACCCCCTCTCCCCCTCCCCTACCCTCATTCCACCAGCTACTGCTACGGCCCTCTGCTTGTGGTGGCGGTGTCATCCCCTGCTCTAGTGAAGGAGGTTGTGCTTCGCCGATTCAGGACATTCCACAATTGCCCCGTGTCTCCCTGTTCTCCCTGTTTCGAACCCCCTACCTTCCCCATCCCTTCCCATCAGCTACTGCTATGGCCCCCGCCGAGTCGTGACATTGTCCTCCCCTGCGTCTCAAAATCGGCGACTCCCAACCCCCTGCCTCTCTCCCCACCCCGCCCATCAGCTACTGCTATGGCCCCCGCCGGGTCGTGGCACTGTCCGCCCCTGCTCTTGTCAAGGAGGTTCTGCTCCGTTGCTTCAACACCTTCTATGACCCCCCTGTCTCTCCCTTTCCTTGCTGCCAGCTACTGCTACGCCCCCCCCCAAGTCATGGCAGTGTCGTCCCCTGCACTCGTGAAGGAGGTTCTGTCTCATCAATTCATCACCTGCCAGCGCCTCATTCACTCTCAACCCCCCTGTCTCTCCATCAGCTACTGCTACGGCCCGCTCCGAGTGGTGGCAGTGTCATCCCCTGCTCTAGTGAAGGAGGTTCTGCTACGTCGCTTCAAGACCTTCCACGATCGCCCCATACCTCCCACTGCCAGCCCCACCACTGGCCGGGGGCTGCTGTTCGCCCGGTGAGTGTCCTTTGTTTGCTTTCTGAACCACAAATACTGTGGGATACTCGTATTTTGTCTCCAAAATCGTCCCATACCTCCCACCGCCAGCCCCACCACTGGCCGGGGGCTGCTGTTTGCCCGGTGAGTGTCCCTTGTCGGGCTTGTGACCCTCCCGTCCCTCATCCCCTTGCTTGCACCACTGGTTCACTCTGAACTGAATCACCACTGCCTCTCACCATCGCCCCATACCTCCCACGGCCAGCTCCACCACTGGCCGAGGGCTGCTGTTCGCCCAGTGAGTGTCTTTTGTTCATTCGGACAGTGTCCACTCGTGCCTCTGTCCACTCGTGCCTCTGTCCACTCGTGCCTCTGTCCACTCGTGCCTCTGTCCACTCGTGCCTCTGTCCACTCGTGCCTCTGTCCACTCGTGCCTCTGTCCACTCGTGCCTCTGTCCACTCGTGCCTCTGTCCACTCGTGCCTCTGTCCACTCGTGCCTCTGTCCACTCGTGCCTCTGTCCACTCGTGCCTCTGTCCACTCGTGCCTCTGTCCACTCGTGCCTCTGTCCACTCGTGCCTCTGTCCACTCGTGCCTCTGTCCACTCGTGCCTCTGTCCACTCGTGCCTCTGTCCACTCGTGCCTCTGTCCACTCGTGCCTCTGTCCACTCGTGCCTCTGTCCACTCGTGCCTCTGCTTGCCCCTGGCTGCAGTTTGCACCACTTCTGTGGGTCACTTGGATTCTCCTACAGAAATCCACACTCGCCCCATACCTCCCGTCCCACTGCCAGCCCCATACCTCCCACTGCCAGCCCCACCAATGAGTGTTCCTCCTCTCCCTCATCCCTTTGCTTGCACCACTGCATGTGGGTTGTTTGTCTCTTGACTTGATCACCACTGCGTCGCACCTTCTTTCCACTTCTCTTCTCCCCTCCGTTTCTCCCCTCCGTTTCTCCCCTCCGTTTCTCCCCTCCGTTTCTCCCCTCCGTTTCTCCCCTCCGTTTCTCCCCTCCGTTTCTCCCCTCCGTTTCTCCCCTCCGCTTCTCCCCTCCGTTTCTCCCCTCCGTTTCTCCCCTCCGTTTCTCCCCTCCGTTTCTCCCCTCCGTTTCTCCCCTCCGTTTCTCCCCTCCGTTTCTCCCCTCCATTTCTCCCCTCCATTTCTCCCCTCCATTTCTCCCCTCCATTTCTCCCCTCCATTTCTCCCCTCCATTTCTCCCCTCCATTTCTCCCCTCCATTTCTCCCCTCCATTTCTCCCCTCCATTTCTCCACAGGGGTAACCACTGGGCTGGTTTGAGGAGCGCTCTCACGCCCATGTTCCACCGCTCCACCCATCTCCACTCCTTCCTTTCCGGAATGCACCGTTCCGTTCTCCATATGCTGCTGCTGCCGCTGTGGGATGTGACACAAACGAGGGGAGGGAGGGAGCGAGGGAGAAAGGGAGGAGGGGTGGGGGGAGGAGGAGGGGGTGGGCGGGCGTGGGAGGAGGGAGCCAAGGAGGGAGGAAGGGGCGAGGAAGGGGGGAAGGAGAACCGAGAGGAAGGGAGAGGAGTGGGAGAAGAGGGATGGGCGGAGGTGGATTTAATGGGCATGTTTGAAGCAGTGGGGCTAGCGTCTATTGGTGCTGCTTGCTTTGGTGAAGACCTGTGGTTCCAGCACGACACAACTGCTACACTCACAGCTGCAACAGCCCACACTGAGGCAAACAAGCAGGCAGGGACGAAGCTAGGGGCGCACAGTAGCACTATCGACCCTGCTCCTCCTCACACCACGTTACCACCACACACAGCAGCACACTCTACCGCACCACACACTGCTGCACCGCACACTGCCTCCCTGGCACGGGCATACGGGGCGAACGAGCAGGCAGGGGCGAAGTTAGGGGCGGTCCCATCGCTTCTCCTGGCCCTCTCCCCTGCGTGCCTGCACCCCTGGGTGCATGCGCTGCTGGGTGTGCTGCCTGGGAGCACCGTGGGTGCTGCGAGGGAGAGACACCGAGAGCTGATGCTCCAGTGGAAGGTGAGAGGGTTGAGTCTAAGGTGTTGATTACAGTGCCTGGGTTTTCATTTGTTTTGAGGCACCTTGAAAACTCCTCGTTTCCCCCCAACACTCCTCACGTCTTCCCCTCCACTTCCCACGTCTCTCATATCCCCTCCACAAACCTTTTCCCTCCCGACTCCTCTCCTCACCAGCGGATGTTGGAAGCAAAGAGGCAACAACCGTCTCAAGGCAACAGCAGTGCTGCTGATATACTGACCTTTCTCAAAAGGTACGTCAGGGTGGAAAAAAAAAAAAAAAAACATACACACACGCAAACAACATAGCGTACACATTCGCCCAAACACACCCACTCACAGACGGCACACACGCACAAGTCCGACCTCCCTTGTATCCTCTTTGGCCTCCTGACCTTATGGGTAATCACCCGTTCTCCTTCCCCCCTTGCCTTAGCAACATGCCTCACATTTTCCGAGACAAGGGCACCGCACCACAGGTCTGCTCGAGTCCGACTTTCCGTATGAAATCCGCGTGCATTGACGTTTATTTTGAGGCGCCTCAAAAATCCGCGTGCATTGACGTTTATTTTGAGGCGCCTCAGTGCACGCGGATTTCATACCGCAGGTCTGCTCGAATCCGACTTTCCTCTCATCCTCTTTAGCCTCCTGGGCGCTGGTGTGGGCACCAATTGTTACTGTGATTGCTGCCTTCCTTTCCCTCCTCTTTCCTCGCCCCTCTGCCTCTCAGCTTCCGAGACAAGGGCACAGGCGCAGGTCTGCTCGAATCTGATCTGCCTCTAATCCTCTTTGGCCTCCTGGGCGCCGGTGTGGGGACCACATCGTCCACACTGGCGTTTGCCGTCCACATGCTGACTCAGCACCCGGAAGTTGCCCAGAAACTTCAGGCTGAAATTGATAGGTGTTTTGAAGAGAGGGAGAGGGAGGGAGAGGGAAGAGGGGAAGGAACAGAAAAGGCGGATGGAGAGGGGGTGGGGGAGAGGGGGGCAGGTGAGATGGGGAGAAGCAGGTCCGAAGACACACCTTCATTTACCAATAAAAAACGTTTGTTTGAAGACCTAGAAGAGCTTAAGTATCTTGATATGGTTGTAAAAGAAACACTTAGGCTGTACCCTGCTGCCCCTATAGCTGCCCGCCTGCCCGTCCATGCAACGACTCTGGCTGGTTACCACATCCCTGCAAACACGCCGGTCGTGGTCCCGATTTTCGCTGCCCACCGCTGCCCGGATTTCTTCCCCCGGCCGCTTTCTTTTCTGCCCGAACGTTTCGGTCAGCGGGCAGCGGGTGAGAAGGGAGTTGGGTGGAAGGAGGGAGGGAGGGAAGAGGAGGCAGAAGGGCAAGAGGGGGAAGGAAGGGGCGAGAAGGGTGGAGAATTGATCAAGGGTGAAGAGAGAGGAGGGAAGCAGCGAGAGGAGGTGCTGTGGACGGCCGAGTCAGAGGCTATGTATTTGCCTTTCGGTGCCGGTCCGCGCATGTGCATCGGTGCTCGATTCGCCTTGATGGAAATCAAAATCTGCCTCGTGCTGCTGCTGCGGGCATTTGAAATTTCATCAGCATGTGACATAGCAGTAGCATCTGCGACTGATGTCGATGCGTCGAGGCGTTTCACAACTTGCAAGGCTGACACTGAAGAAAGGGAGAGAGGGAAGCGGGGAGAGACCGAGGAGGCAGGGGAGGGCGTGTGGGGGAGTGCGAGCAGCAAGACAGGGGTGGATAGCAGCAAGACAGGGGTGGATAGCAGCAAGACAGGGGTGGATAGCAGCAAGACAGGGGTGGATAGCAGCAAGCTGCCGTTGGAATCTGGGTTGAACCTTCGACCAAAGAATGGGGTGCGGGTGAGGATTCGGAGGAGGGGCAATGGTATTGCTTTGTGAGGAGGCAGAGGAGAGGAGGGCAGCAGGCGGGGTGTGAGCAGCAAGACGGGTGGATAACAGCAAGCTGCCGTTGGAATCTGGGTTGAACCTTCGACCAAAGAATGGGGTGCGTGCGGGTAAGGATTCGGAGGAGGGGCAATGAATGGTATTGCTTCTATGCCGTTGTGATATATATACCTGATTTGGTAATGTACCGTAGGTGGTGATGTATGGTTCCTAGTGAAAGTCTTTGATACCATATCACCCCGGATAGAAGCGCAGGCCTATGATAAGCGCATGCGCTACTATCTGGAGCAATGCGCTTATGGCTGATCCTCAATTACGCACCCCCTGTGAAAACTGTTGGAAACAATCGGTCCTAAGCGCCTCTGTCGTGTCGAAACACTAAGACACAAAAGAAACGAAGTATAACGAATCACCGGCGAGTCAACCCTCGGAGGTTGAAAGTAACTGTTGGAGGTTACGCGAAAGTCAAAGGTCAGCGACCTTTGACCTGACAAAGTACAGCGCGACAGCAAGGACAAACAACTGACTCGGTATTGAGCAGTTGCCCGAGTCGTCACTGTATCGAACCGCAACAGCAATAGTAAAACGGTTATTAACTGTATCTCTTCGTATTCCTTGTACTCTTATAAAAGCTTGTATCTCTTTGTTTTAATCAACTTACTTTGCCCTCACATACTAGTGCAAGGTGGTTCACAACTCTTTGATTAACGCTTCCGCTACTACACCAACTCTACCCAGAGTTCACCCCTGCAAAGATCCTAAGGGTTTTTCAGCCCAACATGGTATGATGAGAGCTATCAGGGGGAATTCAACTTCTATACCAACAACATCAACAAGCATGGCTACACAAAAGGAAAGGAGCAACTCCAACGGCTCCCAGGGCACTACTCCTACTCCACCTCCTGCCTCTGGCCTACAGACAGAGGAGGGCACAGCAACAAGACCCAGAGCAACATCTACCGAGACTCCCGCGAATCAACCTGCAGACTTCGACCAGAGCATGATGGAGAAGTTTTTCTCCTTCATGTCCTTCTACGAGCAACACCAGCAATCGGCACCTGCGCAGTCACACAACAACAACAACAACGGAGCAACACCCATGAGTCTCGACGGCTCATCATATGCACGAGGAAATCAACAACAGCAGCCTACCTTTGCTCCGTACGAGCGCGGGTCCATCAGCTTTATGCCACACCCACAGCCTTCACCTGGACAAGAAAAATCACTGGACGCATTACAAGTTCAGTCGCAGTTCGCACACGTTCTGAAGATGCAGACGTCAAGACCTTTCAATGGAAAGGACTTCTTCACCTGGTCGTTCGAGTTCGAGCTGATGATGGAAGGCGCGCAGATACTCGGGTTCTTCGACGGGTCTCTGCCATACCCAACAAACGGCACACAGTACGAGAAGCAGCAGTACACCTATCAGTCAATGATGGCGTACACGATCCTACTGAGGAATATCACCCCGACTCAACAGCAGAACATAAGGTCTTACCGAGGTTACGGCAACTCCGCGGAGCTCGCGTACAACCACCTGAAGAGCCTGTATCAAGCAACAGACAGCGTAAGCCAAAGTCGGTTAATGGCGCAACTGACAACGGTTGAAATGAAACCAGGGGAGAAAGGAATGGCGTATATCAGTCGATGTCGCGAGTTGCGCGACAAGCTTCTTCGATGCGGAGGGTCGATCTCTGAAGACGCCTTCGTGACAGTCATCATCGGCGGCCTCGGTCCTCAATGGCGCGCCACAAAGGCCATTCTCCGAGCTCACGGAAGAATCTCCGAAGCAGCGCTCTGCGCCGAAATCCACGCCGAGCAGCAAGACATGGACCTGCAAGAAGAACGACACAAAAAGAAGACATCAGCACCGGAATTCGCGTTCCACACTCAGCGACGCTACAACAACAACAACAACCGGCAGCAACAACCGAAGCCAGTACCTCCGTTCTGCCACATCTGCAAAACTTCAGGACACCCGCGTACGCACTGCCCAAATCGTCAACAGTCAACAACTCCACAGCGGCAACTTCGACCTTCAAGCAGCCAAATTGCCTCAACGCAAGCAAATCCCACGACCCAGATTCAAGCCTCAACGACTTCAACGGGACAACCTGCACAAGGAGCAAGAAACATCGTCAGCTGCATGGCAAAGCTGAGTGACTCCTGCATCACCGAGTCACCACCACACTACTCACCGGAAGAACAACTCGACGAAACCACACCCCGCCGCAAGTCACTTCAGCCGAACCCGACATACGCCGCCATCGCCCAAAGCGAACCATCCGGAAAAGACACATGGTTCTTGGACAGTTGCTGCGGACAGCACATGTGCTCCTCGGGACGCTTCGTTCAACGAGAACACCAACTTCAACGCGAAGTTGTCATTACAGTCGCCAACAATCAGAACCTGCGAACACGACGACAAGGCGTAGTTCAACTTCAGTCAAGGGAAACAAACGTTATACTGCAGATGTCAAAAGTACTAATCGCGGAGGGACTCGGCTACAACTTACTGAGCGTCAGTCAGCTAATGGCGAAAGGGATTCACCTCGAAGCAGACAGCACCACCCAAGAATTCAAGCTGTATCATGGGAGAGGAGGACTTTACATCGGCAAGGCGGTCCTCAAGAACAACGTCTTCGTTCTTGATTTCGTTCCTGATCTTGGCACCGCCGACAGCGACGCCATCGTTAACTTCACCAACTGGACACACCCTCCAGACCTTGATCCAGACTTCAGTCCAGAAGGCTTCTGGTACTCACACACCATCCCTGAAGCAGAAAGAACAAGGGCGTTAGCAACAATTCAGACAACATCAGCAGCAGCAGAGACAACATCGGCAGCAGCAGAGACAACATCGGCAGCAGCGGAGACAACATCGGCAGCAGCAGAGACAACATCGGCAGTAGCAGAACCATCAACGGCAGCAGCAGGAACGTCAACACCAATTGCTGGTCCTTCAACGACACCGCTCCTCATCGACGACACACCACCGACACCCGCGCAACAACTACACCCAGCACCACAAGAAGTTCATCGTAGCGCCAACTTCACCGCCAACTTCTACTCCAACTCCGATATGTACCGACGATCACCCGGACATCGCGCCGACGAAAGCACCTGGCACGCAAGGATGGGACACCCAAGCAACACAGTATTAAAAGAAGCCGGACCTCTTCCGTTCTGCTCCGTGGACGTTCCCATGGACGAAGATAACCCTCGCGAAAGTGTCAACGCCGAAACCTTCTACTATTTCGCCGACAACGGTTACGTAACACCTGCGACAGTCAACACCAACGAAGCAGAACGAGTAGGACCCAACTTCATACCTGATCCAGAAGCGGGAGATGAAGCAGCTTATCCCGAGGACGCAAATCTTCCCCGCTACTCACAGAGTGGACTGCAAATTCTCGGACTCGTCACCGCAGTCCACAGCACCGCCATTCCTAAAGAGCATGCGACGGTTCAACAGGCTCTGGGGGGGGAGCATAAGGAAAAATGGCGCGAAGCCATGGACAAGGAGCTGAAGGCACTGGAGGAACGCAACACGTGGAAAGTGGTTCCTATCGGCGTGGCACGGAACAAGACAGTGCTCACCGGGAAGTGGGTCTTCCGTGTGAAGACAAAGGCTGACTGCACCATTGACAAATTTAAGGCTCGCTGGGTTGTATGCGGCTTCGACCAAGAACACGGACGCGACTTCACCGAAACTTTCGCTCCGGTTAGCCGCCACACCTCACTACGCATTCTCCTCGCAATCGCCGCCATGAAGAAGAAGAAGCTGCGACAAATTGACGTCGCGAACGCGTTTCTCTACGCACCTGTTGATGCAGAAATTTTCGTCGAGCTACCGCACGGCTCCCACAGAGAACCCAACCAAGTCTGCCAGCTACTCAAGTCACTCTACGGCATCAAGCAGGCTCCGCGACTGTGGCAACAGTACCTGCACGCTCGCCTCATCCGCATCGGCTTCAAGCAACTACCGCACGATCAAGGCATGTACCGGCTCACAAAAAACGACGACTACATCCTACTAATCGTCTACGTGGACGATCTCCTTTACATCGGCTCGAATGACGGCATCACTACCTGGTTCGAAGGGGAGCTGCAGCGAGATCTCACGCTCACAGTTTCATCTACCGTCACTCAGTACCTCGGCCTCAACATCCGGGAAGAGGAGGACGCGATCTACCTCAGCGCCGAGAAATATGCCGACACCATCGCCAAACGCTTTACGCTCACACCGACAGCCATCTCCACGCCATACCGCTACACGGCAGGGAACGACAAAGGAAGCTCCGCTCTACTCAAGCCCGCCGGCATACGAGACTACCAGAAGAAGCTGGGATGTCTTCTCTTCGCAGCCGTCACCTGTCGCCCCGACCTCTCATACTCCGCAAGCCAGCTCGCCACCTACCTCAAGAAGCCTGAAGCAGAACATCTGGCGGAGCTCGACCGCGCTCTTCACTACTTCGTCAGCACCCCAACGATCGGCCTAACTTACTACAAGAACGCAACCACATCGACTAAGTTAATCGGCTACGTCGACGCTGATCACGCTGGCGACTCCGACAATAGGCGCTCCCGCACCGGCTACATCTACCGCCTCGAACCTATCGGACCTATCTCTTGGCAGTCGAGCAAGCAGGAATTAATTGCTCTCTCGTCAGCTGAAGCAGAATATATTGCACTCTGCTCAGCCACCAAGGAAGGACTCTATCTTCGCGAGCTGCTGGAAGAAGCGAAGTTAGCCGAGTTACCCAACTTTACCCTGTTCTGCGACAACCAGTCAGCAATTCGCATCGCCAACAAGAACGGCTTCGCAAACAGGACGAAACACATCGCCCTGCGATATTTCTTCGTGAAGGACGAGATCGAGAAGGGAAGGCTCGAGCTGTCATACTGTCCCACGTCTGAGATGGCAGCTGACTACCTGACCAAGAAGCTCGGAAAGCAGAAGTTCGAATATTGCATGTTGCTGACTGGACAGA